CCATCTAGGCCGGCAGGAATGGGTGTCTGCTGTTGAGTGCATCTGCATGGATGGAACAACCATCGACCCCCTCATTATCTTCAAGGGACAGAATATACTACAGAGCTGGATTCCAAAGGAGGTTATAAGCAAATGGCACTTCTCTGCAAATACAAAAGGGTGGACAAGCAATCTTCATGGATTAGAGTGGCTAAAACGCGTTTTTGAGCCCTCTACAAGAGCAAAAGCAACACTTCCAAATGGACAACTAACGTAGGTCGTGGCCATACCGGGGCCATGGCCATACCGGGATGGTGAGGTAAGCGAGCACTTAACTACCCCATCAAACCCATCAACCAACACACCAAACCTATCAATTACCCCATTATTATGGTACGCAAACGGAGTTTAAAAGCTCAAGAACGCGATATTCTAATACTTGAAGCAGTAGCTGGAGTAAAATCTGGTTTATATAAAACTGCAAATGCTGCTGCAAAGGCCTTACATCTAAGGCCTGATACAGTTGTTAGCCGCATTAAAGGGCGACATACCTCACATAAAGAAGCACATTTAAAACATCAATTACTCTCCCAAACCCAAGAAAAGACCCTTTTAAAATGGATCAAAAATCTTACTGCAAGTGGTTACGCTCCTAGCCATCGCATATTACGTGAGGTTGCAGAGGAAGTCCGGTCAAACAAGTGTCGGGTCTTCCAAACCCAGGTGAGCCAACCTACAGAGTTAACCAGCTCAGTCAAGTCAACTACCAACCCATCAAACCTGCCATAGACTGGCAGACTCGGCTATTTCTAACTAGTGGCTTGGCAGACCCCATCAAACCAACCGGCTCAGCAGCAGTCCCGACCAACTCAGCAGTCCCGACCGACTCAGCAGTCCCGACCAACTCAGCAGACCCGACCAACTCAACAGACACAAACTCAACAACCACAACTCCAACTACCTAAGTTACCACTTGGGCAAGATTGGGTGCCACGGTTCATTCAGAGGCATCCTAACTTACGTGTTAAGCTAGGACACAGAGTTGAGGCACAAAGGATGAATGGGGTCACAAAGCAGGTGTTGAAGGGGTGGTTTGACATGTACAAGAGCCTCACAACAGAGCTAAAAATCGAAAACCACAACACCTACAACATGGATGAGACTGGATTTTCAATTGGAACAATGCAATCTACACGAATTATAGTCGATTCTACACTTAGGACACGTTTTCAGGCACATCCAGGAAGGCAGGAATGGGTCTCTGCTGTTGAGTGCATCTGCATGGATGGAACAACCACCGACCCCCTCATTATCTTCAAGGGACAGAATGTACTACAGAGCTGGATTCCAAAGGATGTTATAAGCAAATGGCACTTCTCTGCAAATACAAAAGGATGGACAAGCAATCTTCATGGATATGAGTGGCTAAAACGCGTTTTTGAGCCTTCTACAAGAGCAAAAGCAACACTTCCAAATGGACAACTACAACAAAGGCTCCTTATTTGTGATGGCCATGACAGCCATATAAGTGGGAGCTTCATATCACACTGCATACAGAATCGCATATCGCTCCTTATACTACCTCCACATACCTCACATATACTCCAACCACTTGATGTTGCAATTTTTGGACCTTTGAAAAGACACCTCACAACAGCCCTCTCACACCTTAATGAGGCGCAGCTCCTACGCATACAGAAAGCAGAATGGATGGATGCATACATACAAGCAAGAGCAGCTGCATTTTCAAATTCAAATATAGCTTCTGCTTGGAGAGGGAGTGGGCTACAGCCATTTCAACCGCAGACAGTTATCTGCGCAGCTACGCTTCCTACAACAGATGCAGTAATAGTGCGGCCAAAGACTCCAACAGAGCATGACATTTTTGAGAAAGTATTTCTGAACAGCAGTCCACCTGCTTTTTCAACACTTCACAAAGCAAATACAGTACTCTCTTCTACAATAAGTCGTGGCATTCTCAACACTCCTACAAAGCGATATATTCATAAGTTAGCAGATGAGACAGAGCGGCTCAATACATGCCACATACTACAACAAAGGGAGACAGATAACTTGCGCTCAATTATTCAGAAGCGCAGAGTACAAAATAAGGGCAAGAGAGCAGTTTTGAAGGGTCAATTCCACATCACAACTGAGGAGTTGCAGTCGCAAGTAGCAGAAGCAGAAGCAGCAACAACAGCTACATCACAAAAGTCGAAAATATCAACAACTCCACAAGTTACAACATCTATAATTGATCTAATTGATGATGGGAGTGAGGAGGAGCTATTTGACAGTGATATAGATGAATTAGCATGGTAATGGTAGAACTATTTTCAATTATTTTGAAGCTGCTCATATTTTGAAGGGGTGGCTTACCCCACCATCCCGGTATGGCCATGGCCCTGGTATGGCCACGACCTACGTTACAACAAAGGCTCCTTATTTGTGATGGCCATGACAGCCATATAAGTGGGAGCTTCATATCACACTGCATACAGAATCGCATATCGCTACTTATACTACCTCCACATACCTCTCATGTGTTACAGCCACTTGATGTTGCAATTTTTGGACCTTTGAAAAAACACCTCACAACAGCCCTCTCACACCTTAATGAGGCGCAGCTCCTACGCATACAGAAAGCAGAATGGATGGATGCATACATACAAGCAAGAGCAGCTGCATTTTCAAATTCAAATATAACTTCTGCTTGGAGAGGGAGTGGGTTACAGCCATTCCAGCCACAGACAGTCATACGCGCAGCTACACTTCCTACAACAGACGCACCCTTAGAACGGCCAAGGACTCCAACAGAGCATGATATTTTTGAGAAAGTATTTTTGAATAGCAGTCCTCCTCATTTTCAGACACTTCACAAAGCAAATACAGTTCTCTCTTCTACAATAAGTCGTGGTGGTGTTTTGAACACTCCTACAAAGCGATATATTCATAAGTTAGCAGATGAGACAGAGAGGCTTAACACACGCCACATACTACAGCAAAGAGAGACGGATAACTTGCGCAACATAATTCAGAAAAGAAGGGAGCAAAAGAAGGGTAAAAGAGCTGTTTTGAAGGGTCAATTCCACATCTCTACAGAAGAACTCTGGTCGCAAGTAGCAGAAGCAGAAGCAGCAACAGCAACAGCTTCACAGAGGCCTAGAATAACACCACGACTTATAGAGGAAGCTACAATTGAGGAAATAGACAGAGAGGGTGAAGAAGAGATATATGACAGCGATTTAGATGAATTAGCCTAGTAGTAATTGAACAATTTCAATTTTTTAAAGGTGGTAGTGGTTTGATGGGGTGGTTCCGACCCCACTACCCCCATTACGCCATTACCCCCGTTATGCCATGACCTACGTTAGTCGTGTTTTTTTAGCTCTCCGGTGCTTGCTTAGCACTTCATTTGCCTGTCACAGGTTTTGGTTCTCTGCTTTTAACAATGCTAATTGATGCATTATTTGCGATGCACCCTTTGTAAACTGGTCAACAGCTGCATAGATTGAGGTTGGAGAGCTATTTTGATGATGCGCAATTCAGTTTTTAATGAAAGTAGACTGTGATACAGCTTCAGTTGGGTTATTTGGTGTCTGAGAAACCCATGGTTGAGCGGTGTTTGGGCGAGAGGTTGGAGGTGTTGGCGTCTTAAACCTAAGGTCATGTGTAGATATTACACTCTCAGGGCTAAATGGAAGAAGCCCAGCACCTCGGAACCCTCCCTGAATATTGCTTTCTGTCATTGCAATGTTAAATGCAGCGTGGAAGGCAGGAAAGAAGTCATCCTTAGTAATGTAAATAATATGAGCCTGCATCGTATCTTCAATTTGCCGACCGTAAGCTCTCTTTAATGGGCCAAAACAGCCAACATCAAGTGGTTGGAGTATATGGGAAGAGTGAGCAGGCATACAAAGCGTAATAATGTTGTGTTCTTTGCAGTACTCCTCAAACTTGTCTGAGTGGTGGCTCTCATGACCATCAAGGACTAACAAGCGATAACCACCAACACTCCGGGGCTTTGTGTGCTTCTCAAAATGCTGAATCCAATCCATACCTCTCTCGTTTGTAGTCCAGCCATTTGCAGTAACAGCGATTACCCAATCTGCTGGAAATCCGCTATTCTTATACCAAGATGCAAGGTGGTTTTTACCTGCCACAATGACAAATGGCGGCACTGCCCAACCTTGAGAACTAATGCCTTGGATTACTGTAACCCATTCCCGATTGCCAGGCTGCACCTTTTTTGCCTTTGCCCGCCCATCTGAGCTCGTTACTACCGTTGCGCTTGAGATGACGCCCATCATAAACCCAGTCTCATCAAAGTTGTAGATATCTGCATTGTTGATGCCATACTTTAGAATTGTGTTCCATACAAGCTCAAACCAGCCACGAATGACTTCTGGATCTTCGCACCTAGCCCTCTGGTAGTCGTATTTTCGCTGGAAGCGTGTCCGGAGCTCTACATGGCGCTTAACAAAGTTTGAAGCCCAACGTGACCCGACGCGTGGCGCGTCGCGTGTTGCAAGTAGTCGATTTGCCATATCTTCAACAATAGACAACTGAGGAGGGAACCCTTTAGCAGCTAAGTCAAGTATATACTGAACAAGAGCTGATTCCTCTAGGTTACTTAATTTCTGTAAGTTGGCTTGGATATCGCGTCGTGAAGGTATGCCTTGTAAACGGTGACGTAGCTTGCGGTGGTCTACGGAATAGATCCTAGCTGCAACTCGAAGGCGCAAATTTGGGTCGCTTTGCATAGCTTGGATAGCTAGCACTAATTTGCTTTCATCATTTTTATGGCGCATGTTTTGTTGTGGAGGAATTTAACATTTAGTTGGGGGGGTTGGTCACCGCATGATTTTGGCACTTTCGCTTGTTTGGCACTTTCGTTATACATGCACGTTAGTAGTTATTAAATTATTGCGATTTTTTGAAGCTGTTGATGGGGTGGCCCCAACCCCACTATTGCATCTACGCCATTGCTGCATCTACGCCACGACCTACGTTAAGCCTCCTCATGCAGCGCCACCATCGACGCCACTGACAGGCTTCCCCCTATCCCACTCTCTCTCCTTTCCACTTGCCGTCCACTTCACTTCTGCCTTCTTCCCACTCTTCCATCCCTGTATTTCTTCTTCCGTAAACCCAGCTGCCTTGAGCCTATCCGCACCCTGTTGCTTCCATTTCACACGGTCCAGCACTAGCTCCCAGTCGTCACCATTGCTGTCGGTTTCTTGGTTCTCTGGTACTAGGTCAAGCGCTGGGTCATAGTTTTCCGAGAACCGGGCGTCAATTCCAGAGGTCGACGATACAGTGCCGCGGCCACGGCTTTTTACCTTTGGTGGCGGCAGGGGACCGACAATAGCTTCTAGGGGGTCCGAATCTGAATCCGCGTGAGGTGAAGGTTTCCGCCGCCGTTCTCTGTCGTATGATTTCTCATCGCGACTGGAGGAAGAGAGTAGTGAGCGCCGTCCAGGCGAACGTTCGCGCCGTTTTGGATCCCTACTTCTTCTGTCTTCGTTAGGGGAGCGGGATCTTAAACGATGCCGAGACCTATGCTTCTCATGATGGCTTCGACGTGTTGACTCGCTTCGATGCGACCGATGCCTGTCCTTTGACGATGATACATCTTCCATATCTTCGTCATCTGTGAATTTGCGCGCTCTCCTTCCCTTATCCTGACGATAGTCCTCGGTGTTGGTTGATCGATCCTTCCTCTCCTCCAAACCACCAGAGGAAGCTCCCTCATCGCGCATTGGCCTGGCCGCGCCACCAGTCCTCTGTCGTTTTGGCGCATTCCCGTTTAAAACCGCAGTAATGCTTCCAAGTTGGCGACGCCTAATATCGTTTGCTCTTCGTGTATCTTTCGTGACTAATTGCTCGAGACGATTACGCGACTCCGCGGCTTCCTTGGCGAGCAGCGCTGCATTATGCGAGTCTGTATCACGGACAAGATTGCGAAGGAAACGAGTATTTGGCTTAGGTTTATTGGCGGGGGGTCTGTCCATGGCATTAGCAAGTGAGAGAGCGCGCGGTATTCAATGACATACTTGGAAGGGAGAAATGCGGACATGCCATGGGCTGAGAATTTTATGGAACTTTCTTTAGCCTCTTTGCTAAGTATCGCGGCAATCTGATCATCGCTGAATTCGTCGGGCATATTGAATATCCTAGAGGTTGCCTTTCATTCAGAGTTCACAGAAATGCTGATCTGTAGGAGGCGACATGTTGCGACAGGAAAGCCACCATAAACGCTTGACCGCTTAATTCTGCCGGAAACTACACGTCAGGACCTGCCGAATTGAGCTAATGCGGTCGGTGGCGGATGGCAGTATCGCGTTTGACGTGTAAACAATACACCAGCAAAAAAGATACATTGAAACACAAGAGAACCACAAGTGTTTTTTTTACGGGCGATCAGTATGGACAATATGTATGGCGATACTTTGAGTGCGCTCAAGGAGCTGCAAACCGAAGAGCTCTCAATTATCAAAATCAGCAAGCCTATTTTGACCGTTAGTCTCCAAGACACGGCTGCACCCACTTCAGACGCCTCTCAGGATGCATACGAAAGTCCCACTTCAACAAGCCTTCAGGATGATTTGTCCCACTATAAGGTTTGATATCTATGGACTAGTAGCATGAGTATAATTGCTGACCATCCTCAGGAACTCTTCTCCAAGCTGCGCTTCTCATACCTCGAACAAGTCACCAAAGAGAAATTCATACGCGCCATCGTAGGCGAACCGCAGTTCATAGTTCAGCATGGCGAGAATATTGAACTGGAAGAACAGCTCGCTGAAGTCAAAGCGTCTCTCAAAGCCAAGAAAAACGATGTCGCTGGCATGGTCGCAGAACTAGAGAGGCAAGGGAGGGAACTAAGTCAAAAGCACGAAGCAATAAAACTGCAGACATCACAGCTAGGGGACTTGCCAGAGAAAATCGACTATCTTCATGCCTCGATAGCGGAACTGCAGGCGGCTCAGGCACCAGGTCCGAGCGCGAATTTAAGCATGCCGTTGGACAAGACCATGGCTTTGGTAGAAGACAAGGAGAAGGAATCTGCAGAGCTCGATCGTATATTGGAGAAGCTACAGTTGGAGTTGCCACGAAAGACAAGAGCCGTGGAGAGACTTGAGGCGGAGCTGCAACCATTGGAAGTTAAGAGGCAAGGGACTACAGCCTTAGCCAGAGATGCAAAGAGGCGGAAAGAAGACGCATTAGGGGGCAACGGTGACGACTTGGAAGAGAGGGGAAGATGGTGGAGAGGCGTTGAGGGCGGCTTGAAGGTTCTGCTGGATGTTGAAAACTAAATGATACCATGTGTTACGATTGGAATGGGCGTTTGGATGTGGGAAGTCGGCGTTAAAGTTAGGCCTTATTGTAGTTGTTTTACTCTGGAGGATGGCAGAAATGGATCGAATCGACAGCTTACGGCTGCAACTGCAAGATATAATACATCTCAGAGCCTCCGAAGACCTATGTTGAACTTGAACAACTACCTGAGCAAGTGGCTCGTTTGATGGTTAATGTGCGAATTGCTAACTGTGGCTCGAGGGATATCGTCGCTAGGCCCTACTCTTCCAGTAACCATCTTCAGAGCCGATGACTCTATTAACTCCGTTTCGCTTTGTACATCTGAGTAAACTGGATTTAACAAACGATTCCAGCCATCTCCAAAAAAGTAGAATCCAAGTCGTCATCATGTGACCTGGGGTTAAAATCCGATAAGCGAAATTCTTGATTGGTTTCCAGAATAGTGGAGCCGAGTATGGCTAATTGAATATGTTTTTGCGTGGGTTTGCTGCCCTAATAGTGCGTTAGCGTGTGAACTTTCAGAGAATCGCGAAGCATCAGCCTCACGAAAGACCACGACAAAAATAACGACAATCAACCAGCCGACAAGGTAAGATAACCCTGCACGAAATCGAATCATCTCCAGACGCTGATTATCATCAATAGTTCCTATTCAAAATGAGTACGTTGCCACAAAGCAGACGACCGCGACCGCGAATCATATACTAACTTCCTCACAGCGAAGGGAACCGGATCTTTCGGAAAACGCCACAACAAGTCGCACGTTCTGTGCAGACGCTGCGGTCAGTACTCTCCGGATCTTGGGATAAAGGATACAGCGCGGCGGATTGGGCTGGATTGGGATGAGGAAGGGATTCAAGAGGACAGGAACTAATTCGATGAATACAGGCCGCCGATCCCTCCACGTCCAAAAGCACACTTGCTCGTCATGCGGATACCCAGCAGCAAAGATTAGAGGATGTACGTACAATCTATCTCTTGACATGGCTTCAGAAAGGCTAGAATTTCGTTGGGGGTGCAAAAACTAACAGTACTGCAGACAACTGGTCCGAGAAGGCCAAGAGACGGAAGACCACTGGATCCGGACGCATGCGTTCCCTCAAGACCGTTTCCCGCAAGTTCAAGAATGGCTTCCAGACCGGTGTCCCCAAGGACTCGAGGGGCCCAGCGACCAAGACCGAGTAAGGGAGTTCCATTATGGCATGATGGGATTGTGGACGGAGTGATTGGGGATCGATAGGTGCCTGCTTGTGTTATTCCTCGACAAATAAAGGAGCTACTAGCAAATGCCATCAATTGCAATACGTCAAGTTCGGACAGAGTGCGTGAATGATTCGAGCCCATACCTATCGTCTCTCGCGATCGACAGATCTGGTCCTACAGATACGACAGAGACGACGGTCCCAGGCAGGACATTTAGATGAACGCCTTTGTTTCTAACCATATATCACGGGCTCATTCGACGTGGTATTATGTATTCTATCCAAATTACATATCGGTTCCGATTCTTCCTCAGATATCCATCATTGTCCTCTTTCAAACACCTTGACAGCACTATCACCCCCCACAAAATATAGCAGTTCTCTTGCCTCCGCTTTCTGTTCAGTTGGCAATCTACCGTCAGAATCCCCTGTCGTAATCCGGCACACCCCACTTACATCCCTAGCCGTCCCTGTATCCAAAAGCCTTAACGACATCACTAGATCTGCTTGGTGGGCAAGGCTCAATAGAAGAGCCCCATGATTCGTCTCCAGTGGTGTATCATGTCCAGCTGCCAACGGTGTATCGGCAGCAAGTGTCAATATTGTTGAATGGGCAGACTGTTGTCTCATTAGCTCTTTATTTCATAATTTATTTCCAATCTTTGGGTCACTTGCTAGTCTCCAATCCATCAACGTATCTCCCAAAGCCACCGTATCCAGCTTATCCCCACTCGTTGCCAGTAACAGATCAAGCTGATCAATCACTAAAACCACTTTCCCAGAGCCGGCCTGCAGTTCTTTGAGAGTGTTATTCACGGTGTTATGTATATTCCCCAGCTCGTTACCCCGTATAGCGTTTGCGCCACGTGTGCTAGTCTTCGACCTTGCAGGTTCCAGGAGCAATTCGCTCAGCCCATCAATAAATGCAAACCTCTTCTTTGCTGCCAATTTATCGAGGTCATGGCCCTGATTTCTAAGATTAGCAAAGGCGCATACGTTGAGCACATCAGGAAGCGTACTAATTTCCGAGCCCCGTCCTTCCAAAACGCCAGATCTCTCATAAAGCTAACAAGTAGCACCTTGGTAGTATCTCCATCTTCAGTTTCATTGGAAATGCTGAGGGACTCGAGGTTTTGGCCAAGGTAGCTTTGAAGGTACCGCAGGACAAGCCAGTTTGTGCTCGCACCAAGGACGGAAGTGAGGAGAATAAGGGATAATTCCGACGGAAGAGCAACGTATGGCGAGAGGAGATGCGGAATTTGCGACATTGTACGGAGCACAAGTGTCGTATCTGGGTTCAACAATGGGGTGAGTGGAGGGGTATGGATAGGTTTGTGCAAGTTCTGCCGTGTTCTCATGGGACTTTATGCTTCACCGCCTTTGGTTACGTGGGGTAGATTGGCTGGGGAATCTGCTTCGCACTTTGCACTTCACGTCACAGAGCCTATTTTATGGCCTCGAAGGCATACTTCACTGGCATAGCATCCGGGTCCCTAGGTGGTGTCATTGAACCCGGTCAGTGAGACATGATGGCCTTAAAATGGCAATTGAATAGCATACATAATCTTAATGACACTCAGTTTACGTGCTCCGGGTATCTTAAACAACCAGTACTCCACCGTGCAAAACATACGGCCCTCATTACATATCGAGGAGCCTTCCTGCGATTCCCTCAACGCGGCCGCCACCGCCCAAGACTGCCCTCTCGGTCGTTCGGTCTCGTCCGTCTTCTCCTATCACAACGCATTTGAGTATCTTTCCTTTCGAGCTGATCACCGCTCTCCCAATTCTCCCATCCATCCATTCTAGCCTAATATGTTTCGCTTCGGCATCAGCAGGACTGATATCTGAAAAGATAAGTTCTCGCCCCTCCCCTTGCTCTTTATTTGCGCTGAGTCCGAAAGCCCTCCGCATGCCGACAATAACAGTAATTCGGTTGTGGTAAGCAACAATACGAGACCTCAGAGCCTTCACGAATCGAGGCAATGCCTGCTTCGGCCCTTTCAGCAAATCGCCGCTCTGCGTAGGCGCTGGTAAATATCTGTCTGCCAGAGAATCCAGCGGTATGCAAGGCGGCACTGTATGTCTATGCACACGCCATGCACTGCTGTCTGGATGATGCCTATTCAAGAACACGTAGTACGGCCTTATAAAGTGCCCGCTCTGGAAGGCCTCGATGCGAATCCCAAGGACAGCGCCTTTGTCGATTGAACATGGATCTGGGTCTTTAACTTTGAACGTTGTAACTCCGGAGCATATACGGTATAAACATTCTTGGTTGTATGTTAACTGCTTTTGCGAATTGCTGCTAGCGATATTGTGGAGTGGATTGTTATCCTCGGTTTCGAGTGATTTGGGTGCAGAGCGGAGACGTCTCGGAATTGTTTGCGAGCGTGAATTGATGATATTTGCGGTCTGTATAATTCGTCGTTGATGGAGACCCACGACTATGGTTGGTTCGGTCAGCATGGCCATTTATCAACTGGAGTGGGGGAAACATACCTCGTGCTTCGAGGGATTCAAGTTCATCATCGAGCTCAACCTGTATGGGATCCACCGGCGGTTGTTCAGAAGGGGAAACCATCATAATTTAAATAGCAAGGTGGTTAAGTTCTCAACCTTCACCTGTTGAACTTGTCAAGTCAGTTGTCGCATGCTGTAGTTCTTGGGGTGAGTATGTTTACATCAATTTGGTTTACAAGCGCTAGTTCACAAACCTTGGCCTGGACCTTGAGTGGTGCGTATAGCACGTGACCCATATTGTGCTCCTGTTCGAGCATGTAACGACATACAGTAGGAACTACTTGTAACTTACTCAGAGTATAGTGGTTAATCACTTCACTGTCAGACCGTGGTGACTATTGATGTTTGAATATTCAAGATACTTTAATGTGCTTTGCTCGGTCGGGTATCATTATGTTTCAGTGGAGAAAATCGAGGTATGTGACTGTTGGACAGCATACAAAGATAGGACATGTTAAGTTTTCAAGCGTGGCACACGGAGCAAGTTGGGAGATGATATAGTTTGCGAATGTTTTTGTGAGAATAGTCTAGTTGTGTTAAAAACCATACCGACCAGGTAAGCTAACCACATCACGATAAAAACAGCACACGAGAAAAAAAAACCACGACGGCCTCAATTCCTCATGATGCTGCATCATATCAATGATCCCCAAACAATGATCTCTCCGATCTAGTTGTACAATCAAAGCAGAGCCACGGAGTTGTGGAAACGGTCCGTCTTCGCACCAAGGAGTCGCCGAAGGCAAAAAGAGTCAAAGTCCCTAACTTTTCCGACCCATCCGTCGCATATTATAAAAGAAATAGGGTAGGGTATTTTTAGAGTCGTGATGTAGGAGTTCATTAAGTCACGATGGTAGTCGCCCAGTTGTGGGACGGAATGACGGACAATTAAGCCTTCTATGCGGTCTTCTCCTCGGTCTCCTTGGCGGCCTCTCCACCTTCCGCAGAAGCCTCCCCATCAGGGCCTTTGTTGGTCTTCACGTACTCATCGTACACAGTGAGGGCCTCGTCAACCTTGGCACGAAGAGAAGACTCATCCTCAATACTAAAACAATGTTAGCTTTTACTAGTATGGAGAGAGAAAGAAGACTTACAGGCCAACAAGTTCCGCATTATCCATTTCCAAAAGCATACCGGTGATCTTTCCTGCGAGTTCTGGCTGCATAACTTGAATCTTGGGGAACAGTGCCTCGCCAAGAAGCTGCTTTTGCTGGGCCGGAGGAGCGGTGGTAAGCTGAGCCTGGAGAGCACTTGCGCCTTCCTGGCTTGCGCCTGGAACGGGCGCCTGGCCAGCCTGGGAAGTGCTACGGGCACCCTGAGGTGGGAAGCCGCCAGCCTGGCCTGGTCGGCCGGGCATTCCACGCCCAGCGTTGTTCTGCTGCCTATAAGCCTGCGGGGGCATGCCTGGACCCGGTACACCCTGTAGGCCTGCCATGTTCGGTGGCATTCCTGGCAATGCTTGCATAGGCATACGGCCACCTGGTCCGCCACGGCCAGCACCAGCAAGAGCTGCAGCCTGGGCCTGCTGCATGGCAGCTAAGAACTGGGGGTTTCCAGCCTGGCCGTATGGAGCTCCAGGCGAGAATTGCCCTGGGAGCCCATACACGCTAGGAGGCAACTGCTGGGGGCCTGGTCCACCACGGCCAGCTTGCTGAGGAGGGAAGTTTGGGTATTGACCAGGGCGAGCACCCTGGGCAGGAATTCCCATGCCTTGTTGCAGTGGGAATGGCATTCCGCGGCCGCCAGCGTTGGGGGGCATGAAGCCCGGCTGCTGACCGGGACCATAGAACATCGGAGCCTGGATGAATTGCTGAGGTAATCCAGCAGCGGCAGCAGCCTGCTGCATACGGATCTGGTTTCTAGCCTGAATGCTAGCCTCGAGCTGGCTCTTACGGACATCCTTGCGCTGAGCCAAGGCGACGTACAATGGCTTGCCGTTGACCATGCGTTGGTTCATCTCAGTCACAGCCTTCGTGGCCTCATCTGGGTTGTTAAAGCAGACAAAGCCAAAGCCCTTGCTCTTACCAAGAACACGCTTCTCAGACTTGGATGCGGCTTTCTTCTCGGCAGACTCCTCCTCGCCCTCCTTCTTCTCCTCCTTAGCCTCCTCAACCTTCTCCTCGTCCTTCGTCTCTTCCTTCTTCTCCTCGTTCTTCTCCTTCTCCTTCTTCTCCTCGTTCTTCTCCTTCTCCTTCTCCTCAGCCTCAGCGGTCTCGGCAGCAGTGTCACGCATGACCTTAGCAGACGTGATAGCTCCATAAGGAGCAAAAAGCTCGCGAAGTTTCTCATCGTCCACATCATCCTCGAGATTCTTGACGTAGAGGTTTACACCTTGGTATTTTGAAGCCTTCTCAATACGAGCAGCCTCGTAAGACTTGCGGAGTTCTTCCTCGCGCTCGTGCTTCTTCTGGGCGCGTCCGACGTAAAGATCCTGGCCCATGAAATCCTTTCCATTAAGCTCATCGACGGCGGCCGACGCGTGCTCATGGTTGATGAAGTTGACGAAACCAAACCCGCGGTTCTTTCCAGCCTCATCACGAGCAAGGGAAGCAGAGGTCACATCTCCAAACTTCTCGAAGAGCTCTCTGAACTGATCATCAGTGGCATCGGCAGGGATGTTCTTAACGTAGATGTTGGTGAAGTTGGCCTTCATCTCCTCAAACTTGCTCTGGCGGTCCTTCTTTGGGATGTGGTGGCCGACGAACACCTTCTTCTCGTTGAGAAGCATACCGTTGACATGCTTGATGGCTTGGCTGGCAGCCTCATCGGTCTCGTAGTGAACAAATCCGTATCCCTTGGAGTTTCCAGACTCATCCTGGGCAACCTTGCAACTGAGGATGTTGCCGAATGCAGCAAAGGTGTCGTGGAGAGCCTTGTTGTCGATGGCAACATCAAGGTTCTTGATGAAGACATTGCCTTGGCCAGTCTTTCTGAGAGCAGGGTCACGTTGGGACCACATAATGCGGCATGGGCGGCCCTTGATCAGGGTGTAGTTGAGCTCCTCAAGAGCCTTCTCACCATCGATCGTGGTGTTGTAGTTGACGTAGGCATAGCCAAGGGAACGGCGGGTGACAGCGTCACGGCAGACACGGATGGAGGCAACAGATCCGATCTGGGAGAAGAGCTCGAAGAGCATGGCCTCAGTCACAGATGGGTCGAGCTCTCCGACGTACAGAGATGCCGAAGCCTGGGGGTGGGCAGCCTGTGCGCCAGTTGGAGTTGGGCCGGCAGTGTCTGGGTCTTCGGAGGTGGCCTCAGTAGAGACGTTGGTGTTGATTGCCGTAGCATCGCCGCCGTTTAGGGTGGTGTTGGTGAGATCGGTGGCGAGCTGGTCCACAGCAGAGGTAGCCGGAGGAGCAGACATCTTGAATGGTTATTCTTGCAAAGAAAGACCACGTCTAGGTTCTTATGACTCTTGTTTTGGATGAAAATGTCGCACAAGTGAAGGGATCGTGTGACGGAAGATTGGCAGTAGGATGTTGTAGGGGTGAGTTTGATATGGAGAGATCGCAAATCTGAGGTTTTCTAACTGTTTTTCAAGTTTTTTTGTGCCTTTTTTTGCGGAAAAAGGTGTTTTTATGGGGTTGTAAGGAACAGGGCAAAGAAGAACGAAAGAAGTACGAAGGACGTTTCGCACTGAATCCGCAATCGATGTCAAGGTATGGGGGTTTTGTTGGTGGGTGATTGTGAAGAAAGGTCGGCCCTCTCGCGAAACGGATAAAGAAAAGTTGACCGCGTAGTGTAAGTGCGCTCACGCTATCGTTTAATTAGAAAGGTCGCACTTTCCCAATGGAGTAATTGGTCGAGACTATTGTGTGCCTGATATATAGGGCATATATAAGGCATGTACAAGCACCCAAAAGTGGCCCAAGGCTGAATGAAGCTGAGTAAGTGCATCGGTCCATGCAGGGTACTTCTAACAAATCCACGGACGACCACCATCAACTCTCTGATGATGAACGCAGCATAGTAGGTGGCCAATAATTTATTCTCTACAAAGCAGGTAAACACACCTATCTCCAGATAACTCACGACCCTTCCAGCCGCTAACTCCCTTCATCAGGACGGCCGATGACAAATAAAGCACAGGCTGAGTCATCTACAGCCTTGTGATCCATTTCATGCCTTCGGTGCCGGTGCCATGACTGCGAATCCCCCACCTCACCCACCATGTTCCAAAGCTTCTCCGGTAGCTCTCGCCGCACGCGCCAGGTGAACCTCTCCGGGCAAGACATCAACCCATTCGAGGCGTCATCATGGGCTCCAACAGCTTCCGGAACACAGAAGACGCTCGCTGCTGCTCAGCACGAGCGCCACCTGCGTCAACTTGAGCGAGAACGATTAGTCGCAAGCAAGAACATACAGAGAACCTGGCGAGGACATAGGGTCCGCAAGGATGTGGCAAATGGCAGGAGACAAGCATGGGGTCTTCTCGATAACCAGCATGCCCAGGAAGAGGATCTTGCTGAACCCGTCCTTACGCAAGAGCTAAACTTGCTGCTTGCATTCTTCAACCATAAGAACCCTGAGGATATCTCAAGGTTGGTCCGGCTCTGCCAAAGGATTTTGCAACGAGGCCAAGATGGTCAAGGCTTTGATGCCAACATAGGACGTCGTCTACCGTTTCTGGTGGCGGTGCTGCTGGATGCCCTCTCTCTGTTCGTACTACCCCTCTCTCACTGATCTTTATTTAAGACTTGATCCATGACCATCTAGGTGCTAACTATTTTTGCAGTCAGCCACAGCCATCGGCAGATATTTTGGTCCAGACACTCACATGCATTGTGAAATGGAACCCCAGCACAGCAAGCAAAGTAATCACGCGATTCTATACGATATTATCGGACCTTCTTATCAGAAGAGATTTGTCAGGCGAATTCAAGACCAAAATATTCGAGGTTTTCGCTGCGCCACTTGTTGTTAGAAGTGATATCGACGACGGTCAAAGGATCTTGCACGATGCATACGTCAGCTTAGCCTTTTCATTCCTCGCTACTCCTGATTTGGCGAGTAGAGTTGGTGACATGAAAATTCTAGCTGAAACTATCGACATTGACATTCTGAGTCAAGCCATACTCCATGAGGACTCCAGGGCCGTTCTCAACGATATGGATCCGGAGTCTAGACTTTGGCTTCTTTCTCACTTCATCTATTTCCATGGTCTATGTTCAATACAGCGGCAAAAACCCGGTTATATCAGGGCCCTATCTACCATCCTGTCACTATCAGCAAACGATATATTTGGGCGGATAGAAGTCTCACAGCCAGGTGTTCTTGATACATCTGATGAGGAAGTAGGCGGCTCAGAGCTGCTCAGGCAGGCTCTACCTGAGTTTATTAGAAGTCAGGTTATTTCTCTCGTCAATAAACAAAGTATCACAGACCTACTGGCAAAGTTTGATTCGTAAGTTTTGATGAGATACCCCTTTGACAGATAGCCGACAAAGAGTACTAACATCGAATAAGTGAACACGCGGACACTCGTTCCCCTGGGTATGAGGGAGATGATAGTTTACTGTCTAGCTACGCCTTGACCCTACTGCAAACGTTTCCCACCCTTGGGGAAAAGATTCGAATGTGGCTATATCAAGCTTCAGTCACCGTCACTGGAGCTCAAATTCCGGCTGTGAAGCTATTCTGGCGAATAATGAAACAGACATCGATCTTCACGTCAATAAGCACCGATTCGAAGGCCGCGCTAGAGATATTAAGGAAGCCTTCTAAACTTTCAGATTCACCTGCGGCTACCTCTAGCAATGCTACAAGGGATCGCGACTGGCGATCTATTCTTCTCTTTCTTGAGCTCTATGCATTCGCTTTGCGGTTCACTGATGACGAAGAATTCTTGAGCGGAGGAGAGACAAGTATGACTGAGAAGGGAGGCCTAATTTCACGATCAAGAGAGAGTGCCCTCCCACTACGCGATGTCAAGCTCCTGAGCGTTTTTCTCAAAAATCTTTCGTTCACTATGTATTACAATACGGCAGACATACTGAAGGATGACCGGCGAGAAGCTCGGACAAATCTGTCCTCATACTTCGCTACAAGTTCTAAAGACAACAACTCTACCGCCGAATTTTCTACTCCCACGAAGGACGCTAAAAATGGGAAGAACCTAGAATTTCTCGGTATAGCCGGTATGACATATGACTATGTTCGGAATATTGTTACCCGTGTCATGAAGATGCTTTACGAGAGAGATTCTCGAAGAAGTTTCTTGCCTCCAAACCACTGGCTTATGACATCAAGGTTTGATATGGGGAGCTTTATACCAGCTGTTGTTGCGGAAGAAGAAAGGCAGCATCAGCTGAACGTAGAAGATGGCGAAGATGAGGAGCAAGGTATTGGTCACGAGCCTTCACGTCCAATTGTAGGACGAGGACGATCTGCGGTTCTGGCCTGGCGGGAGATAGCGGCGAGGGAACGGCAAAAGAAATCACGGGCAAGCGCGCTTGCTGCGGTAGGGCCTCGTCTCGAGGTTCTACAGAATATGCCATACGTTATACCTTTTAAGACGAGGGTACAAATTTTTCGACAATTTGCGCACCAGGATCAGTATAGACGGAGGAGTGGTAATACAGATCCAGATGTGTGGCGCATGCTCAATATGCCATTTCCAGGCGAGGGAACTAGCAGGCACCACGCAAGGATCAGGCGTGATAATGTGCTGGAAGACGCCTTTGGCCAATTCTTCAGTCTCGGCGAGGGTTTGAAAGAGCCAATCCAAATTACGTTTGTGGATAAGTTCGACAATGTTGAAGCGGGCATCGATGGAGGTGGCGTCACTAAGGAGTTTTTGACTACGGTGACGAATGAAGCATTCCGATCTGAGGATGGCCCTGGTTACTTCGTTACGAACGATCAGAACCTTTTATACCCAAACCCTGCAGCAGTCGACCAATGTAAAGATGTTTTACGACACCAGGGTTGGGAAGAGTCTGACACAGAATGGAACGAATCAATAACACAGCTTTTGAAACGCTACGAGTTTCTAGGTCGTGTAGTCGGAAAATGTCTCTACGAGGGCATTCTCGTTGACATAGGTTTTGCAGGCTTCTTCCTTTTGAAGTGGGCCTCAACCGCAACTGCGGACTCTGCGTCTGAATTGAGATACCAGGCAAATATCAACGACCTGAGAGATCTTGATGAAACATTATATCAAGGCCTACTTCAGCTCAAGAACTACACTGGGAACGCACAAGACTTCGCGCTAGACTTTACCATTGATGATGTGGTATCTCTAGCAAATGAACCAGTGCGCACCATTACACGGGAGCTCATACCGAACGGGGCCAACAAACCCGTCAACAATGAAAATCGCGTGTTATACATATCTCTAGTCGCTCGGCATCGCCTTCACAGTCAGCCGTATCATCAAACACGAGCCTTCCTACGTGGCCTCAGCCAAATAATACAGCCCTCTTGGCTCTCCATGTTTAACCAAACGGAATTACAGACTCTCATTGGCGGCGATATGGCAGAAATCGATGTTGACGACTTACGGCGCAATACAGAATATAGCGGGGTATATGTTATCGGCGATGATGGCCTTGAACATCCAACTATCAACCTATTTTGGCAGGTAATGAAGCAGCTCGATGATCAAGATAGACGGAAAGTCTTGAAATATGTGACTTCTACTCCAAGGTCGCCGCTCTTGGGCTTTGGCCAGCTAAATCCGAAGTTCAGTATCAGGGACGCAGGAGGCGATGAGCAGCGACTTCCGAGTGCAAGCACATGCATAAATTTGCTAAAGCTTCCAAGGTACACTTCAGCGAAGACGATGTCGGAGAAATTGCTTTATGCCGTCAACTCCGGAGCTGGGTTTGACCTCAGCTGAGTAATAGCGAAACGGTGGCAGTGGAACGACGCATAGGATGATGCCGAATGATATATGAAGTGAAAGCAAGTTAGACATAGAGAGCTTTTAGTAGCAACCAAATATAAGCATAGCTACTCGAATGGGCGTTCTAATTACCACACATAGTAGAATCTCTGGAAATCTTGGAAAGGGCCGTGAATCACAGTCATCTAATCTAGTGTGGCTCCTTCCGGTAGCTTATTTAGACCTATTATTGTTGTACATCAGATTTATATACATGTCTCATCTATTCTAGACCTAACGCTCAAAATAATGGCATGTGGCTCTTGAATTATCTGCACCAGATGATGCTCCCGAACTCCTGCAACATATGCTATAGTCGTACAAATATCCCGTACAAATATCCCTCCCTCCCCTTTCTCGGCGCCATTGCCGCCATTTCGCGCAGAATCAAACTTGCTGCATTCTTTGCTCGATTGTCGCCTTAGATCTCGCACGACAATGTGATTGATGTATCTTAATCTTCGCCGTTCTCTGTCTTCCATCGAGCGAGATATGCCTCTCCACTTAACGCGCCCTTTGGGTCTCCTTCAAACCGGCCACGTGTCGGCTTCATATTGCGAGTAACGAAAGGTGTGAGCTATATCTCATGTCAGCTATTTACTCGTGAAATCGTATGATCAAACTAACGGTAAATTCTTTGAGGCCCTCTGGCACAACATATGTCCGCACCTTCTCCCATTCGATAACATATCCACCGTGTTTGGTATGGCGACCAGTGGAGCCAGTTCCCGTTCCTTTGTAGAATCCCTTGTTGGCTTGCTTCGTTGTAAGCGCAAGGCGCCGAAGCCGCCTGAACAATGATTGCGTAGGCCTCATATCGTAGTTTGTGATGAAGTCGTTGTATCCTTGGGCCTGAGTTGTCGTTCCCAACTTTGCGATCGCCAAGACTGAGAAAGTCTTAGCGTGGCGCTACTTTGGACCCCTGTCAAAAAAGTTCCACCACAAGATAATCGATAACCAAATTTCGCGACCAGCAGTATTTGGAACTTTTTAAATAAAAAACAGCCCAGCGTCACTGGTGCTGCTTTCTTGGCTTATTAAAAAGGCAAGGATGGGAGGAAGACAATCCCATGGTGGGCCGCTAGGCGCCGCCCCGAAGGCTTCAAAGTCAAAGGCAAAGAAAAACCGGAATCTGAATGCCTTCGCTATCGCTGCTCAACAGCATCCCGAGAAGCTCAAGGTCAGTCGCCATCGACTAGGAGAATCTGAAGGTGGCTCGAGACCTGGGAAGCGTGCAAGGGCGCAGGATGGCTCCGACGAAGACTCTGCCGAGGAAGAACCTAGCAAGAAAAGGAAGGGTCGATCAAACGACCCAGACGAGGAAGGGAGCGACAGTGAGGGAAACGAGTGGAAAATGGGACAGGTTGACAGCGACGACGATAGCGAACTTGATAGTGATGACGCTTTTGGAGAAAGTGACGACGAAAAGTTAGAAGGGTTTGCGTTTTCAGGAAGCACCGAAAATATGAGGAAGGAACCAAAGAAGAGAGGTGGGGATATCAACCTCGACGAAGATGGAGATAGTGAAGGGAGCGGTTCCGATGATGATAGTCTGGGCGAGGATGCAATTGATCTTGCTGCTATGCTTGATGCTACGGAGGAGGATGGGCCAGACGACACCGGCCACGCTACAGAAGAGAATATGGAAAGCGATAGTGAACAATCATCAGATGGAAGTGGCGATAGCGATGAAGAGAGCTTTGAGACTTTTACGGATGATGAAGGAAATGATTCTGATGATGACCCCGACAAAATGCTCGCATTACAAAGGCTCATCGCGAATCTTCCTCAAGCCGACGCCTCTAAACAACGCCTCGATCGCCAACGAAGTGATAATGCGAGCGAATACGCCACCCCCTCAGATTTTAAAGTCACATCAAAAAACAAGTTAACTCTTGAAGACCTTGGGCTACCATCAATTCAGGATAAATTTGTTAAAAGGTCACTCAAGCTACTGGCAGCAGAGGCTAAGAGCGAGGGGGCGAAAAATGGAGTGTCTGGGAAGCTTGCAGTTCCCTTGACTCGAAGAGAGCAAGAAGTGCTCAATCGCAGCGCTGCATATGACAAGACTAAAGAGACATTAGAGAGGTGGACAGAAACTGTCAAGCATAACCGCCGGGCTGAACATCTTATGTTCCCATTACCAGACGCCGACCACTCGTCCATGAGCAAAAACACCAAACTTCAGCCAACGACTAGTTCGAAGCCGTTCAACGAGTTGGAAACTGCCATTCAAAGCATCCTGGAGCAGAGTGGCCTGGCCACTGTTGATGGGAGGACCGATGAAGACCAGATTGCGGAATTCGAAGAGCTGGAGGCAAATAAAATGTCTCTTGAAGAAGTCAAGGCCCGCCGTGATCAACTACGCATGGCACGTGAGCTTATGTTCCGTGAGGAGGCAAGATCTAAACGCATCAAGAAGATCAAATCCAAGTCTTACCGCAGGGTTCATCGTAAGCAACGTGAGAAAGAGGAGCGCCTGAACAAGGATGCTCTTCTGGAAGCCGGTATTGTGCCTTCGGAGGATGAGCAGGAAGCCCACGATCGCTGCCGAGCAGAAGAGCGGATGGGCTCTAGGCACAGAGGCAGCAAATGGGCAAAAGCTACAAAGGATGCAGGACGTGCTGCCTGGGATGAGGATGCACGATCAGCTATGAATGAGATGGCTGTACGCGACGAGGAGCTGCGCAAGAGAATTGAGGGTAAATCTTCGCTAAGGGATGGCGCAGATAGAGATGAGGATCTGAGCGACAGTGATGATTTCGGTAGCGACGACGACGAAGGTCTAGGGGAAGCTCAACTATTGAATAACCTCGACAACAGCGGCCCAATCTCAGACAGTGGGGTTGGGGGACGGCTTTCAAACATGGCATTCATGTTAAAAGCGGATGCGGCGCGGAAGCGAGAAAACGACGATGCCGTCAAGCAGTTGAGAAGAGAGTTAACCATGGGAAGTGTCGAGCCAGAGGACGAGCCCCCTGAAGACATCGGGCGTCGTTCATTTGGCCCAGGGAGCCAAAAAGCTGCCCAGAATGGTTCTAATGAAACGAACAACCAGCAAGAATCCGACAGCGAGCATGGCGAAGAACCTTCGCAAGTAACTCAAGAGCGAAATAAGTCAACCTCAAAGGGTTCAAACAATGACAAAGAGTCGAGCAGTACCATGCGTCATTCTCATGCACCTAAGCGTGCGGCGGTTTCACCGATAATTTCGACCGATCAGGCGCACGAAGGCGGCGCCTGGTCTCAGGTCAGCTCAAGAAAGAATGCAGTTGAATCGTCAGACGCTCGCCGTCGAAAGCAAAAGGCCCATGCCTCGGGCGCTACAGATGAGCTTGATCTTACCAACGTGTCGATGATTGCCGCTCCATTCAAGCCCAAGGGTAAACTTGGTGGGAAGAAAAAATCCACTGCGGCCGGGATGACAACCCTACATGTCTCATCAGATGACGACAGTGACGAAGAGGCGGGGCCTAAGTTGCCCTTCGCAATCCGTGACCAAGAACTTATTGCGCGTGCATTTGCCGGTGCTGACGTCGTCGGTGAGTTTGAGGACGAGAAGCGCCAGGTTGTCGAGGATGAGGACGAGAAGGTTGTCGACAGTACGCTCCCTGGCTGGGGTAGCTGGACCGGAGATGGATTGGGAAGGAAATCTAAGGCACGGAATAAGGGCCGGTATATGGTGAAGACTGAGGGGGTTAAGGAGAAGGACAGGAAAGATGTGAAGTTGGACAAGGTGATCATCAATGAAAAGAGGGTGAAGAAGGTATGTGATGGTATCCTACGCGACTTGGAGGCGTCGTTGAAGAAATGGATTGTGAAGCTAACTATTCATCGCAGAATGTTAAATATTTGGCTAGCAGCCTTCCTCATCCGTTTGAGACCAGAGCCCAATACGAGAGGTCCCTCAGGTTACCTGTTGGTCCAGAGTGGACAACAAAGGAGACATTCCAGGATGCAACGAAGCCCAGGATTCTACTTAAGCAAGGCATCATTGCACCGATGTCGAAGCCCCTGGTTTGAGACGCTTTGGAGATGTTTTTGCTATATAAAAATATATTTAGTACGAACAAGAACAAGATTTAAGATCTGTAACACCTGTAACACCTGTAACACCTGTAACACCTGTACTCGTGGTGTTGCTGTCCTACGTAATTTGGAGAGGCGGTGCCTCGACGCTGTTTTATATAACGCGTCACGTACGTACGACTGGTAAAGCAGCATACATTTATTAATCCAAAGTACGAGTAGAACCTCCAGCACTCGCCGTCACGACGACCAATAACTTCAGGTGATGGGTCTGCATGTTAAATAATCGGCGACACAGGATGAGACAGCTTGTCATGTACCCCATCTAAAACAAGTTGATTTGCGTTGTGTGTTCCGGTCCCATGATGTTCACATTGCCGTACAAATGAACACTACTCCAGCAATTGTCTCACTTCAAGAAGGTATTTGGACCGTCAAAATTCCTTCGATTTCCAGCTTTTTAACTATCATACCATCTTCAGTTCTCTCCACAGGCTGGGGAAATTATTATTTTAAAAATCTCAGTGTCTCCAAAACGTATTGTGTTTGTTGAGTTGTTGCCGATCCCAACGAGCAAGAAACCTATTCTTCCTTCTCTTTTCCACTACCAAGCCAATTTACGCTCTTGAGTGCTCGACCAGCAACCATCTGTTTCAAATCCCACTACAAAGCGCAATGCCTTCTGATAATATTTTCCAGGCACTATCCAAAGATGCTCCGCCATCTGTGATAGCCACGCGTCCAGACCACCCCGTGAAGCGACTGGGTATAACGGCGCAGAAAGCTCCTCTTTCTACAAACAAGTTTTACGCCAACTTTTTCCTCGGCGATCAAAGCCACGCATCGTGGACGCATCCATACTCGGTGGTATGGCCGAAGGGTGGAGGTTCCTCCAAGAGCTGGGGCCTTGCGGTTTCTCATATCGAAGCCAACCAACGGGCCTTCGGTCCAGACCCGAAAGCAGATCCAGCTGAATACTTCGTCAACCCGATCGGCATCCAACATGTAGTTTTATCAGCAGCTGAGCTTGGGACATCGACTGCTCTCACCACGGACAGCCTCACCAGCTCCTCCGTGAATGTTAATATCCTAGCAAGTGCGGGAAGCAAGCCCGCGATCACGTTTCCTCTTGTCCAGGGAATAGGATTCATTACCGGAATTTACAATGATTCTACTCCTATCCTTCAGAGTGGCGTGTTATTCCGGACGATTACGCAAGCAAAAACAGCTCCAAAGGAGGGGGTTACCAAGTACACCATTGTCCTCGAGGATTCAAGCACATGGCTCGTCTATGCTCATGCTACATCTAGGCAAGGTCTTGAGCTTAGTATTGCCAATAACTCACTTATCAAAGCCACGTCCAAATTCCAGGGCACACTTCAGATAGCTAAAAGCCCAGTTGCAGGTGCCGAAGCAGTGTATGATGCCGCCTGTGGAGCATATGCCACTGGATCGACTATGACCGGTACCGCTAAGGGCCCTGCTGGCACATATACGATTTCTTTCTCAAAGGGGGGCCTAAAAGATTCCACCCTGGTTATGTTTGCATTGCCTCACCTCGTTGGGTCCTTCTCATCCACTACCAAGGCTGCAGCCAAAGACGTAAAGCTGCAGACTACAACCAAGGGCGTCGCAACAGCTGTTGTGGCCGACTCATGGACAATGGAAGAGCCAAACATGCCCGTTGGAATGGGTTTTGCACCTTGGAGCCCATCTCTTGGAAATATTGCCGGACTATCGCCAGCAGCGATTACTAGCATTCAAGAGGTTGCGGCCAGCGACCTGAAGCAGGATATGTCCGCTCAATCAAACGGGGATTCATTCTACTTCAGTGGGAAGGTATGTCAATACAAGTCAAATTGAATTTATGCCCCTAGCTAATACATGGAATTACTCAGGCGCTTGCCAAGTTTGCTCAAGTTATCTATGCTTCCAAGGACTTAGTGAAGGATGAAGCTTTGGCTCAAGATGGCCTGACGAAGCTCAAGGCCGCGTTCGAAGTTTGGACTACCAATAAAAACAAGTACCCGCTAGTTTACGAGCGTAAGTACATTTATAATATGTCCTTCGCCTTTTTACTAACTGGTATCAGAGGCGTGGGGTGGCATCGTCTCGACGGGAGGTTATGTAACTGGCGATTCTGGAGTGGACTTTGGTAATACCAACTACAACGACCACCATTTCCACTTTGCCTACTTTATTTTGGCAGCAAGTTACATCGGTTATCTTGACCCTACCTGGCTTGCCAGCCACAAGGACTACATCAACACGATGGTTCGCGATACCGCCAATGCAAGCAGCGAAGACCCTTACTTTCCAGTTTCTCGAGGATTCGACTGGTACAATGGCCATTCCTGGGCCAAGGGCCTCTTCGAATCTGCCGATGGCAAAGACCAAGAAAGCAGTGCTGAAGACGCTTGTTTCGCGTACAGCCTGAAGATGTGGGGTAAGACAATCGGAGATGCCAATCTTGAGGCCAGAGGAAACCTTCAGCTCTCTGTTGTCGCCCGTTCGATCTCCACGTACTTCTTGTACACGAGCGATAACGCTGTGGAGCCTAAGAATTTCATTGGCAACAAAGTTTCTGGGATTCTCTTCGAGAATAAGATCCACCACACTACGTACTTTGGTGCCAACACGGAGTATATCCAGGGCATCCACATGATTCCATTGTTGCCCAGCTCATCACTAACACGGCCGAGAAAGTTTGTTTCTGAGGAGTGGGATACATTCTTCTCTAATGACAGAGCTAAGAAAGTTGAAGGAGGGTGGAGGGGAATATTGTTTGCGAATTTGGCACTCATTGACCCGAAACAAAGCTATAGCTTCTTTGCACAAGAAAGTTTTGATAATGCTTGGTTGGATGGAGGAGCCAGCCGTACATGGTACATGGCGCTTGCTGCTGGTATGATATATTTGGATGTTTATTACAAGACTACAGAGCAAAGCTAACAAATATCAGGACTTGGAGGCGCCTAGGATCAATCGGACTTGGTGACTGAGAGCCGGGTGCTGGCATGCGTTTCACAGAATTCCGTGACCCTTTGGAATTCCGTAAAGCTGGTCACGTGCTACAGGGAAAATTATCCGAGTTTCCCCGGCCCGGCAATTGGGAGTGTAGTAGCCGAATGACCAATGAGAGCATGGCTCATACCAAAGCATACCACAGAACAAATACTGACGTTAAGATGGACGAGTAATATAATGATAATGTCCGTGGCTACTCACTCAGGGTTCACTCAGGGTCTGTACTCCGTACATGGAATTTGTCCATTTGTAAATACATAATTTACCAGCGCAGCCACCAAAAGCGCCCCATCTGGTTCACGGTTTCTCCGTGGCTTCTTCGTACTATCCCTCATTCTCCGCTTCAACCCGAGCCCCGCACCCGACCAAGTATCAGCAGTTGCACGTGAGGGCGCGGGGCAGCATTGGTCTCCATTCCCCCCCCGTCCTGCCTCTCTCTCTAGACCCTCTTTCCTACTCTCTCCGTCAACTCATATTTCTCAAAGCTTCATAATTACCTCTCATTACCCACGCGATAAGTAGAAATACTCAAACCGCAATCATGGCCGACAATGGATCAACAGAGAAGATTAACACTGATATCGTGACGCTTACCCGTTTCCTCACCGAGGAGCAGGTAAAGCATTCCGAAGCTACTGGAGACTTCACGTACGTTACCAGCCCTATTTCAAGAGAATTCTTGCCTTAGTCAACTCTAACATTCCCTACAGTCTCCTCTGCCACGCCCTCCAATTCTCCTTCAAATCTATCGCCTACTACATCCGTCGTGCCACCCTCATCAACCTCACCGGTCTAGCCGGCTCCTCCAACACTACCGGCGACGACCAGAAGAAACTCGACGTCATTGGCAATGACCTCTTCATCGCCGCCATGCGCTCCTCCGGCAAGTGCGCCGTCCTAGTCTCCGAAGAGGAGGAGGAGGCTATCTTCTTCCCCGAGCACCCCGGCGCGCGCTACGCCGTAGCATGCGACCCGATCGACGGCAGCAGCAACCTGGATGCCGGCGTATCAGTCGGTACGATTTTTGGCATCTATAAGCTCGAGGAGTCGGTGTCGGGCGGGAAGGTGACGAAGGAGGATCTGCTGAAGCCGGGAAGCGAGTTGGTGGCTGCGGGGTTCACCATGTATGGTGCCTCGGCGCAGTTGGTGATTACTATGAAGGGAAGCAGCGTTAATGGGTTTACCATGGACAATGCGCTCGGCGAGTTCATCCTCACCCACCCCGATATGAAGGTGCCAAAGAAGCGTTCGATCTACTCGGTCAATGAGGGAAACAGCTTGTACTGGGAGGAGCCGGTCAAGCAATATTTCGATAGCTTGAAGTACCCCAAGGAGGAGGGTGGCAAGCCATACAGCGCGAGATATATCGGATCTATGGTTGCGGATGCATACAGGACGCTGCTTTACGGCGGGATCTTTGCGTACCCTGCGGATAAGAAGAGCCCCAAGGGGAAGCTGAGGATTCTGTACGAGTGCGCGCCTATGGCGATGGTCTTCGAGAATGGTATGTGTCTCTAATCCTCCCCCCCCACAAACTTCTTACGTTTCGAGAAGTGTACTAATAGTTGCGCAGCTGGTGGACAAGCGGTGAACAGCACGATGCAACGTATGATGGAGATCGTACCAGAGCATATCCACGACAGATCTGGTATCTTTATGGGCAGCTACGATGAGGTGCAGAAGGTCATTGATATGCACAAGGCTAGCTGAATATTCTCTCGCAATTTGAGGAGTATTTGAGCCAAGGCGAAACGGAATCTTCGAACCCCCAAGAAGATGCGCAACATTATCTCCTTGTGTGATCACGGCGGAGGACGCGAATTGTTGGGGAAGGGGCGGAAGCAGGGTAGATAGAGCACAAAGGTAGCTACTAGAATAGGACTGTATTTTAAAACTACGAATAGATGCCTGTCAAACAGCTAGCTGGTCAAAACACATTTCGGGGCCAAACACAGTGTTGCACGTAAGACGAAAGAGTTCATGAAGATGGAATAGAGTTGACGTTTGCATTGCCTCTTCTAGGCAACTAAATAAGCAAGTTCGTGATGATATAATAAACAAAAAGAAACAAAAGCATGTTCTATAAGCGACCAAGTATCTAGTTAAAACACAAGAAATTCATATAACGCATATGCTGATCAGCTATGAGTAGGATATCAGTCGTACAGTACAGTAAAACAAACCGCTCGCAAAGGCACGTCCTTTATGGCCTTTTGTCCAATTTACACCCATCCTCAATCAAACAGTTCCTTTCTCCCCACATTAAAGATGCGCAGCCCGACGCCTTGATAAATTAGACTCCTCGCTCTCCACATCGCCGCCTTATTACTGTGCTGCAGTCCAGAGCTCGTTCAACCGCGGCTTGGTCTCGTAGCTATCAGGCTCCGTGCTTTGCGGGCGACGGATATTCGAATTCGGATAGTACATGTGGCCCATGCCCCCGCTTCCATAGGGGTCTGGGTCTGGGTACACATACCCATTGCTCTGGCTGGTCGGGCTGGGCATGTTGCTGGGTGAATGCCATCCTGCATTACTCATATGCGGGCTTCCGCCGCTCGCACTTCCGGCAGACTGAGGGTTCGCTGGAGGCTCCAAGATCTGTGGAGGTCCGTAGCCAGTGGGGTGGGATGTGGGTCGTTGGTTATTTGGATACTGGGATTGCTTTTGGGGTAGTGGTGCGTTCTGCATGGGAACGTGCTGAGCATAGTCATTGCGGAGGTGCACAGGTAATGAGCTGTTGTTCATATAGGGATAGTCACCCATGTGGCGCTGCATGCCATTCATGGGGGCAAGCTCGGCATTGGGAGACATCGAGTGGGTACGTTGACCAGGCGATGGGGTAGACATCGGCGATCCAGTAGCGGAATACTGCTCACCGTCAGAGCGCGGACCACGCCCTGATCGGTTGCTGCCAGCGCGGGAGGCCAGTGCGGCTGCTGTAGCTGCAGCTGCTTCCTCAACTGTGCCAGTATGGTGGTTCTGATGGCGTGTGAGAGTCGTGCGTCTCGTGAACGTCTTTTGGCAGTCTGCGTAGGGGCATTTGTATGGCCTCTTGCCGGAGTGTATCCTTCGGTGCCTGGCTAACGAACTGGAATCGCTGAAACGCTAGTTGGAGTTAGTTGGTGCCTACAATATGAACAATGACAGTGATAAGTACCTTTCCACATCTCTCACACATGTGAGGCTTCTCGCCAGTATGAACTCTCGCATGCACCGTGAGCGCAGATCGCTGGATGAACTGTTTGCCGCAATTCGGATAGTCGCAGACGTGAGGCCTTATCCCGCTGTGAATTCGCTCTATTTAATATGTTAGTGGCCAAATAGACCGGCTTGATTGTGCGTTTTACGTACCATGACGAGCAAGATCACTTCTACGAGCAAAGCCTTTTTGGCATACAGTACACGGGAAAGCCTTTTGTTGCGTTACACCATGTCCGGGCGGTAGTCTTCCTGTTGATCGCGGGATTTCTTGGTGTTGAGGCGCGCTGCCATCAAAGCCATCATTGCGGAATCCTGCTTGCATCGGTAATGGGCTTTGCATCGCTGTCGGGGATGGATATCGCATGCCGTTGCCCATGCCATTCATGTGTCCCATGGACGGGGGCCCTGAATACCGAGACGAATGTTCTGATCCATGGGGAGATCCGCCGCGTTCAGAGGCCGTCTCCGAGTTTGCTTGGCCGCCTGAAGCATGCATTAATTGTTGATGGAATGTGTGGTCGGATGGTGAAGCTCCTGCGGCCGCAGCAGCAGCCGCAGCACCTCCTTTGGTGTTGAGGATGTTGGTGATATCCATGCTCGCGCCACCATTCGCGCCTGGATTCTGGTTCTGGTTTATGTTCGACATCGTGTGGGCTCAACCTTTTATACTTCAGGCGGGGATTTATAGAGAGGCCTCGGTGAGGCAATCCCGCGCTTGGATCAGGGGTTCGTCCGGTCAAGCACGGCCGTAGGTGGTTGCCGGGAGACTATGGATATAATTCGGGAAGCGGTTCAAACAGATATGGCGACCAAGGGTCTCGCGGTGAGAAAGGTAGGTCGCTGTTGGTGCATAGACGGCTATATTTTGGGACGGCGACGAGAGATTCGAATATTGGGTTGTCAAACGGATGTAAGCCTGGTGGTATTTCTGCAAAAGGGTAATTAGCAACTAGGCCCTTCCTTGCGAATAAGTCCAGATGGGTAAAGGATTCCAAAGAGTGAACAGGAACCAGCAAGAATTCGGCGAGAATTCGGCGAGAATACGGCGAGAATTCGGCGAGAAAGTAAAGTAGATTTTGGTAGACGGGGAAGTCGCATCCGGGGTAGTTGCAACTAACCTCTTGAATTCGCGCGACAGGGTGATGCCAGATTTGGGGCGGGACAGAGGGTAGGCGGAGTATAGGCCGTGCAATCAATACAGTACTAGAAGTTGGGTATGCGTGAAGCCGTGATGTTTTTGGTGATGATAACAAAGGGGGAGATGGGGAGATGTGTGAGGCGCATGCGAGATTTTGTCTGGCGTGTAGATGTTTCGGGAGAGAGGGGAGACGGGCTTGGGACGAGGATAAAACCGCGTGCACCCTTTCTTGTACTAATCAAGTACAGGACAGGCAGGGAAGACAGTTTGGGCGTTTGAGTGTTTGAGTTGGCGGTTGTATATAATCTTAGTCTCGTAGTTGGTGGATGAAGTTGGATGAAGTTGGATGAAGTTGTTGGAGGTTGGTGGAAGTTGGTTGATGTTGGTTGATGTTGGTGGATGATATTAACTTACCATACTATATACTATGTCTTTTGTCTTTCCCCGTCTCATCTCACCCTCTCCCCATACTACAACTATGTCTTTCCCCGTCTCACCTCACCCCCCCTCCCCCCTTTTCCCCCTACGCATATTACTTCCACAAAACAACACAAACAATAACCTCCGCCGAAATGCCAGGACCAGAGTTACTGCAAGGTTACTCCGAATAGAGTACTCGAACTCACCTATCCGCACTCCTTGCGCCTGCAAGCGTGATGCACGACGCGTCTTCGAAACAAACTTTCCCTCCCCTTCCCCCTTCCATCAGCCTCGCAGGGGAGAGTAGCCTCTTTGAGGGCCCGCTCGCTGCCCGCCCTGTGCTCAATCTCCGCTGATTACCCATACATGGTATACTTTTCGAACAAGGAGCCATGCAAGATGCAAGATGCAAGATGCAAGATGCAAGATGCAAGATGCAAGATGCAAGATGCACGATGCAAGTCTGCAAGCCTGCCCCCTGCCGGAGACTTGCGACTATGGAAAATTTCCTTCTAGAAGCCCAGGGGTGGATCCTTCTGGTGCCCGAGTGTTTCTGTACCGCCGGATGTACTGCCATGGTATTGTATTGTTTGGAGGATTGCGCGCTGCCAATGACTTCCCATCTATTACGGTTTTCATGTACACGGAGAACACGGAGAACATGGAGAACATGGAGAACATGGAGAACACGGAGAACACGGAGAACATGGAGAACACGGAGAACACGGAGAACATGGAGAACACGGAGAACATGGAGAACATACCTTATTCCTTATTCAGGCAAATAATCTGCTGCTAATACTACTACTGGTATGCTGGACTCCTTTTCCCCAGCTGTAATCCTCCCCCATATCCGGTTGGAAGTTCCCATATCTAGTCACGCCTCGCGCCCAATTCCTTCATACTCTTGAGCCCGCTCCTCGGAGGGTCGCCAGGTAAGCCACGTAAACAGCTCGGCGTCTTGAAGGGAGGGCATCTTTTGTTGTTGGAGAGACGAGGCAAACGCCAAGAGCAAAGTGTTGATGCGCTCCGCGATGGGGAGCGTACCCAATGGGTCCATACTCATACATTTCCCTTTTTACAACCCCCAGCCTCAAGCAACGGTGTCTTTCCTGACACCGAGGAAGTAATTACCTATCTTCTCACTCCCCTCCACCTCCTTCCATCCCACGCCTGGAACATACACCACCCCCTGCACCACCGCCTTGCTCCATCCGCCCTTCGTTGCAAAGTACTTTTCCAGCTCGTCCACATTGATGTATTTCTCCCAGTCGTGTGTCCCCTTCGGTACAATCCCCAGTATATCCTCGGCCACCAAATTCGTCGTGAACCAGCTCATCCATGTCCTCGCAATCGTGCTCATCACCAGCCACCCCCCGGGTCTCACATGCTTCTCTACCTCGTCCAGGAACGTGGCGGGCGTCGTGATATGCTCAACTACTTCGAATACACTGACAACATCGTACATCTCGCCCACAGGTAGCTCCTCAAGAGAGGTGTTGAGGTATGTAAGCTTGTTGCTCAGCGAAGGGTCGCGCTTCTTATGTGCCTCGGCAATGGCGAGCACCCCAGGCGTCGGGTCAATCGCAGTAACAGACTTTGTCGACGGTAATCGTGCCGCGGACTCAGCAAATATCCCTCCCCCACAGCCAATGTCGAGGAATCGCAGTTCGTGGGCCGGAGCCGCCCCATAGGTCTTCTGGCACTGCTGGATGAAGTCGTGGCGGAGGGGATTCATGAGATGGAGGAGTCGCGACGAGCCGTGCGGCTCCCACCATGCCGAGGCCAGAGCATTGAAGTGGGATACCTCCTCTGGGTTTACCGACGAGGGTGAGTGCCGAGTCTGTGAAAATTGACGGTGTTGATGTTGGCGAGCCGTCTGGGTGGCAGTCCGAACGAGCAGGTCGATGCTGCGTCTCGTCGAAGGGTGCATTGTGCAATGGGCGGCTGAGGCCCTGCGTGGACCCTGGCTGATATATCTCCAATACCACTCTCTTGAACAGATCAGATCAGATGAGATGGTCAGGCAGGGTATAACGCCGTCTGGTGGTCGTAGATCGCGGTCAGTGCCCCAGGTTCCCAAAGCTTCGCGCGGCTCTCGATTGCATTGCTGGGTAAACGCGCGAGGCTGTCAAAAATGATTGGCGGAACCTGGAGACGGACCGACGTATGTTCCGGCCTGCCAGGGGTGGAATGGAAGCAACGGCACTACCTTGAGTCATGAGCCGAGCTTGTGATTACCGAACACCGAGCGTCGGCTTTGCTTTCTTTCCTCGACTCATTCAGCAACTCGTTCACTCCCCTTGAGCCCATTTCCATCCACATAAGAACCCCAATTCGCCTTGTGTTGGGACAGGGACAGCTTCGTCTATATATTCCAATAGACCCTCCAGATCGTCCGCTTATTAAGTTACCCACACAATTTGGGGAATCCGACGGGAACGCTGTGGAACGATTTTACACTACAGATACACAGAATGCCTTCATCAGTCGCAGTGGCAGGAGGGGCGGACCAGTTTGACTCAATAGAAGACGCCATCGCAGCATTCAGTAAGTCTCAACTTCTCAACTTTTTTTCAATTACCCCGCATTCCCGCCATCGAGGGTAAATACCCCATTTGAATCTCGAAACTAACAAAAAGTGGCAGAAAATGGCGAATTCGTAGTCGTCCTCGACGATCCCGGACGCGAGAATGAGGGCGATCTCATCATCGCCGCTGAGGACGTGACGCCGGAGCAGATGGCCTTCATGGTCAGATACTCCTCGGGTCTCATCTGCGCACCCCTCGTCCCAGAGCTGTGCGTCGACCTCGGCCTCCCCCAGATGGTGGTGAACAACGAAGACCCCAAGAGCACGGCATACACGCTCTCTATCGATGCGAACCACCCCAGCACAACGACCGGTATCAGCGCGCAGGACCGCGCGCTGACCTGCCGCATGCTCGGTGCGAAGGGCGCGAGGAAGGAGGATTTCAGGCGGCCGGGACATGTCTTCCCGCTGCAGGCGAGGAAGGGATTAGTGAGGCAGCGCCCTGGACATACCGAGGCTACGGTGGAGTTCTGTCGGTTGGCGGGTAAGCAGTTGGTGGGTATTTGCTGCGAGTTGGTGGAGGATGGGGAGGTGGTGGAGGGGCAGGCGCTGAGGAAGGAGCCGGGGATGATGAGGACGGAGGGGTGCTTGGCGTTTGGCAAGAAATGGGGACTCAAGGTTGTTACGATTGAGGCTCTGGTGGCGTATGTGGAGAATCGGGAGGGTAAGTACAAGAATGGATCGGATTAAATGCATTCTTCGGTATTGGCGCTGCTTATGGATCTGGAATTGTATATATCTACACCTCTCTCTAGTGGGTTGTCTTTAGATTTGGGGGGTCGGCCTATGCAAGTCCGCGAGTTTGTTTTAGCAACCGCAATCTACCTTGTCTCCATTGCATCTATGTTGTAGTTATGTGTCAATATGTTACTCATACATATCAGAATAATCTGATATATCCGCAGAGCGATTGTTTGGTTTTATTGTTGATTCGGCGAATAAAATATACTCTTGTCGTAGAAGCAAGGGTATTAAAAAAGGGCGCTTTTCAAAATATATTTATTTCGACTATAAATATTTATTCCTCTACATCCTCAAACCGCAATATCAATTTATTGCCTTTCGGCGAAGCTGTATAGCCGTCTTCCTGCTCAATCCCATCATCACAAACGATGTGGGATGTGAAGTTCGTATACGTAGCTGCAAGTGCAAGTTTCATTTCTCAACTGGTGTTAGTAACGGGTCATCCAAGAATAGAAAAAGACTTACGAAGCATAGCAAAATTATTCCCAATGCACATCCTACCACCACTCGAGAAAGGCCAGAACCACTTGTCTCTTTCCTTTGTCTCCTCCCCCGACCTACCGTCTCCGTCCAACCAGCGAGTATGATCCCATACCTCCGGCTGGCTATAGACATCCGCACTGCGATGCAGAGTCCAGGCACTGGAGCAGACCCTAACACCGCCTGGAACTTCATAACCAACCAGGTTACAGGAGGGATAAGGCGTTACGCGAGGGCTGGAACCGGGAATTGCGGCGTTGAGTCGTAAGGTCTCGCTGAGAACGGCATGGAGAAGTGGCAACGCGTCCAGGGTCTTCAAGTTAGGGAGACCTGGCAGTGGGGATCCTTCCTTGATATGGTCTGGCGAATATTTCAAAGGAGGGTCTAGCGTAAGAAGTTCTGCCCTGAGAGCCCTTTGCAGCTCGAGATCTTGGGACAGGTGCCATGTTGCATAGGTAAGGGTGATCCCCGACGTCTCGTGGCCCGCTGCAAGATTATCCAGCATCTCTGTAGCGACCATGAGCTCCTTGTTATCGAAAATACGGCAAGAGAGAATCGACTGCTCCTTATTGCTTTCCTTCTGGATGCCCTTGAGCATGGCCCTGACAACCACGGGTTCTTCGCCGGGGTTGTCAGAATACGACGAGCATTTATTGCTCGAAGCCGTGGCGGCATTGCACATTCCCAATGCCCAATCCTCGATCTCGTCATTCGCATCGTCTACCCATCTCGGGACAAGCCGAAAGCCGACCTTGCTCAGAAATGAAGTCAAACGAGGAACCTCTTGCGGATAGTATACGTAGGGTTTCCGGCTCTGATACAACTCCAGCCAGTGGGATCGATAGGCAGTATCACGAACGAAATCAGAGGAATTTGGTAGCCCGAACTGATAGGCTGTGATAGTATCCATGCTTAGAGCATACCAAAGCTTCAGGACATCGATGCCCTGTGGCTTCTGAGATGGACTCGCAGAGGCTTTGAGGGTGGGCAACAACCTCTCGTATAGTATACTCTGAGCCTGTGCGGTTACGGCCGGAGACGTCTGCAATGCCAATTTTGAGTATGTATGAGACACCATACGCTTGCTTGCCGAATGAGGACGGCCGTGAAGCGTTGAGAATGTGCATTGCACTCTGCATGAAGATTAGAAAAACATGTCATCCTATCTGGTGGTTCACATACCCATAATTGTCAAACACAGCATACCAATCTCCCTTCTCAAAGCCGCCGCCAAAAATAGTCTTGACTCCTCCGTCTATGGTGCCAACGCTAATTTCGTTTGGTCCCAGCCTCACCACAGGCCCAAGCTTTAGATGAGCAGCGCGAACGTCATGATTCTCTGTCCACCTGTACCGGACAGAAAGGATCCAAAGGGGGGAAAATGGCGCACTCCAGTGTGCGTTTGGGATCTTGGAGAGCGGTGATATGACGGCGGGATATATAATAAATTTATATAGGCCGAAGAGAAAGACGACTAAAAAGGCAATCGCTGAAATGCGGATATTTGCCGACATTTTGAATATTGTCCCGTCCCAGTGGCACCTCGTTACTCAAACTTGCGGATAAGGCCTCAATGGCCTTTCCAGAGTGGCTACTATGATCGTCAGAACCCTATCAGGGAGGTCAAAATGGCCAGGACGGCGGCTCAGAGAGTTATTTTAAGGGGATCATAAGCGTACCTGACAGCAGAAGCTTCGTTATGTGGTCCTATTACTTGCTGATAGCATAGTATGTAAATGTTGTAGAGGCATTAATCGTTGGTTCTCAAACCACCGCCTGGAGGCGATTATAGTATTGGTAAAACGCGGGGTTAGAAATCCACTATTGACTGCTGACGTTACACCCTCTCTGGGCATCGTGGCGTGCTGTCGATAGCGCTGTCATGTATCTCCTCTGTAGCGATTATCGCTAGATTTTAGTCACGACTAGAAAAAAAAACTACCAGGGTGGTTGAGGCTGACCGCGAGGCTTGCTCATTTTGAAGAAAGATCATAGATATCCATAATGACTGCTCTATACCAATTCCCAAGCTCCATGACTGATCACGAACCATGTCTGGCAACTCCTCTGCTTCCGATATCATCACCTACGTCGGTGTCCCCCTTGCCGTCCTCGGAGTCGCTCCTATCCTCTACAACACCGTGATAACGCTGGCAACATTATCCAAGGTTAGACGACTACTACGAAAGTCTCGTCTGGTGGGCATAACACGAGGCGATGTTGTAAATCATGTCATTGAGTGCGAGCTTGCGCGCTTCAGCATTGCGCCCCTGAGCCGCCAGTATGACACGGAGGAGTACTGGAATGTGTACGAACACCCTAGCCTTGTCCCTGGCGGCAGCTGGACGATATTCAACTGGAAGATGCATGCCATTGGTATCAAAACCCAACGAATCGAATATTCAGACCAACTGCGTCAGCCGCAGGCTGAAATCAATTTCGAGGACCTCCTGAGCTATCTACTAGACCTAGGTGCGGTTCCAAATGCTGCGGGTTTTCAAATGCTAAGGACTTCTGGTTTGTGGGTCCCGGTTGGGACTCCTTTGATGTTATCCCCGGATCGCCACGAAGCTGTGCTGACGATTGCTCCATTGGACGACTCGGATGGAATGCTCTCGTTGGCGGTTAGATGGTCGCGAAAGTGGGTTGTGAGAGGGAAGACATCGCTGCCGCCGTACTGGATACAAGTCAAGGCATTGCGGGAGAAGGCGAGTCCCATACATGAAGGGAGTATCACTGAGGACGGGGTGTCATCCATCACGAAGTCTCCCGCCGATCAGGAAGTAAGTGGCCATGAAATACCATTAGACAAAAATAGTGATTGACAAACGAGTAGGATCCGGAGCTCGCACAAGCTACATCAGGGGACTTGATTCCTGACGATAATAAAGATTTAGAAGCTGCGAAGAGTCACAGCAATACGGTGTTACATACTGACGTGGTTCGGTGCCACATAACATCAAGTGGCATCACCGCCGCCCTAAGAGAAAAAGCCTTGGACTTCGAGCCCCTTCCCATAACCCATTTACGTCCTTCCTCGGGCTCGCCTACGAGCGCTGGCATATACTTCTCATGCATCAGCACCGCCCTCAGCACTACGAATAACGCCGTCCTATGGTCCTACCACATCCCACCTCCATTCCTAGCATTCTCTCGAAGCCCTATTATCCCCTGCGGCATCCTCGTCCTGCTAGGAATGGTTCCCATAACCTCGACCCCTGAGTGGTACACCGACTATGGCGACTCCGGCGCTGAAGAGCGAGACCTGCAAATGCGCCGAATGCGCGATAGCATGACTGCAATGCGGCGAGAAAGCTCAATGACTCCTGATCAACACGCCGTTGCCATACGAGACAGGCAATTCAAGCAACACCAGGACTTTGTGGATGATAGCAACCAGAGGCGCCGACTTGCAGTACAGCGCGAGGAGACGAGGATGCTTGAAGCGCTGCAGAGCCCGCAGTGGAAGGCGCAGCTGGTTGGCGAACATACCCTTCTTTGGCTCAAGGAGCAGAACCATGTTGCAGTGAAGGCAGAGCTTCCAGAGGTTATGGAGGTTGTGCTGCACAGGATGGTCACCGAGCCGGCCTTCGCGAATGATTTGGCCGAGGTACTGGATACGTGGAAGGGATGGGTGGAGGGAGGGGGGATCCGCAAAGCTGACTATCTGATGCTCAAGAAGAAGTTGGTAGTATTTGCTTTTGCGAGCTTGGTGTTGGCTATGGTTTATGGTTCTGTGGAGCCAATGGACGGGTCGTTGTCGAAAGATCTGCAGGAATCGATTGGGATCTGGAAGAAGGTTAGGCTTGGTTGATGGGGCGAGATTTATGTTCTGTATAGCTGCTATGATACCAATTATAAATTAATACCTGCTTAAAGCTGAAGTCGTGAGTTTGCCGTTGTACTTTCTCCCCGGCACTGTCCGCCATGGGATTGTCTGTCCGGGTTCGTAAACAGCATTTAGCTGATTGGATTTGGCACACGAAGAAGTAACTGGAAGCAATCTCCTCACGGCTCGCCTTCTTGCATCCTACAGACTGTAAAAGTTATTAACCTCCCGATTGAAGTGCCAGATTCGATACTGGTTTCCGTCTACGTTGACAGGACCACGCAGCAATACAGTCTTAAGATTGTACGCCCGTTGGTTTTTTTCAACAGTTTTACCACGGAAGTCGATCGCTCCCATGCCATCCTGCTCCGAACTCTGATCTTCTTCAAGTCGTGGCTCAAGGCCACGTTCTCAATGAAAAATAATAAGCAGTATGCCATATGTTCATGTTTTCACTATAGAGAACTATTAGTTATGTCTTCCAAGAGAAAAATCTTGAAACAATTAAAAATAGACGAAATATCAGATCAAAATTGCCCCGTCACAGGCGATATCATCAATACCAACAAGTGGCTTATGTTGACCGTCGTGATAATTGGATCATCATTTAAAAACAGTTGGAAGTTGCAAGATTTTGACGTTTGGAACTTACAAATTTTCACACATGGTGAGATGGTAAAACAGAATCGGTCCTGCGTGGTATTTTTGACCAGAGACGTCACTCTAAACAGGATTCTCAGCAGCCATTCAATCAAGAAATCATTGCGCAAAAGATTCGTGATGAGCATAATCAGTGCGGACAGTCTCGTCGTTGCTGTTAAGCTTGGACATATGCTTGTCATTTGTCGGTCGAAGTCATCACTATGCTTGGATCTGGTGAATGAAATAAGAGTATACATACACATGGACGACTGCTCTGGCCACATGTTGCCCGAGATGAATGGTTATGTAAAACCTCTGAGGTATGTGTTAGCTTCTTGTCATAACTTGCTTAAAACATCTTCCAACAATACGTGGGATAAAGAATTCAGAAGGCATGAATGGTTTAATTTGATTTGTGTCTACATGCGTAACCGCGATCAGACTCGTCATCTAAAATGCTCATCAGGTAGGAAATGTATTGTTGCGGAAGAAGAAAAAATCGTGTAACCTACATCATGGAGCAATTGGGCATCTCAAGCCGAAAGGATGAAGTGATCCATCGCTCGCAATTTGAACTGTGCAATTGCATAATGGAGCACTGGATGTGTTAGCATGAAAACTTCATGACATATTTGTAAAATAGCATGTTGTTGACTGCGTTCAGTGGGCGAGGTTTTCTAAGTCTTGCCGCAAAGAGGCATCTCCTGTCATAAACCAGCTCGATCTTGTCGAGACTGTCGGAGCCCAGTGCCGATTCATCCTATTGCAGGTGGGTGTAGAGAGTGTGATCGAATAGTTCGTACCTTTCTTTTGAAGAGGTTAGCAACCGTTTCAAGGTAAAACAACATCCAACAAAGTGAAGAGTTTGAAGTAGCTCAGAATTTTAGCCATTGTTTCCACAAAGACGAGGTCTTATCGGTCGGTAATTCCTGCGTTAAACACAGTGCCATCATAGCATATAATTGGGTACAGCGAGAAATAAAAAATCGTACCTACCATTTATTGAGTTTTGCTGCACCTGGAGCCATCAATGCAAAGAGATCTGGGAGCAATAAATGATCGCCAATCTGAGACGGCAAGTTAGCATTGAGCTTGAGCGTCAAATATTTTCCAACACAATGAAATAAAAGTAAGTCTTCATCATTCTGACATGCATAAATCAGCATCGCCAGTTGGGATATCGAGCCCCTAAGGCTGCAGAAACTCTAGTTTGGTATATAATAATCATTTGAAGATTGTTTCCAGGTGAAGGCAACGTAAAAGTAAAAGTTGAGATGACATACCATGGTGTGAAGCTAATCGCGTCGCGACATTAGTTAAAGCTGATACAGCTGATCGCTAGCCGCGCCGTATTTCACTGTTGAAGTGAAACACATATTGCAACGGAGTCGCGGTTTTGTTGTACAGCAAAGAAGTAATGTAGGTCTGAACGTGAAGTTGAAGGAAGAGGATTGGTGAAATATCGATATTTGTAGTCGATGCTTGCTAGCGTATAATGAGCTTGGCCCTAGTTTCGCCAAACAGAGATTTACTAATAACGTGCACGTGACTCGATTGTATTTCCATATAAAATACCGTTGCCGCCTATTATGTAAGGCAGTAAATTGTATTTACAGTCAATAACTATGCATAACTTATAGTTAACGGGCACCGGCGCCGCCTGCCACAGCGTTGACAGTCTGAACAACAAGATCTCCTCCATGTGTTGGTACTCTGACAATTCCGAGACGAACCCACGACCAAATGCTCAGTATGTATCAAGGGACCGGCTGTACCGGGACCTACTATGGTCAGAATTGGCATTCTATTTAAGTGGCTGGCGAGAGGTTACGGAGAGATGGGGTGTGTGGTCGCGGAGAAATGGCGCTCTTCTCCGTCTCCCAACTACTCCGCAACCATGATATTTAATTTCACAATATATTGAGGTAAAGAGTGATATAACTTCTGAGCTCATCTGTGAAGATTGGGTCTTGGTGAAGATCTAATCGTTTACCCCGCGATCATCACAGCTATTACTTCCCCACATATAGCTCAGGTAGCGTCAGTCACTCTTATCTTATCTGACCAATACTTGGTTTGACGCGCCGCGACTTCGCGTTCAGTCACTGAAAAAGATCAACCAACGATCAAGAAACCACCATGGCGCCTACCAACGTGGAATTGTTCGATGAAGATGATGCCCCTATCATCAATCCGTACGAGGTTCTCGGAATCGAGAAAACTGCAACGGCCAATGAAGTCAAATCCGCGTACCGCAAAGCAGCGCTGAAGAACCATCCAGGTGCGTGTCACGCTGCACTCAACATATTTCCTTGACATTTTGAATTCACCACTACCCACCATTTCATTACCATACATACTGACATCCCACCTAGACAAAGTCCCAGCCTCAGACAAAGAATTTGCAACTAAAACCTTCCAAACCATCGCCTTCGCCTACGCCGTCCTCTCCTCCCCAACGCGACGTGCTCACTACGACCGCACCGGCTCCACATCCGAAGCCCTCTCCTCATCCGACGACTTCTCCTGGTCCTCCTTCTACCGCGCACAGTACGAAGATGTCGTCTCTGACGTGGCCATCGAGGCTTTCGCAGCGAAATACAAAAACTCGGAAGAGGAGAAAGATGATGTGCTTGCTGCGTACGAGAAGGGGGAGGGGGATATGGATGTGGTTTATGAGATGGTTATGCTGAGTGATGTGGTGGTGGATGATAAGAGGTTTAGGGAGATCATCAACGATGCTATACGAGAGGAGAAGGTAGAGGCATACAATAAGTTTACGAAGGAATCGAAGAGCTCGAAGAGGGAACGGACCAAGGCAGCCAAGGACGAGGCGAACGAGGCGATGGAGTATGCAGAGGAGCTGGGGATCAAGGATAAGCTGTTTGGTGGGAAGAAATCCAAGAAGGACGATGGACAGGACGGCTTGAAGGCTTTGATTATGAAGAGGCAGCAGGATCTCCAGGAGCAGGGTGACGGGTTTTTGGACAGGCTGGCGGCGAAATATGCGGAGCCGGAGAAGAAGGGGAAGCGGGGTGGGAAGGGGAGGAAGAAGACTGTGGTGGAGGATGAGCCTACCGAGGAGGACTTCCAAAAGGCCTCAGCGCGGTTGGGGGGGAAGTCACGAAGCAAGGCGGACGATGATGATAAGAATACTGAAGGGAGGAGGTCGAAAAGGGTAAAACGATGATATCACTGGGGGTGATAGATAGTACTGGAAGCTATCTGAGACGGCTTTACTCTACGTATAATCAACAGCAGTTGGGGAAATCGATTTCAACTACATGCAGTGTATACATGCATGCATCTTGGCACACAGGTGGCGCAGAGGCTAACATTGTTATCTCATACCAGCTTATTCTAGGACAGCGTCTGCGCGCTTTGTGCCTTTGGACAGTGACGTGTATCACTGTTGAGACCACGCAACAACTGTGCTGCGCCACTCTTTCTCATATTGAGCGGGAGTGGTTGATTCGCCATGCACTGGAAGCACTGGGCACTTGCATCTGAAAGGCCTCTTGGCAGCGCAATACCGAGTTCAGCTCAACCTTGGACTGGAGTACGCCCAGAATGTCAAGAAGGGACAAGCAGTGCTGCCGTCTATACCTGCACGTATGTCTGCTAGCTATGTTTGCGATGAGGCACAAGACTGTCCAGTAGCAAATACACACAGTATGGTCAGTATAACAGTCAGTATAACAGTCAGTATAACAGTCAGTATAACAGTCAGTATAACAGTCAGTATAACAATCAGTATAACAGTCAGTATAACAGTCAGTATAACAGTATGGCTTCGAGAAGGGTGAGAATACTTTTTTGTCCCCCTATAACAAAGTAAAAGCAAGCTTGGTGTTGAAGGGTACAACCGGTGGCACTGTGAGATACATACATATTGCATGTACCTTTCAACATTTTAAAAACGTAAGTTACGGAGTATCTTACGATGCGAAGTAGCACCGGCGCGGATCGGGACCACAGTGGTTCCACAGCCAATAACGTCCAACGTTGGTGCTTGCTGTGGACTTGGGCCAGACACCTTGAGAGAGCAAACTTGAACTTCCTTGCCCTGCGCCCACAACCTCTAAACATCCATACACTCACCCCTAATACTCCACATCTACAAATCACAGATCTTCAGAAGAGAAGTCCCCAGTCTCTCTCTTTCCCAGCAGCTCCAGAGCTCACTCTCTGCGCAATACACAGCTATCCGCCTGCACAGTACCAGACACAGTACCAGACACAGTACCAGACACAGTACCAGACACAGTACCAGACGCACCGAAGAATCTGCCCAGATCTGCGACTGCCGACACGTTCTCTTCCTGACTTTAATCGCTCGGTTTATCTGATCCTGCCCACTTGTCGAGATTCAATTTCTCCCGCTTCAGAAACGCTCGGCAGTTAGTTGACATGACCACAGCACTAGCTGTCACCCCGCATTACGCTTGAACCTTGGCCGCAATATGAAGCATCTCGAACACTATCAATCATGATTCCCAAAGTTCATAAATAGATAGCATTACCCCGCAGGCAGGAGGTGCATTTGGCTCGTCTGCCTGAGAAACAGTTACAAGGCGCGGATATACGCCAGCGCTTGTCTTCCCTCGAAAGAAATATAAAAGGACCCGGTTGTCTCATATACCAAAAGATTCTTCAGCTATGGCGGGGCGACCTACCATGTCCATGGAGGCGGCTCTTGATGAGGAGAGATTGGACGTCTTGGAGCTCCTGCAAGGGCTATCGAATAAACCCTCTCGACAACCCAGAGTGCCTGGTAGCCCTGTGGGACCAGGACCAGCACTCCTCGGCCGGTCATCGTCGCCATATAATGCTCACCGTTCGCCGGTGCGGAGCATGCTAGACGTAGTGGAAGACCCCAGGCCGCGGAACTCATCGATAGCAGGGACGAGTAGTAGCGGTGTCACACCAATTCGGAGCATGCTCGATATTGGCCCCCCCGCACCTCAAATCTCCAAGAGTGCAAGTACCTCGCCAACAGATAGCTTCCCTTCACTATCTCTACTCCCAAAACCGCTTTCGGAAATCCCGCCACACCAGCCCCAAGGCCGATACAAGGGCGATGTCACGGATAGCTACCAGTTTTCGGGTTATCTGCACAGCAACCCAGGCGCGCCGCTAGCCCCAAAAAGAAATACATTGGCTGGCAAGAAGGCAGTGCCTGCTCCCTTGCCTGAAGGTGTACGAGTCGACTTACCTGGATATAGTGCCAGGGATAAAGTGCATGCTATGTGTACAACAGGTATAGGGTCAAGCAACAAGTCTAAATCACCACATAACCGCCACAGCTTGCGCTCGAGTTCCCCTGCTCTTGGACCTCCTCCAACATCGAACATGCTGGTAATGGACAGCGGTGCTGTTGTTGACAAGGACAGTGCGTATAGGCGCTTATCTGATGCCAACTTGGCTCGCGCAGGTGGAAGCTTCTCAGCCCTTACAACCAAGGCCCGAAGAAGAACAGATAGCAATGATAAGAGGGACCAGCGACTGCAGAAAGATTACACATTTACTGGCGCTGAAGATGTCGTCGAAAGCAGCGACGAGGCTAGCACAGGCGAAGACGGTCCCAGGGGCAGGAGGAGTGAGAAACGGACTAGTAAAGTCGACGATCATCCTGAATCCAAGACTGTCGGTATGGGTCGAGCAAAAGGGGAAAGGACTGCTCGAAGTCTAATGGCTGCAGCGGAAGAAGAAAGGCAGATGATGGAAAACAAGCAACAATACAAAGTCAGATCACTCCTAGAGCCAGAGATCACCATTACGGGGCCAGGTGGTGATCGACTCAAGGGAGCAGCAAAGCCGGGAGTTCATCCAACGAACGCGTTTGATCATGAAGGCGGCTCAGGGCTGAGCACTCCTCATGATTCCGACACGGAACAGGAAATTTCTGACATCAGGCGTGCTCAGAGGCTCGCGATAAATCTCACTCCTATCATATCAACGCCTGAAACACAAAGAAGCGTTAGGACTCTATTCCGCGGAGATTTTAACCAGATGCAAAAAGAAGCCGAGTACCAGCGACGTGTGAGGAAATACTTGGTCGCGACCGATCTTTCGGAGGAAGCTGCTCATGCTCTCGAGTGGACAGTGGGAACTGTTCTGCGTGATGGAGATACTCTCCTCGCCATTTATTGCGTGGATGAGGAGACAGGAATCATCCCTGACACCAACATCGGGTCAGACGATACAGCGACAATAGAGAAACAAGCTGCCTCCATCGCGTCCGCGACCCACGCTATACCCCCCCCTAGTATTTCAAGTTACTCTACTATGTCCTCTCACTCTCATATTCCATCTCCGTTGGGTACGCCGCGGACTGATGTATCTGCCTCGCCTATGAGCCGTGATCGGCCTCGCACTGAGCAGGAGCGCCATCGCGCTATCGAGGATATCACAGAGCGAGTTTCGAAGCTGTTGCGGAAGACGAAGTTGCAAGTACGCGTTGTTATTGAGGTTATCCATTGCAAGAGTCCGAAGCATTTGATTTGTGAAGTGATTGATTATTTCAACCCGACATTGGTTATTCTGGGAAGCAGGGGCAGAAGTGCGCTTAAAGGGTATGTAAACCCATCTCCCCGCTATCATATGGATGAAGATACTAACACAACCAGTGTCATCCTGGGATCTTTCTCAAATTATCTTGTTACGAAATCTTCTGTGCCTGTCATGGTCGCTCGGAAACGCCTTCGGAAGCATACCAAGTATAAACGGTCCAGCGTACGGCTTGCCAACAACCTCACTGGGGTCAGTGGCAAGACGCTGGCAAGTGCAAAGATTGACTGAGGCATCGCTACTGAGAGCCCGAATTGGACAACTAGATGACTGGCAGAAGCGAATGGGAAACTTCGCGCGGGGTATCGATCCTTGCTGTCTGCACACATGTGTACTAAATAGCCAACGGAGCCGCGGGTGGGTGGCAAGCTCTGCGAGACTATGTAGCACAGAGCCCTAACCTGAGGCTCGGCTTATTATAATAATATTGATCAAAGCACTCTCTATTCTGAACCTCACAGAAATTGTGATAGTGACACGCAAACAAGTTTCTTTCGATGAAGACACTTTGAATATGACTAAGTAAGAATCCGCGCACCTGAAATGCTGTTCCTCTACAGAAATAAAACTCAACCCCTACAGGTAAAATACAGTGCAACAATAGCCGCGGGCTGTTCGTTCAAGCACAACATTATAACCCATCCAATCCCCCACACATACTCGTACTTCCCCATAGGCTCGACCTCTATCTAAATGTCGAACTGATATCGTTTTTGGTCCATTCGACCGCAGGAACCCCATCATAGACATCTGTGCTGATAGCCCGTACTCTATTCTCCACATCTTCAAAGTAGTTCTCGCAAGCTTCCAGAACCTTTGCAACCAGTGCTCGAGACAGACCTGGGTCGTCTGCATCGCCAAAATGCTTCTCCACGCGCTTCTTCAGCGCTATAATACCGTTCCTTATATACTTTGAGTCGTGTTCCGCAAGTACCTGTTGGAATGCAATCCTGCTTTGTCGTGAATTCTGGGCGATCGTGGACGGAGGACTGCCCTGTGGCAGGGTAAGGATGGTTGTTTCGATTGTGTCGAGGAACAGGAGAAGTTGTTTGAGCGGGCGTGACATAACTGCCGAAATGTATTTCCCAAGATGCTCATCAAACTCCTGCCCTGCCTTCTCTTTCCAGTCTTCCAGAACATGATTCCTTCGTGGGTCAACCTCTTCCAGATAATGGTTCATGTTCTCGATGAGGAGAATCTGGTGATTAAGCTCTTCCTTGTTCTCCGACCCTCCTCCAGTCTCCATAGTTCCCGTGTTGTCACGAGCAATAATCTTGAGACTTTCAAACATTGTCTTGTTGATCCGGTTGTACGCGTTGTTAACCGTCTCGCGAATGTCCAGGTCGTCCGCAGACAAAAGCATGCTCTCGATAATTGTAGAGAAGAGCGGGAATATGCGGATGAAGCCGATAACTCCCTTGCGCCTCTTGATTTTGACTTTTGTGTCCTCAATGGCTCGTATCTGCTCATCCAAAAATTTGACGAAGAGTCCCACAAGGCCACTGTGTATCTTTTGCAAGGACCGTGCAAGGAATTCTTGATTGGATTCTTCGATATCAACGAGTTTGCGCTCAATGACTGCAATGATACCTACTCCTTGCCTATTAAAATATTAGAAATGTATCTTTGAAAGGTAACGATGGGCTTACAATGGATCATCTCGTATGGCCCATTCCACCAATTGTTGCATATCACTGGTGAAAAAGGAATATTCGTCTTGCATCGACGATAGAACTTTTCTGGCGAAGTCGCGGTTTGGATCCATAAGCTTTAGTTTCTTAAGGTCGCCTCCATGTCGTGCATCTGCAGGGACGGAAGACACAGCTTCGACAAAGTCTTGAGTCTCGAACGAGGAGATATGGAAAAAATCTACAACAAAATTCTGCTCTGCGATAATGAAGGGTAGAGTCTCGTCAAGAATGTTGTTAATGACCTCATACCGGGATATGCGGCCATCCTGGACTTTGTCGGCCGGTGTTCTGCTTCCGCTGTCGCCAAGCGGCGATCTCAAGCTCTTTGCTAAAGTTTGACTCCGCTTGACTGTTAATTTTCTCGCTGTCGTTGCAATGCCCTCGGTCTGTTTTTCGACCTGGGAGGTAAAGAGCACTTCATGTTCGTCCCCTGATGGCTTTTTCGCATTTCGCTGCCATGCTGCCACAGCATCCCGGGCCTCTTCCTGGTATATTGGCCGGGATGCGGATACGTAGATCTTCATGAACTCTTCCCACTCGACGCGATCTATCTCTCTCAAGAAGAGCATTAGAGGGCTGTATTTCCACAAGATGTTTCTCGTCATATCATGGCTTTTTGGATCGAGCTTGTTTTTGCCGGTCCGTCTATTGAGTGCTGACTCCTTCTGTCGCTCTAGCCCCTTTTTGCATTCGTCAAAAGCAGCAGCGAACTTGACTTGAAGGAATTGTTTCAGTCGGCTCAGAAACAGGGTGCTTTCTGTTTTGTACATCTCCTTCTTTTCCTGCAAGACGCGCATGCTGCTAATGCCGCTATTTTCAAACTTGCCGGAGCGGCTACTATCGTCTTCACTAGCACGGGATGACGATAGGCTGCTAAGCGTTGGATCGATTGTAATCATAGCCTTAAATAGTAAAACCAGTGCCCTTTCAATTTGGTCGAGGCCCTGTGGAGACTCAAGGGAGGATTCCTTTAGGGGCTGGAGCTGCGATAGTGATATCGATACTGTCTTAAGTAGAGAATTTAGCTCAGCTTGAAGAAGCTTCTGGTTCGCTGCTTGAACTTGTAGACCCTGTGATTGAGCCTCAATGTACGCAATATCTTCATTCAAAGTCTAAAACTGTCAGTAATTAACGCCACATAGAATATCAGAGCACATACCCCAAGTTCAACACCGTAGAGCGTCAGCAGGCCATCAAGCTCTTCGCATTCGGCTATAGAAATATCCAAACCTCTCCTGATAGCGTCAATCCTATCATCTTCTTCTTCAAAACGACTTAACCAGCCACCAATCTGTGCTTGGTTGAGCTCTCGGTCGATTTCGTCATTCATCTGGTCAATACTCTTAGCATGAATACCATCCCCCATCCAGCCAAAATCATCTAGTAGTGTCGCGAAAGTTGCTCCCCTGTCATCAAGAATAGACGATTCTATACCCAATGACGAAAGCTGTTTTTGTGTCTCTTCTGTAGGCTTTGGACGTTTGGCATCTCGAGGCTTCTTTTGCGGGGAAGCTTGCTTCGAAGTGCTTTTCGGGGGAGTTTTCTCAGCCTCAGCCTCAGCTTTCTCAGTGGGTGCAACGGTAATCTTCGGCAGTGGGCCCTCTGCTATCGGCGGAATTGCCTCTTCTGAAACCAGATGATCCGGCTTCCGTCGTGAACTATCGTTGCTAACACTCCGCATCTTAGAAGGAGCTGGTACAACCCCAGTGATCCCATCTGGGCCTTCTGGCGATTTGGCTTGCTGTTCTCTAAGCCTTTCAGCGGCGCCTCCTGCTCTTGGCTTAAAGGAATTGGCTACACTTGCAGCAGTTGCAGCTTTCCGGAATGCGCTTGCGACGTCAGCCCTCGACTTTTTCTTGATCATAGGGCCAAGGCCAGGTCTGGCGTCCTCTAGAGGCTCCTTAGGCACCTCGACAGCCGGTTCAGTAGGGACTTGTGACGAATCTTCTGTGGGGGGTTCGGTTATGTTACTATCCTTGGTGACATTGAGAGGCTTCATGGGAGCGGTTCCTGGTCGATCACCTTGAGCTCCAAAGCCTGTGCTTGACGGACTAATAACCCTGAGGGGTTGGGGGGCTTCTGGCCTGTCCGTGCTGCGAGCTGGAGGTCTTACAAGTTCCCGTTGAGACGATGGAGTGGCCAAAGGCGCTGGGACCATGTTGTCAGTGGAGAGAGACCTCTCCGAAGAAATCTGCAAAGGAGGCCTCCTTCTTTCCGGGGGAGCGTTTCCAGCTACAGGGAGTTCATCAACTGGTGTCGCTTGGCGCGGAACCCCGGTATTGTCAGGAGTCAGAGTCCTTTGCGACACAGGTGTGACGGTCCGGTCCGGAAACCTGCCAGGGACATTTGCCGTACCATTTAGGCCTCCGCGCGATCGAGGTGGCAAGCCCCCATCTCTACTCGTAGAGGCTTCTTGGCTTTGGCTGTACCCTGTCAGCTTGAGCACCCTTGGTAAGGCCTGCTGTTGCCCAATTGAACGTGATGTGGAAGATTCTGTTTCCGAATCTTCTCGGGGAAGTTGCATCTGTGAATTTGATGTTGGGGGTCGAGCATCAGAGGTAGGACCAGCCTCATAAGGAGATCTTTGCTCCTGTCCTGGGGACCTTTGCCGGGGGACAAGGCGGGGTGGTTGACTTGGCTGGCCAGGCTTGTTGAGGGCTGGAGGGCGTGACTGTCCAGATGCCCTTCCAAGCAACTGATCTTTCTCTTGATCGTCGAACCCTATGAGCTCTGGCGCTTTACCTCCCGTGTATTTCATATAAATCTTGACAAGGCTTCCTATGAAAAACTGCTTTTCTTTTGGAGTATTCGCCTGCCAATAGTATGGTTTGCCAATTATTGCAATAAAGCCGACGCCCCCGGCCCATTGCCTTCGAAGTTCCGCCTCGGGAGTAGTTGGCGCCGAGCCGCTGAAGGATTCCACCGCTGTTAGATCGTCAAGTGGCCATGTTTTGCCAATCGAAAATGTGCCGTTTCCATTTTCTCGCGCCTTATGCATGCGGACACGGCCAGACTTGCGAACCGCGACAATTATAACCCGGGGCTTTTTCTGATCTGTACTCGCGTTTGGCGGGGGAGGCGACGACTGATAGGCGCCATCTTCAAGGATGCGTATATGCGTAATGTAAGATTCGGCCACTGGAAAGTCAAATATGTCAGCATCAGTTCATACGTTATCGCGTGTATCCCTGGAATGGGGCCACCATACAAGATCCGTCTGGGTCCTTCTTAGAGAAACAGCTCTCAATGATCCTCCGCTTCTCATCCTCGAACTTCTCTGCTTTGTTCGCTCCATTGACGCTACCGGAGCCGTTGCTCACACCGGATCCATTGGTCGTTGGGCCACCCATTTAGCTGTATATGCCCGCTACAGAGGCTATGATTAGCGCTCCAGGGCAAGGAGTTGTAATTGTAGCCAATGCAGGCGTATTGCATATCTATGGGCTGGTATGCAAAATGGGCATCTTATAACTGTAAAGCTTTAAGATAATGATATTGTGAAGAAGATGGACGGGCATCAACGCGCTGGTCAACCAGTGTAACTGATATGATGTTGTCGTCTCTTGGGTGCTACCAAGTATGTCACTTGTCCAATCCGGACTAGCCCGAACGACCTTCAATTCCACGCTAGTGACTAGTTCAAGATCGGCCCGCTTAACTTTTTTTTATCACTCTCGCTCTGCGACGATAACAGCCTCGAAGCCTCAAGATACCCTCAAACTTCTGAATTCATTCTGGGTACTGCCAATCAACGCAACTATGAACCCCAATCTTGTGCCTGTGGCCAAGAGAAAGTCAAAGGCACCCGTGGGCGAAAAACCAGACTGGCTGTTTGGAAATGGTGCCTCAAAGCCCGCCGCAACTCCTCAAGTTTCTTTATCTCAACCCAAAGCTGGAAAGAAAACGGCAGTTAAAGGTGCCAAAGCAACCACCACCGAGAAATCCACGAAGACTCCTCCTTCTCCCGAATTACTCAATCTTGTCGGTGAATTCCTGACCGAATTCGGCTTCAACAATACTGGCAATCTTTTTGCTTCTGAGCGCAAAGATCGCACCAAGTCCGAGGGATGGCAGGGTCGCCCTGCGGCTGCTGTCAAGACGACTTCAGTCACTCTCGGAAATATCTACGAGAAATTCCGCGAGACTAAGAATGGCAACACTGGTGACAAGCAGAAGGACACTCAGGAAGCACCTACAAAGAAGGAGGTTGTGCCTAAGAAGGCCGAAGCAAAGAAAACCAAGGAGAAGCGCAAGCCGATAGCTGCCAAGGAGTCATCTAGCAGCAGCGGAGATAGCGACAGCGATGTTGAGATGGGTGATGTGAAGGCAATTACCACCACAGCCAGCAAGAAATCGTCTTCTTCGTCTTCATCTGGCTCGTCGAGCTCGGAGTCGTCAGACAGCGATTCCGACGATGAAAAGGAGGTTCCGGCAGCCAAAGCGGCAGCTCCAAAGGCCAAGGTCAACGCATTGAAGCGCAAGGCGTCGTCCGACAGCAGCAGCAGCTCCTCTTCTGACTCCGACTCCGACTCCGACTCCGATTCTTCATCTGAGGACGAGGCTCCAAAGCGCAAGAAGTCCAAAACTACACCAGCCGCTGCTGAATCCACATCATCATCCGACAGCGACAGCGACTCATCTGACAGCGACTCATCGTCGTCCGAAAGCGACAGCGCCGCCAAGAAGTCCGCCAAGTCGTCTTCGGACTCTTCATCTTCTGATAGCGACTCCTCCTCATCTGATTCTGATTCTGATTCTTCCTCCGACTCCGACTCTTCTACACAATCCGCGGCCGCAAAGGTTCCCCTCCCTGACTCTGGTTCTGACTCGTGTTCCGACTCGGACAGTGATTCTTCATCCGATGAGGAGATGGGCGATGCCACCGCCAAATCCGACTCCACTGCCACACTTGCAAGCTCAGACTCAGACGACAGCTCGTCAGCTGATAAGAAGACCAAGTCAAAAGACAAGAAAGCAGCTGCCAAGCCCAAGGAGGCTTCGCCTCCACTCCCACCACTCCCACCTCTTCCAGTCCCAAAGAAGACCAATGTCCCATTCTCCCGAATCCCCAAGGATATTGTCGTCGACGAGCGCCTTAAGAGCAACGCCTTCGTTCCCTACGACTACGCACAGAAGGCCCACGAGGATCTCATCGTGACGAAGGGCAAAGGTTTCACCAAGGAAAAGAACAAGAAGAAGCGCGGTAGCTACAGGGGTGGGTTCATTGACGTTGAGGGAAAGAAGGGCATCCGGTTCGACGATTAGGAGTGTAAAATGCGCTGGGATTTATCCAGAATACTTTTGTAGCTAAGGGATACGGTTATTCCGTACGGAAAGCTCTCATTGCGATTAATAGGGGATATAAAATGCATCAACCAATCAGAGAGCGATAAGGCGTAATATATATTGTGATCATGTGACCACGTTCTGTAAGCTGCCTTTTGGAGGCTAAGCACAAAGCAACAGTGAGGCCGACCAACAAGCTCGTCAAGTGTATAATGTCGTGATGTTTATGAGTGGAAGACGCAGCCTGGGAATCAACCTTGGACTAGTAAATAGTTGGCAGGTTTGCACAGCCGCCGCAACGCCAAATAGTATTTTGACACTTGGCGCCGACAAGCTCACCTTCATGGCTGTTACCTGAGGGGCTTTGATGTTGGTTGCCTTTAGAAGTTGAAGTCAGCGCGAACAGCCCCAATGGGTGGCATTTGTTCTTGGGAAAAAGGCAATGAGGCTTCAGATAAGGCTCGCTGGCCCGTGAGGAGGCCCGACGAGGGGGACGATATAGCTCAGAGAATACCCGCTGAGAAGACGCTTGAGAAGCTGTCAGACACAAAAATTAATACGATGGCGAACCATACCACCCCCCTAACTTTGGACGCATACAACGCCGAGCGCGCCTCGGTCCTAGCAGTCGAGAGGGCAGAGGGCTTCGATGGACGAGCAAGAGAAACGGCTTCTGAGTTACAAAACAAAGCAAACGAAATTGTTGTCGCGATTAGACAGAGAGATGCAGAGTTGGTTCATGGTGGGGCGCTGGACATGTTAGGGAAAGTAATTACCCCAGATAAGCATTTCGTTGGGAATGCTTCCAATATCACAAGCACGAGTCTGTTCAAGATTGCTCAGCAGATGCCCAAGGGAGCTCATCTACACTGTCACTTCAATTCTTGCCTCCCGCCTCAATTTTTACTTCGCCATGCAAATAATAACGCCCATATGTATATCAAAAGCGACCTCGCGCTAAACTCGGAGGACAACAAGGAGCGTGCTGAGATACAGTTTCAGATGCATGTTATAGAGGAAGAGAAGCATCTGGAACATAGCACCAGCCTGCTGCACGATAGTTACAAGTCAAGCTTTCATGCCGACGACAAAAGGAAAGGTTGGTACAGCTATGACAAATTCCTCCAGGAATATCCTGGCGGTGAATCTGCCGCCGAGGAATGGCTTGCTTCCAAGCTTTTCTTCACCGAGGAAGAAGTATACGGGATATCCCAAACAACAGCAAAGTCAGTTACCACCGTCACCCCTAACCCATTTCAACCATCTAACTTTCCACAGCATCTGGCTCCGCTTCGGAACCCGCACACGCATGCTCAAAGGCCTCTTCGGCCACGAATCCGCATTCCGCGCCTACACCGACGCCTGCATCCAAGATTTCATTCGTGACAACATCCAATACGCCGAGATCCGGCCCAACTTCCCCAGCAACTCCCTCGTCAAGTCCGACGCCACAGGCTTCATCGATAACGTTGGCCTCCTCCAAATAATCGCCGACGCCGTCACATCCCAGCGCCAATCCGGCGCCCCCTTCACAGGCCTCAAAGTAATCTACTGTTGCCCACGCTCCTTCAGCAAAGAGCGCGTCGCTGCCTCACTGGTCGAGTGTATCGCCCTGAAGAGGAAATTCCCCGACCTAATCTGTGGCTACGATCTCGTCGGCGGCGAGGAAGCGGGGTTCCCTCTCCAACACTTCGCGCCGGAACTCCTATCCTTCCGCGCCACCTGCATCTCTGAGGGCCTCGGCATCCCCTTCCTCCTTCACGCGGGCGAGACGCTTGATAGCGGTAGCTCCACGGATGCTAACTTGCTCGACGCGATCCTGCTGGGCGCTAAGCGCATCGGACACGGGTTTGCGCTCCCGAAACACCCAAAGGCTATGCGGATGGTGAAGGAGCGGGGGATTGCGCTGGAGATCTGTCCAATTTCGAATGAGGTGCTGCATTTGTGTCCGAGTATACGGGGACATGCGCTGCCGGTTTTGTTGGCGAACAATGTGCATTGTACTATCAATAGTGATAATGGCACTTTTTACGGGTAAGTCTCTCTTCTCCAAATAGATGGCTATGTGTAGAGGGAGAATTTGAGCTAAGGCGTCGATAGGTCTTCATTGTCGCATGACTTTTACCAAATAATGGTCGGCGCAGAAGCCATGAGCTTGCACGGCTGGCGCGTCCTCGCTGAGTGGAGTCTGGAGCATAGCTGTTTGACGCCGAGCGAGAAGGCCGCGGCTAAGGAGGTGTGGTTAGCGCAGTGGAATGTTTATTGTCAATGGATTATTGATACATATGGAGACGAGTCTAGCGCGAAGGGCCTTGAAGCTAGGAGGTTGCAGTGATACCAAAGACGTATTGTGTTATATCATAAGGCGGGGAAGAAAACCTAGGATTAATTTTAGGATATAAATCTCATAAGAGCAATGATTGATGCATTTCAGGTATCTAATACTACTTTCGCCTACTATCCAGAGTATCAGCCCAATATCGCCTTCGTCACAACAGTAACGCCATTTGTAACCAGTCCCCCAACGCAACACTCCAACACACGGGTATAGGATCATTACTTTCCACCACCGTCCCCAGGCAAGACAAGAAATGCTGGATCAGCAATCCAACTCGGTTCAGGTGTCCCATTATGGCAGCTCGACGGGGGGGGACTCCTGTGTAGGCGGCGCGCTATTCGCCTTCTTCGCATCACCCTGTTTCGATGTCTCCGTATTCGACAACTCTGAAGGCGCAAACTGCGACGGCGGTGGCTGCTGCTGATATGCGCCCTGTACAGATTGCTGTCCGAACGAGCTCTGCATGGACATTCGCGGGTCACAGGGCTGGTACTGGTTCTGCTGCACGTGACCCTGGCTGTAGTGAGGTGGGGGTTGCAGACCCGGCGGGAACATCGACATATTCTGTGGAGGAAAGCCGGGGGGTCCGACAGAATAATGGACGGAGCCCGCGTAGCTCAAGTGCGGCGACGTCGCCTGAGAGGCGAGGGTGCTGTTAGTCGCAGCTGCCTCCTGGAGTTGCGCCTTGACGGATAACCTTGCGACGAGCTCGGCGTGTGACTTCTTGAATGTCTTCTTGACGAAATTGGTCAACATGATGTTGCACTTCATGTCGACGTCCTCCCGCACGTATAAGCCGACCATAGGCACGTTGAGGCCCATCTCAACCGGTTCTCGCGGCTCGCCCGGCAGAGATCCACCCAGCGACCATTTCCCTTTGATCTGTAGCCCCATCGGCGCATAGCAATGAGTCTGGATGCCATTGGGGAGGTCGTGGAAGCAGACGGGGTACGACACTTTGCCGGAGTATACGCCGCCGGGCAAGTATTGCACGCGATCCGTCACTTCGTACCAGATGCAGTGGAACTCTTCCGGGGTGGCTTTCGGTGGTGGTTTGATCCGATGCCGCTCTTCCACCAGGGGGTTCAGGTCGATCATCTCGACGTGGTTGTGGAATGTGTCCAGGACATGCTGGCGGGTGACGCTCGGTGGAAGCGGGGTGATTGTCGTGAAGACTGAGCGCTTCGACATTGTGACGACAGACCGGTAGAGGGAGGGAACGAAATATGCAGCACGGAAGTTGAAAAAAGTATGCGATAGAGGGATAGGGGGATGACCGCGTTAGATACAGAATCAGAATAAATGTTATAGCCATCTTAAGGTTGTCAGCGTCAGCATATAGAGCCTAAGATGGCAGCACAGCCGTACCAAAGGTTACCATCCCGTTATCAGAGCGAGTACTAAGACCTATAATGGCTATAATGGCTATAATGGCTATAATGGCTATAATGCTATAATGGCTATAATGGCTATAACTTAATGGATAATAACCCCCAAGGCGGGTTGTCACTTTGCGAGTACGTTAGTTTGCGGTGTTTGGTTGGGGGCTGAGTTGTTGCTTACGTGAGGCGAAACAATGTTAAAAGAGCCGGAAACGGCTGGAGGACGGCTGGAGGACGGGATGAACGAGATGTGTACGGTACTATACTGTTGTTCTTCTAACATAGAATGACCTCTTCACCTTGCGTTCCGGCATCTGGAATTCCCGCGCGGCAATACCAATATAAGTCTAAGTTACCTTATAATCGGGTCCATACGGTGAGTCTGCCAAGTCAGCCTACCTAGGCAACAAGACATTGTTAGGTATCAATGTCTTTATATGGCAACAAGGGGAGCGTGCCGAGCCGAGACAAACTTCAGGAGACAAAACGACGAGGTGCAGCATGCGGGATGGATAGCAGGGGTCTTTCGAGGATCACCATCCCAGCCGCTGGTGAAGATTGTTGGAGATCAGCATCAACCAACAACGACCGCCTGCAGCCTTGCCAGGGAAACTGGCAACGGCGACATCCTCGTTGCAAATGCTACTATCTTCATCGCCGATACGGCTTCTATCATTCTATAGCCCTTAAGACCTACCTTACCTGCGCTCGAAAGGGAGGGCGCTTATAGGAGCAAATCACACATCTGAACGTACCTCCAACAACAAGGCTATGAATCCCATGATGGCAACGCAACAAGGCAACGGCGGCGGCGACAGCGACGAGGGGTGGTGGCCAGAGGGCAAGGACAACCGGAACGGTTGGCGTCTAGACATCGTGTCCCTCCTCGCGGTTATCGGCGAATCTTCAATGGCCGAACACTCACAAGCCATGACAGCCTCCTGGATAGGCTGCCTACCACGAATTATACCCGCGCCACAAGTCCTGCTAAAGCCTACCAGGCCAACACGGATGCCACACTCCACCGCCAGCGTGGTAGGCGTGATGAACGGCATCCAAATCCCCACCCTCAACTACTTCCCCAACATCGTCCATCCCATCGAAGACCTGGCCCCCTTCTCCTTCCGCGTCTACAGGATACGACACTCCTGCCACGCCCTCTCCCAACACAACGACCCCCGCTCCTGGCGCTCCGTAAACTCTCGCCACAACAGCACCCTCCCCCGGCACAACGGCTTCTTCACCACAGCCAGCAACTTCCTCCGCGGCGACTGGCTCCGCCGGACCGACCCCGAAAAAGCCCCCGTCATCGCAGCGCAATCGCTGAAACCCCCCCCCACGTCCCCGCCAAGACCTTCTCCCCCCTCAACCTCCTCTCCATCTTCTCCTGCGTCCTCACCTGGGCCATCTTCGCCGTCTCCGTCTACAACCGCGACGCCATCGCCTGCCTGGCTCTCATCGCCATCTCCCTCGTCAGCACCATCGTCGGGTACGCCTCCCTCTGGTCCCCGCAGCTCATGAAGCGCACCTCCGGCGCTGTGGTGCCCGAGGGGGACGTCGTGATACGCACGCGCGAGGGGGCGTTTATAGTCGTCAAGTGCGACGAGAATGTTGCGCGCGAACTCTATACCGGGACGGAGGAGTGCACGTACCTCGTCCACTCCGTCCGCGCCTACCGCGCGCTCATCGGCCTCGCGACGTTCATCCTCATGGTCGCTGTGGTCCTACTCGGGAACTGCAATTTCGACCAACAAGCCGCCATCGGGAGCGCCTACATCGTCTTAAACGGCCTCTACTGGGCCGCTTCTCTCGTTCCGAAGAAAGAGTTTTGGGATCTGAAAATGTATGAGCGCGAGGACATCACACCCGACGACTGCCGCGACGCGGATCGCGCGCAGCCGGGGGGCGAGCCGGATGATCTACCGTCTTTTACGCGGACGATGTGGTATGCGATCCGTGTGACGGGTGAGGTGGAGTGGGTGAGGACGAGCGGTGCGGCGCCGAAGACGAAGGAGTGGATGAGGTGGGTGAGCGCTGCTGAGATGCAAGTTAAGGAGCGGAAGCAGGGGTGGGAGGCATGGAAGGCGGTGAGGGAGAAGGATATGTTGATTGGGCAGGCGGAGAGGGGGAAGGGGGGGGGAGAAGGTGGGGGAGAAGGTGGGGGAGAAGGTGGGGGAGAAGGTGGGGGAGAAGGTGGGGTAGAAGGTGGGGGAGAAGGTGGGGTAGAAGGTGGGGGAGAAGGTGGGGGAGAAGGTGGGGGTTCCTGGGGAGGTGGTGGATGAGGGACGGTGATGACGACGGTGAGGGCGGTGGTGGTGATGATGATGATAGTGGGATAGATAAGGTTGTACGAGTTCCTGTTCCTTGATACAAACCTGCATACCAACTTCCCTACCCCTATCTACCCACCAACGATCGACGACACGGGTTCCCGTCCCTCGTCCACCATGCCGTACTTCAAACAAATGCCTCTCGGCTCCCACGCCTCGTCCGGCTCCCCTGTCCCTCTCGGCACGTCGGCGCCAAGAAATCACATGCGACCGAGCCACACCACCCGGGTGGCATCACATGTCAATCCCACCGCCCAATTCCTCCAACTCTCGCATCTCGGTGTGTACTCGGTGTACTATACATCCAAGCATTGGTATTCTGGGGAGTATGGGGCCTTGGAGAAGCTGGGACCTTCTGGGGGAGGGGACTGGGGAAAGAAGCTCTCCCCGTAATGTGCTAAAGTCTGGGGGTTAGTCGTTTGTGGGGTTGAAGACGACGTCTGTTGATTGAGGTTGAGGTTGGTGGTGTGAGACTTTTTTTAGAGGTGTGATGTTTTGGGGTTGGGGGTTCAGTGTGGTTTGAGACATGTTGTCGCAGGCTGTTTGCGGGTTGCGACGATCCCGGTGGTGGCTTCCGGCGGGTGGGGATTGGGGTTATGGTGTTGGAGGAGTTGGAGATTTGGAGATTCTGTGTCTGAGGGTCCCGATTTTTGATGGAGCCCGTTTTTGTCTGTGTGAAAAAATGCGAAACTGGGTATTTTATCATCCTATCAATCCTATCTACAGTCCCCTCCTCTCTCCCCCCACGGCAGCACTGCAACAAAGACATCCCGATATTAAACAAACTTGAAAGTAAGACCCAAGCGCATATTCGTGACATGACAAAACAACCACGACCATCTCCCCAACTCAACTCAGCGCACTCGCATATTTAAGCAGGGCAGCTGTACAGCTTAGTCTTGGTGGACTCGAGAAGCGCCTCTCCGACACCAATCGAGGTGGACTGAGCGTGCAGCGCGAGCGACTCGGCGAAGTAAGGCAGCGGCTGGCCGTGGTTGATGACGCTCTCGCCCATGAGGTCGAAGGGGAGGACACCATCCGTGCAGTACGGCTTCTTGCCGAGTGCTTCGATGATAGGGACCTGGGAGATGTTTGCGCGGACGGAAACGTTGTTGATTCCCGGGCGGATGTACATGTCGTCGATGTAGAGGGTTCCGATCTTCGCCTTCTCAAAGTAGTTTGCGAAGGTGGCGTTGCCGACCTCGAAGGTCAGGACGGAGGGGTTGGGGATGCTGGCGTAGCCGTTGAAGTTGTCGCCGCGGGAGTCGGGGATGAGGGCGATGTTGGCCTTGGTGACCTCGAGGCCCTTGAAGCCGTTGATGCCGGTGAGGGTGACAGTCTTCTTGAAGGAGACCTTGGCGGCCTTGAGGCCCTTGACGTGCACGAACGTCTCGCCCTCGATGGTCACGGCGAGGGACGAGTTCCAGAGGTACCACGAGTTGAAGTCGATGAAGGGCTGGTTGGCGGTGCCGTTGATCTCCTGGGTGACGTTGACGATGGCCAGGCCGGTCTTGGTCTCGGGCATGCGCAGGGTCATGATGGGGGTGTGCGGGAGCTTGTCCTCGAGGTACATGATGGCGTCGAAGCCGTCGATGACGGCGGAGATGGAGTTGGAGCTGGACACGGTGGAGTTGATGGAGATCTGGACGGTGTTCGTCTTGGTGTTGGTGACGGCGATGCCGTCGATGGTCAGGGTGGACTTGTTGACCTTGTCCTGGATGATGCGGGGGAACCCGACGAGGACGCTGGCGTGCTGTTAGAGGAGATGCGCGCGGGGCGATAACGGCAAAAGGCGGTAAATATATATAGCTTACAGAGGAAGAATGATAACGAGCGCGACGATGGCAAACACGATCAAGAGCGCCCACCAGTACTTCCTGATGAGAGCACCCAAGCGGCCTCGCTTGGGCTTCTCGACATTGGCGTGGTCGGCGTTGTGCTCGAGCTGGGTCTCGCCAGTCTCGCCCTTATGAAGACTCATAGTTGCTCGTTTATAAGTGAAAACAGCGAAACGTTGGGGTTGGGTGCGGTCTGGTGCGACCTGGAACGGAAAGTTGGGACGCGGGATGAGAATCGAAAGGGGGACCGTCTTCTGAAGGGGAGGTTGAGGCGAGGATTAGGAGAGCGACGACGGGAGGAGAGAAAGAAAGTCGACGATGAAGAAGTATGAGAACAAATCGTCTGTTTTTCTAGAGGGGGGATCTGGGAGGAAGATATGTGAAATTAGGAGTTTGTCAGTCGGGGGAGGACTAAAGCCCGAATAGGTTAGGATATTGAGTGTTTGCATCGAGTTGGTTTGGTTAGTAGTGTTTGGTTGGTAGTGTTTGTGTTTAGTTGGTAGTGTTTGGTAGTGTTTGGTAGTGTTTGGTAGTGTTTGGTAGTGTTTGGTAGTGTTTGGTAGTGTTTGGTAGTGTTTGGTAGTGTTTGGTAGTGTTTGGTAGTGTTTGGTAGTGTTTGGTAGTGTTTGGTAGTGTTTGGTAGTGTTTGGTAGTGTTTGGTAGTGTTTGGTAGTGTTTAGGTGGTTTTAGTAGTGTTTAGGTGGTTTTAGGTGGAATAGGTGGAATAGCAGTCTACTCGTACTTTGGGTCAATAATTGTTAACAGAGGACTTGGGGTTTTATTGGGCTACTCTACTAAGGGGTAGCGACGATCATCACCCTACATACATTTATTAATCCAAAGTACGGGTAGTAGGGTTTTTAGCTGGGGGCTCGTGAGGTGACATGTGACATTAGGGGCATTAGGGGCATTAGGGGCATTAGGGGCATTAGGGGCATTAGGGGCATTAGGGGCATTAGGGGCATTAGGGGCATTAGGGGCATTAGGGGCATTAGGGGCATTAGGGGCATTAGGGGCATTAGGGGCATTAGGGGCATTAGGGGCATTAGGGGCATTAGGGGCATTAGGGACATTGGGGGGTAGTGTAGAATGGGTGCGAGTAGGCAGGATGGGGAATGTGGAGGGGGGAGGGGGAGGGGGTAGGGGGGGGGAATGTGGAGGGGGAAGGGGGGAATGTGGAGGGGGAAGGGGGGAATGTGGAGGGGGAAGGGGGGAATGTGGAGGGGGAAGGGGGATGTGGAGAGAGAAGGGGGGGATGTGGAGAGAGAATGGGGTTAGTGGATGTCATGGGCTCCCCACCACCCCCGATTGGCCAATAATCTCACAGCAACCAAATGGCTCGTGAACACCTCTATGAGCATGTGAAAGTCGATGTGGATGTGGAATGTCGATGTGCTGTGTGTGTGTCCAACCAACGCACGACAGCCATGTACCGTACCATACGGTGCCGTGCGCAAGTGTACATACCCTGCACCCACCTGCTGTGGCAGCTGAAAGACAGGCGCCACCAGCAAGTGAACGTGATAATGCCAATGCTGTAATGCTATTGAAATCAACGAAATCAACGAAATCAACCCATACGAACTGTCCCTCCATTTACCTCATCGCTAATCGGCCCACCGCAGGGTATCGCAGCGTATCGCAGCGTATCGCAGGGTACCACAGGGTACCACAGGGTACTGCAGGAAACTGCAGTACCCCCGGCTTTCGCTTTGCGAACTAGGCGTAGACAGCACGTGCTCCACTCGATTTTGTTTGGCTGTGGTTACGCGGTTTCACATGTGGTGGGATCACGTGTTTTTGGTTTGCGTCTTGGCACAGAACGCAACGATGAGGGGCTTGTTGCTTCTATTCGCTATTCGGTTCTCTGTTGATATCATGAGTGTATTTCGGGGGCAAATATTGTCTGATGCTGCCCATTGAGCAAAATCTGATGAGCCATAGAGCCTCAATATGACGTCTGGTGATGGTTTGAATAAAGAGTTCGACATGAGAACATCTGCATTTTCTCATTTCGTTGATGACGATACCGTGGCAGTGTGGTGGTAGTCCAGGAAGCGATGCGGGCAGCATTCCTGTATTCAGCTGGAAGATTCTTCAACAATGTTTTATTTCCTATGCTGGTGACCGTATGCTGCATACTGGTTTTCTCCAGATCGCAGAGGAGGTCGAGAAGAGACTCGAGGACGGCGACAGATTAAAGGTGTCCTTCCCACCTAGGGGCACTCGCTAGGACGAAGCATACCTTGGTCCTTTTTGTCGCAGTCTTGTTGGCAAGAAAACGATTGATGGTGCATGGCAGGAATGATAGACTGCGAGAATGACAGGAATTATAGACGGCAAGAATAACAGGAACGGCAAGAACGACTGACCCGACAGCAAGAAATCTCTGCCGCTGGGAGCACCTCTGGCGAGCTTCATCTCTCCCATATCTAGCCACAAGGAGTGAGGTGACCCTCTTGTAGTCTTGGAGATCGGTTGAGATGGCAAATTTCTCCTCGATCCCATTGTATACGAGATGTTTGATCCTCGGAGAGGGCAAGATGATATGCGCAACAGAACATGTTTTTTGTAAGATACTCAGAATAGCACGTACGTATCCCCAAAAGCACGTAAAAAAATCGAGGATTTGGTAAAGTAATATCATAATCCAGCTACGAGACGGCGTCCTAGGTCGTCGTATGCTAATCATATGAAGGATATATCATAGTATGATTTAGATGAATTGCATAGCACAAATCAAGTCAAATCACCCAAAAACATGGTAATGTAACATCATAATCCAACTACCAACCACTAGGTCATGGGCTGATGTTATGGGTAAGTAAAAGAATAAATATAATCTACCCCCCCAACCGCCCCCTACCCTCCCACTCCCCTCCTACCAAATCGTCCCCCTCTACCTCCTATACAGTAACATGACATTATAGTTATAGGGCTAGTAGGGCTAGGCTCTAGTAACGTGACTTATAAGTCACAAGACTAGTAGGGCTAGGCTGTAGCATGACTTAGCTAGTAGATAGTTGGCAAACTAGTAGATAGTTAGATAGTTGGAAAAAGCCTAACTATCTAAACTATCTAAACTATCTATAAGGCATAACACCACTATATAAGTAGATAGTATTCCCTTAGATAGGAGCTTTGTGCTCAACTTAATATAGTATTCTTTATAATACTATAACATGTTACTTAGAAAGCCTTTGTGTCTAATCCCCTGCCTCCTCTGTTAAGTCAACCTTATGCAAGAAACCTCTATGTCTTCTAGGGTGCGTCATAGGGGAGCATCGGTCCTGAACGGCTAGTCTGAAGATTTTCCAACCTAGACCATGGTCTAGGTTGGAAATCCAGGGCAAACTGCCTAGACCGGTGTGGTCCCCTAGCGGTTCCTTAGCAAACCGACCACAATCACATGTTTTAATATAGTGAAGCACGTGATGAGTTTCTGTATACAATTATTTTTACTTTGCTATGGTAATACAGTGATTATTATACTTATTACTATACAGTAGCTCTATGTGTATATATTTAGGATAGTAGAAAGATTTCATTAAAGTTCTACTACAAAGGATACAAAAAAGATGAAGAGAGGAACCCCCGTTGGGTCAATCTCCTTAAGTACCTGAAACGGGTCTGACTCGGCTAACCGGCCCTAACTCTCCCCACGTGACCATAACCTGTCCGACTCTGATCCCTTCCGTCACTGAGTGTAAGGATGCCTTCTCGTCTCTCATTCTAGGGAGTAGACTCTGGGTAGCTGGAGCATCACGTGTGATCATTTGGGTGGGCTAACCGAGTCGGAACCGAGTCGGATGGGTTTCAGGTACTTGAGACAATCGACTCACGGGGTTCCCCGATCATCTTTTTTGTATCCTTCGTAGTAGACCTATAGGATAGCATCCGTTTAGCCTCCGACTTGCACTCTCATATGCTATTACTGTGAGCTGGGTGCCCTGTGTCCTTACACTGAGGGTGGAGGCATCCTTGTCATACTGACATTCGTTGCACTCAGTTTTGTTACGATGGTCATAGAGGTCATGATGCCAGTCCAGGAAAAGTAATCTAGATTGAATCTAAAGAGAGAAGAAGAAGAAGAAGGAATGAAGGTGAGGCTATTCCTCATAACATACAGTTGTCTGCTTAGCGGTTGTAACCTTGTGGCTAAGGCTACACCCGTAATCCCCATAACAACTGTAATAACCGTAATAACCATAACAACCATAACAACCATAACAACCATAACAACCATAACAACCATAACAACCATAACAACTGTAACAACTGTAACAAGCTGTGACAAGCTGTGAGCTGTAATCGTAACAAGTTTGCTATCAAACTCAAGAGCAAACTTAGAAATCTCCTCCTCAAACCTACAAGTCACTATATGTAAGGATGCCTCCACCCTCAGTGACGGAAAGCATCGGAGTCGGGCAGGGTACAGTCATGTGGGGAGAGTTAGGGCAGGTTAGCCGAGTCGGACCCGTTTCGGGTACTTAAGGGGATTGACCCAACGGGGTTCCTCATCATCTTTTTTGTATCCTTCGTAGTAGACCTATAGGATAGCATCCGTTTAGCCTCCGACTCGCACTCTCATATGCTATTACTGTGAGCTGGGTGCCCTGTGTCCTTACATTATACAAAAAAGATCACGCCTGCCGGGGACGGCCGTACTTCAATAATATCCCACACCGGAACGACTCAGGAGAACTACCATCACGACATCGACCGCGACTCGGTGACGTTTTGGAGGAGAGACCTGACGACTTCAAATAGCCGTGATTCCAGAGATCTCACGGACAGCCAGTGGATCAGGGTTTGATTCTTCAGAACAAGCTGGTAAAGTCACCGACGCGTTGGCGCCAAATAGGATACAAGATCCTTAAGAACCCCCTCCTAGCACAGAGGAAATTGTGGACAAGAGCGTTGATAGCTACGAGCTACCGGAAGTCAAGCTCTTTCGTATCGGTACCGATACACACCCGAGGCAATATGTTGAAAAAGCTGACATCAAACATACCCCAACACAACGACGGTCAACTGCCCATAATGACTACCAGACAAACCACCGCTGCAGCTACAGCCGCTGTGCCATCCAAAGACATCCCGAGTCAAATAGCCCACCTCGAAGCACAGATACAGGAGGTCAAGGATCTACTAGTTACCCTGACGGCAGCCCAGACCAGAATCCTGTCCACACCGCCGGTGGATGCCCCCATACCCACAGTCGAAGCTACGGAGCAACAAATGCCTCGTGTCATACTGACATTCGTTGCACTCAGTTTGCTATCAAACTCAAGAGCAAACTTGGAAATCTCCTCCTCAAACCTACAAGTCACTATACATATTTTGGCTTATCACACCAACAACAAGAGCAATACTACTCAACGATTGCTACAACCATCTATGATTCATTACACGTCATTGCTCCTTAGTTACTGGGCCGATATTACCACATAGCATATCTCTACAACCCTCTATGATTCATTACATGACATCACTTGTAATGGTGGGTGCACCAGATGTGAGAATCTAGCTGTCATACTGACATTCGTTGCACTCAGTTTGCTATCAAACTCAAGAGCAAACTTAGAAATCTCCTCCTCAAACCTGTCATACTGACATTCGTTGCACTCAGTTTGCTATCAAACTCAAGAGCAAACTTAGAAATCTCCTCCTCAAACCTACAAGTCACCATACATATCTTGGCTTATCACACCAACAACAGAAGCAATACTACTCAACGATTGCTGCAAACTCTTCTACTACATCTGTTTATGCTACATACATCACGGCATATCATTTGGACACTCATTGAACAAGTTATTAAGAAAATCTCCTCCTTAAGGGGGTGGGCCAATACTACCACATGGCATATCTCTACCAACTAGAGGCCTAGAAACATGAACGATAGCTCTAGAAGCTTCTACAACCCTCTATGATTCATTACACGTCATCGCTCCTTAGTTACCCACAAAATTGGTTAAGTTATGACATAATTTGTCTATAGGTACTCTGACCTTGGACCTCCTTTTCACTTCCTATAGGCTAGGAACCCAAGAGATGGTTCTATGGGATTCTCTTACGTTCACTACATGATTAGCAAGCTAGTTGTGGGTCGCACTTGATTTCTAATACATTTACCAAGCCTGGTTAGACATGGAAAGTCATGGAAAATGAGAGAACTACACTCCTTTGGCATAAATAGGATTGCCCTTTCCTTAAGAAAGGGCAAGCAGGCAATACAGTAAATCGACTATCACATACTTCCACGTCTTTTACAAGCTTCCAAGCATTGATCTTGTTATTCTCTGTTTTTGAAAAGTCAGTGAGGTGCTAACCTCTGACTTACCCCTGAGTTCTCAGACTCAACATTTGTTGCAACTTGTCTAAACCACTTCACCACATCATACACCTGATTGCTGCGTTGTGGAATAGTCTAAGCTACAACCCTTTGGCTCTGTTTCCTAAGACAGTGTGTTGTCTTAGTAAATTCATCCCTTCCTTGGGTGGCTAGATTCTCATATCTGGTGCACCCACCATTACACCACCCCCTCCGGGGCCCTTACGGTTGCCTTCCGCGTGCTCTGTCTGCGCTGCCTTCAGGCCAAAGCCCGTGGGATCCAGTCCCACGACTGCATCTGGTCCCCGACCAGTTCGAAGTGTGGGTACTGCACGGCGCAGCACTCGCCTTGCGTCCCGGTAGGTTTTCTTGTGGGGTTCAGTGTTTGGTTTGGTTGGCCGTTGCTGACTTTGGTGGAAGCTGCCCTGGTTCCTTGGGGAAGAGTTTGCGGCCCTCCGCGCCGCCGAAGAGGCCACCCCCCTCATTCCCGCTGACATCGCCGCCGCCGCCACTGAGGCAAATCGGGTGGCCCTCCTGGCCGCCCAGAGCATGCCAAAGTTCCGCTCCGACGTGGAGCGTGACCTCTACGAGGAGGCACGCGCCACTCAGGCTGCCCTCGAGTCGGGGCTTGCCGTGAGTAGACCCCCTTCCCCTTGTGTTGTTTCAGTGCTGACTCTGGGCAGCAAATTCGGTCGTCGCTGCGCCGTCTCCGGACGGAACAGGAGAGCGTCCCTGCTCTCTTGGGGGAGTTGGTGGCTGCTGTGGGCAAACTGCCCACCGCTGCCGCTCCCGCGGTCGCTCCAACTCGGGGTGATGGGAGGAAGGAGGGGGAGGATGGGGAAGTTGGGGCAGCCTATGGGGCCTAGGTGGGGGAAGACCCTGTGTCGGAGGGGACTCGGGCCTGGCCCTTCGTGTGGGGTCACTTCGACCCTTCGTCTCTCATGGTGGTAGCCGCTTGTTGCGATGCCATTGAGACGTCTGGGAAGGGTGACTCCTGCAAGGGTTACAGTGGTGAGTGCGCCCTGGCTCGGAGGGTATTTAGTTTAGAGACACAGATAGTAACAGCGAAGTGATAGACGGCGTAGAGGAATGGGAAGTGGAAAAGATCCTCACCGTAAGGCTCCGCCAGAAGCAACTACAATACTGGGTTAGTTGGGTCGGATACGATCTGGACCCGGAGTGGTACCCAGTGTCGAACTTCATGAACTCTCCCCATACCCAGAGTTACCAGGTCCACCTCGAGAACAACTCGGATGGGTTACGGCATGGGAAATGGAAGAGGAACAAAACTACGATCACAGAAGGAAAGACAAAGCGGAAGAAGGTAGGGGGTTGTTCGGATCCTTCATGAGGACATCTGGTGAGAACACATCATGTATTTGAGAACCGGTAGGTAGTTCCAATCGAAACGCGTGCCCAATCCGTTCCAACACCATATATAATCCGACCCATTGTTAGCCCAACTTGCGGCTAGGGCGAGAGTTTTTCAAAGTTTTGGTTGATAGGTACACTCTATCTCCTACGTCCCAGTCGATGGCCCTTCGGCGTCGATTCGCGTGCTTAGACATTTCCTCTTGTGCCTTTGCCATGTTTTCCTTTGCGTGGACCCATGCGGTATGCATTCAGTCTGCAACCGCCTTGGCTTCCTCTCAGTTTAGAGTCTCCCAGGGGTTGGTGCTTTTCAGAGTGTTCCAATCCCAACTCGTACGCGGATCGGTTCCGTACTTGAGTCGGTAGGGGGTCATGCCAATGGATGCGTGGGGGAGTGTCATTTGCACGCGGTCCATTATGGGGATGAGTTCGCTCCAGTTATCCTGGTAATGGGATACGAAAGGCCTCAGTCTCTGGTCGATGTATCAGTTCATGATTTCCGTCTGTCCGTCGGTCTGCTTATGATAGGCAGTTGACAGCTTAACCTTCACGCTGATAATTCGACAGAACTCCTGCCAAAAGGATGATACGAATTGGGGTCCGCGGTCACTTACAATCGACTCCGGAGTGTGTCCGAATTAGTATATCCATTCGATGAACAATTGTGCCATTTGCCGGGCAGTTGTGGTTTTGTAGCAAGGTATGGTCACCAAACTCTTTCCGAGTCGGTCCATAAACACTAAGATGCTGTCGTATCCATGCTTGTCCCTTGGGAACTCCTTGAAGTCCATGGTGAGGTGTTGCATAGGATATTCGGGTACGGGTAGCGGGTGTAGGAATCCTTGTTGCTTAGTGACATTGGTGTGAGAAAGCCGGCATGTCATGCAGTTTCGTACATACTGTAAACAGTCCGCTTCCATCCCGACCCAATGATACTTTGGAGCGAGCAATTGGTAGGTTTTCCTGCCACTTGGATGTGCTGACGACACTTGATCGTGCGCTTCTCGGATCAGTTTCGTACATAGATCGGTGTGGCGATTCACACATAGGTGGCCTTTGTACAGGAGGAGCTGGTCGTTCATCGCGAATCCGTCTGGTAGGGGTTGTTTCGCACGAGTCTCGGTGAACGACTTCCGATTGTCCGCACATAGCGCCTCTATTAAATTGAAGGGCACCTGTGCCTTGGGGGTGTCTATCAGGTTAATGGACGCACGTAGCTCTCTGCTAGTTCGGCGCTGATGCGGGGGTGTAAGCGGCTTGGACCTAGCAATACTCTTGCTCTACTGTTGAGTTTGACTTTCTGCTGCGTTACCAAGTCTTGGTCTCTTCGGCTTAGAATATCTGCCTTCTGGTTATTCTTGCCCGCAGTGTACGTAATGCAGAAGTTGAAGTCGGAGAGTAGCTCCATCCACCGAACCTGTTTCGCTGTGAGAATCTTGGTAGACATAAAATATTCCAACGAACGGTGATCAGTGTAGACGTCAACTCGGTGGCGTACTGAAGCCAACTCGGGCCTCCATTTTCTGAAGGCTTTCACGATTGCGAACAGTTCCTTGTCGTGGATCTCCCAGTTGATCTTGTGTCCAGATAGGACGTGACTGTAGAGGCTTACAGGGTACCATCGCTTGTCAGGGTGTTTCTGGGACAGGACACCAGCTACCACTCCATCAGAGGAGTCGGTCTCCAGCTTCGTAGGCAATTCGGGGTTGAAGTGGTGAAGTGCCTGTACCGCTAAAAGTTGTCGTCGCAATTCTTCGAATGCATCCTCACATTCGTCTGTCCACCGGAACGGCTCCGAGGGACTAGTAATAGTTGTGAGGGGCTTTGCTATTTGCCGAAATCTCGAATGAATTGCCGGTAGAAGCCACAAAAGCCTAGGTAGGACTTCACACCTGTAACAGTAGTCGGTCAGATCCAGTTGCGAAGGGGCTCGATCTTGTCAGGGTCCGCTTCGACACCAGAAGTAGTAAGGATATATCCTAAGTACTTTGTCCGGGTAACGTTGAATTCGCATTTCTTTATATCGGCTTGAAGTCCGGCTTCTCGGAGATGCTGTAGGACCTTATGCACATGGTCTACGTGTTCTGTAGGGTCCTCGGAATAGATTAGGATGTCATCTAGGTAGGCAGTACAGAAGTCGTCCAAATATTGCATCAGGACGTTATTCATATACCACTGATAGGTTGCGGGACCGTTCGTCAGTCCAAATGGCAGCACTTTGCACTTATATGATCCATAGCGAGTCCGAAAGGTCGTGTACTTTTCCGAGTCGGGGTGCATCCGTATGCGATGGAAGGCTTGTCTGATATCTAGCTTTGTGAAGATTTTGGCTTTCGACACCCGTGTCAGTAGTTCGTCGATACGCGGAATGGGGTAGGGATCGTTCCGGGTGAGACCATTTAACTTCCGGTAATCAATGCAAAATCTTAATTTGCCATCTGCTTTCTTTATGAATAGGATAGGGGATGCAAAGGGGCTGTTGCTGTTGATGATGAAGCCTTTCTCTAGGTTTTCTAACAGGTATTGCTTGGTAGCCTTAAGCTCTTCGGTGCCCTGTCAGTATAACGGGGAGAAAGCGTTTGGTAAAGGGGCTTCGAGCTGTATCTTGTGGTCGTATATGCAGTGTGGGGGAATTCGATCTGATTCCAACTTCGAAAAGACATCAGTGTACTTCCAGTGCATATGCGGAAGCTTCTGTTGGATGAGGTGAAGTGTTTCTGCATCCTCGTCCAATTCCTTTTCATGAATGATCTGATCGATTTCGTAGATGCTAGTCTGAAAAAACTCGGAGTCGCTTCGCATCATCTCGTGGTGGAAAGCATTTGCACTGATTTCACAGATATGCATGGGCGTAAACCTATGTACTAGGGTCTTCTGCGGTGGGGGAGAAACCTCCTGGTTTCGTAGTGGGTTCGATGGCGTATCGATCTCTTCGTAGTCAGGAATTATCACTTTCTTTTCCATCGAACGTCCGCCTGCGCGGCGTCTGTCTTCGCGGTGGATTGCGGAATCCCGGCGATTCGCATCCGACTGGTATGCAGGATGTCTAATGGACATTTCGCGTGAGTGGTAGGGCAAGGTGATCTCCTTGCTCCAGTAGGAGTCGGCGGGTACTCCTTTGGCCATACTAACTGGCTCTTTGCAGAGTCGAGTAGTATTTAGAAGCGGCTGAAAAGCTTCTTCCCAATTATCACATCTTGTGCTCCGAGGTCCAGGAGTACAAAGGGGCAGTTATATATCTGGCGTCCTTCGACTGTTAAGTGTAACCGAATATACTCCGATACGTGGCCTTGGATTTTGCGCTGAAATCCACGTATGGGTACTGTAAGGACACAGGGCACGTTTGGGAGTAGTTAGGCTCGGCGCCTCGAATGTGTCATCTGCAAGTGCAAGGGATACAAAGTGAGTGATGGCACAGAAAATTGGGTCGTCAACTTCAGTAAAGAAAAATATCGTTCTGTGAATGTCTGTTAGTTTGATATTAGGTGGAATGTCTAAAGCGGTCGGTCAACTCATGGTTTGGGGCGCTTATTATGATGAGAAAATTTGACCTCCATAGCGAGCACATTCCGCTCGCTATTGTCAGGACTGTGTACGACTAGTAGGCGGACATCCTCATAGCAGAGCGCATCAGGGCGTCTGCTGTCCCCCTCCACCCCGCTCATATGAACGTCACCTTCGAGACCATCGCCGTCGGAGCCGGGATTATCTCTTCATTTCCTTTTTGTATCAACTAGCTCCGCAGGCCGACACGCTGTGTCATCGCACCCCTCTTCCTCACCCGGTCTTTATCGGATGTTGAGGGGCATCATCTACACACAGATACAATTGGGACGTTTGTTGTCAGAGGTAGAAGAGACTAGATGCGGGTTTTGGTTTTTGGATTTCAGGAACGGTACCTTCGGTCCGATAATTCGCCGGTACCTGATTCGTTCATCTAACGCACGTGATAGGATTTTGGTTGTAAGTCCTGAAAAACACCAACATCAACCGGCTGCATAATAACCGATTATGTGTAAAGTGTTCGGGGATGCGTAAAGCAGCAACCAGCGCCAGCCGAAAACAGCAGCTCCGACACCACAACCTCGCATAAAGTTATAATAAAGGGTTTAAGTTTCGTTATTATAAGTATCTTTGTATACAAATTTAGCTGTAAAGATACATACCTTCGTTATGCCATTACCCCCGTTACGCCATGACCTACGTTAACTCTGTCAATTGATCGAATACAATCTGGCCGTATGTGCTGTCGCTAATACCGACCTGTCCCCATGCCAGGGAGGTGTTTAGAACCTCAGTATTCTGCACGTTCAAAAAGTTGTTAACTACGATGGCTGTAGTAGAAGCCGTCCCAATGCTGTACATTTGGGCTGACTCCACAAAACTCTCGACAACATTCTTACCGTGGGCAGGCGACTGCTAATGGTATAGTTGTAGGGGATTGTCTTCTTGTCGAGAGTTGGGAACTTCACCTTAGTCGGCATATCGTGAACCCGCAATTGTGCCTGGCCACAAGCGTGGCATACTTCCCACCTAGAGCAGTGATGCTTTCCATCCATTGATCAGATTTACATAATTGCAGCCGTCGCTGTCGATGTAAGTGGCAATGTTATAGTGGATGAGTACACCGATCTCTTTATCTTGAAAGGCGAGCTGCTCTGCTGTCGGCAATCTTGGAGCCATCGATAGGGGAAATGCGATATTTTGGCTCGTAGGCTTTAGGAGCATTGCTGGCTACAGCACATGTCACAAGGCAAGCACCAGCGGGGACAGTATACAAAAGCTTCATCTTATGTCAGAGAGCGGTACGGTGCCAAACTTGGATTCACAGATTGAGATACTCATTACCACTCTCATAGATATATATGTGTATGAGAGTAGTAATTAGTATTCTAGTCCATATGTCAACGTACGGCTTGCCCCCAATACCCCTCGCCTCATTACCCCGCAATAGAGTATATAAATCGTCCTAAAGTTGGGTGTAACGTAGTTAATTCATCGACATGGAGTGACGCCTGCATGATGCTACTAGGGCAATCCAGTAACAGAGTAGATCTACAGTAATCGATCAACTTCCGCCCAAGCCTACAGATGATTCGTATCAAATGCACATGCCCACAATGATCTAAGTCATTGCCAGGTCTGTGAATGGCGAATTGAGTACCGCTAACCCGGAAAGATGTTGTATTATAAATGTAGCTATAGCTCCACATGCTCGCCCTGGGGAAGCGATGACTCGCTGCTAGCAAATAACTTACCTCCGAAGATTTCCTGATAAGCAACATCAAATCTTGCTCCTGCAAGATGTGCAGCGCCTATCTAAATTACACATTAGATCGCCTGTAGATGATGTAGGAATGTATTGGGTGCATTACCATCAGGAAAGAAATAACGAAAAGTGTCCCAAGGACGGCCGCCATAAGGTAGACGGTGTCTGTCGTAGCTTCTGACTTCTTTGCCGCCTCTTCCGCGGTTGGGTCAGTGGCTGCGAGCGTGGCGACCTTGGGGTCTTGTGATGGAAATATGGACTCGATAAATTGCTCGATCTAAACCAGCATTAGTTACTTGTCCCCGAACAATGAGCGCTCCTTCGCAGGACATACCTTGCCACAAGCAATGCTAATTTCCAAGAAATTCGGATCTGTCGGTGAATTCTTCTTGGCAATCTTTCGTGTGTATGTTCTGAAAACTCCGCAGACAATCCGCAGGTTTTGGGTAGACTGGATCATCAACTCGCACGCGTCGCTCTTGGTGATCTTGATGTTTTGGTGGAAAATTTTTGGGTTTTGGAAAACGAGCTCAAGGGTCGCAATGGCCATGGCCTGGGGAATAGCCGTGAAATTGAAAACACTCTGGTCTTTAATTCCAGCCAAGTAGAAGAGGCATTCGTCCGCGTGGCGAAGAGAGTTCAACACCATTTCCGAGCTGCATGCAAGAGCTGCTGTCTGGTTTTCAGGCTTGAACAGGTCCTCGAATTTCTCAACATGCTTCGACCAGATCTCCTTTGGCCAGAACCTCCGTTTGTCGTCCAAGTCTTCGCGGATATCACGAATGATGTTTGTCTTCTGCAGGAACTGTCCCATGGATTCGGACAGGTGTGGGCGTTGGAGAAGTGCCGGATTGGCCAATCCACTCTCGACAAAAAGTCTGGTCAAGCCGTCTCCTACAAGCCCAGCAACATAATGGCAGTACAGCTCATAGTCTTTGATCGTGTTAACGCCGTTCACGTTGTGTTCGGCATTGTTGGCGTATTCCGCCATGCCATTGCCCATTTTATCCGTGATGTCCTTGATGATCGCTTGGTATACCGGCTTCACCTTCTTGTATTCCATGATAACGACGTCGAAGTCCACCAGTAGGCCACGATCCTTCTCATCTGGGCCGTTACCATTGAAATTCCAGCCATCCTTCTCCATGATGTTATGGAAATCTCTCAGTATCGGCTCTTTCTCCTCCAACGGAATGGTCATGTCGTCTTCGACTGTGTCAAGACCGCGAAGGATCAGGTAGAAGAGGGCAACCGGGACGAGCAACTCTGGGTTCAGCTCTTGAATGACCATGCTGAAACTGCGGCTTGTATTTTCCAGATGCACGAAGCATTTTTGGAGAGTTTCGCATTCTGTTTTTTTGTCCCGAGTATGGACTGGATCATGCCATACCTTCCTACATGCGACGGGTTAGCATCGTCGCTTTGGGTTCAGAATGTCCTCACGAACCATTGGATAATTGAGCGCAGCTGGAAAGGATGGAGCGCAAGGTATAGAGCCTGGCTAGCAGAAACCATGATTGAGGTGAAGGCGGAATGTCGCCGGAGAGTAAATGGTGTCTGGTTTGTGGTGAAGTTGATGCGGAGGTGGAGGAGGTAAGATGTCAAATAAGGCAAGTTGCCCAGTGGAGCTTACGGAACTTGCGGACGGGGTCAGGTGAGGAGAAAGGGTACCTTGGAGGAGGCGGCCCTTTTTTCGTGACCATTGGAGAGGATTAATCGTAAAAAAGGGTCTTGCTTGGGCTGACCGACCCACACTGTCTTATGTAGCTAATAATGTGGCTAGGAAAGGGCTTCGTAGCATAATATGAATTTTTAAATGAAAACCCCACAGAGAAGAGTGCTTCAGTAGCACGGATGTACAGAGTGCCACGCGGAGGCCAGAACAGAGTGCTATTCTATCATGTTAGATATTATTTGTAACAGGTTTGTAGGCACAGGTTTTAGTCCCATATGACCTAGACTGAGTACTTTTCTAGAGACGCCTTGCAATCCTATAGGTGTAGACCGACAAATAGAGTTAATTACCTCTAGAATTTGTCACCATACCGATATTCTTAGTAAAAGGCTGTAAAGGAAAATCGACATTTACGAGCTGAAAACGAACGACAGAAGAAGAAGAGAGCAAAGAAACGGTCATTTATTCGTACGGGAGGTGCTCTTACAGTTCCAGAAGGAGTAGAGCAGGGAACAGCCACGAACACAAGCTGTAAGACTGTGTAGTATATGTAGATCGACTGTACATAGTGCTCGAACATGCCCTCAACGAGTATAATTAATCAGAGTCAATTTCAAGACACTCCCATTCTATTAAACCAAGTTGAAGTGAACATTCGACGACCTAGATGAAATGATGATCTGAAAGCATTGACGGTCCATTACAGAAGAGAAGATGACCTCGATGCGGGTTGGACGACCCTGAGGATAGCAACGCGTGTACCAACGACGCCAGCGGGCTCGACGGCCCTATCCAAAACCTAACAAAATCATCACATCCGCCACTAAACATCCAACTTCTCCCTCTCCTGCTCCTCACTCTGCCTCTTCTTCCTGCCCTGCCTCAAGAACCCCCGTCCACGACGCTCTCTTGCCCAGTTCGGCGATCCATCGCCCCTGCGCCCCTGACATCTCAAAATCGCAACCATCAACACAATCCACACCAAAATCACCACCACAACCCCCACATTCCCCAACTCTGGCGTCGCATCTCCAACACCTTTGTACGGGAACCGAGCCCCGGTCGCCTCATCAACATGCGCCTGAGCCGGGTCATACGACTTGTGATCCAAATACGGGTTACCAATCCCATCATCCTGAGCCGCCACCCTTGCTCTCGCCGCCGCATCCTCAACACCCTTCTGTCTCTCCGCCTCCCTCAACTTCGCAACCTTCACAATCTCCCGCGCAGCATCCTCGCGATCCGCAGCGCTCACCCCTCCCTCCCCAGCCCGCCATCTTTGCTCTTCCTCCTTGACCCCCTGCCCTGTCCACGCTGGCGCATGCTCCAATGGCGATGGCGGCGCGCGCTTGCTGTACTGAGGTGGAGTTGGAGGTTGATAATCGATCTCCTCGAGGAAGGCGGCGCGATCAGCGGCTTGGCGTGCGCGTTTCGCCTCAAGCTTCTTGGCAAATTTTATGCGACGGAGGGCGCGGGCACGGGCCTCACGCTCTTTTTTGATGCGGCGCGCTCTTTGGCGCTGCTTCTTGTCCCAGGATGAGGCTTCTTTGCTCATGGTTTGCGTGTTCTTCGGTTTGACGGCCTTGTAGGCCATTTCGCGCTCTTTGGCGGGGACGGCGTCGGTGGTGATTGGGCCTGTCGCACCGGAATCAGCTTCTGTGGTAACTGGCTCCGACCCTTCAATTATTCCTTCCGTTGATGTAGCTGTAGCGGTGGACCGTGTAATGCCAAAAACTGACTCAGGGGTGGTGGAAGGCGGTAGAGCTGGCCCAAGCGATGCTACAGTAATAGTCTCTGCAATAAGGTCGTCCACGGCGTTTTCGCTGAAAGGGGAAGGGACGACAGACTCGATTGGGGCCACAATGGCGGCAGGCACGGATGGAGCATCTGACACGGCTGGCACGTCATCTTCGGCAGGTTCGACCGACCGGCGGTAGACGATAGATGGGAACCATCCGTTATGGTTGCCGTGGCGAGCAGTTGATTTGTCAGAAGCAGGCGTATCCTCATTTTTGTCACCTGATTCACCCTCCGCGCCTTCCTTGTCTTCTCCATACGAGTCGTCCTCCGCACCTTCCTCACCATCTTCAGATTCCAGGGAGGCACCTTCCTCTTTTTCATCATTCCCTAGTGGTTTACGGGTGGCACCTGCCCCAGTTCTGTTGTGCTCCACGGTCTTGAAGTTGGGACTTAATTTTCGAGGAGCTCCAACAACCTCCTTACGACCTTCTCGCATATTGAAGCTGCAAGCATTGTTGAGGTCGGCCATGTAGGCTTCGAATCCACCTACATCGCGTTTTCCAATTCCACGGAACCCCTCATAGGTCTTTCGTTTGGGTTCTTTGGGTGCCCCGGGAGACAATCTGACAGCTCTGAATAGCCTGAGAAGTGTCAACATTGGAGATACTTTACGCTCAGCACCATCAGACGTGATGTCTGTGGCAGTGCTTGTCGAGGTGGTATCCTTATCTGCCCCGTGAGCGTTCGCCTTCCGGCACAAGCCGGCCGCAGGGCAAGGAATATCAGGCGCACATAGCTCAGCAAGTTCGCAAGGATCGACCGGATTAGCCACGGGCTTTCTGAGAGGAAGAGGGACTCCACAGTCTCCAAGTCCAGGCAGCCCCTCCAGGAGTTCGATCTTGATCTTCTCAGTAGCCGGGTTCCCCTTCACGGTAAAGACAACTTTATTCACGAGCTGCTCGCGAGCAGCTTGGTCCTGGGCTTCGTAGTCGTCTAAGGAAAGTTCGCTAAGCTCCTCGAAGAGCTCGCTGCCCAAAACGACCTTAAGGACTCTGTGGATTCGGCGTGGGTCCTCGGGGTTGCTTGGTGCATCCTCGTCGTAGCTGGTCACACCAGGCAAGCCTTCCATGACTGGGAGATTTGGGCCCTCGATGGCTTTCATCAGGTTGTCCATGAAGGTTTGATCAACGAAGTTATTGGAAGATCCAGATGCAGTGAGAACTTCTTCCCCTGGCTTCTTATCTGTTATCTCCTCTTTATTTTCCTCTGCCCCTGCCTTCTTACTTGCCAGCCTTTCCGCCAACTTTTCTGCCACCACATCCGCAACCTTACCCGCAACCTTCTTTCCAAGCTCACCAACTAATCCTCTATTGTTGATGCGGTTCTTATATCTGCTAGACTTCACAGCAACGACTTTTTTGGGCGTCTTGAGTTTTTCCTCCTTACGGTCTTTCTGGAAAATATCAAACAACTTGCGCGCCCTATCGTTTTTGGCCATTTGACCCTCTCGGAGTCTTTCTTTGCGGTCGGCAACCGCCAATTGCCATGATTCTCTATCTTTCATAGCTTGCTCTTCTGGTGTCAATTTTGGCTTTTCTTCTTGTGGAACTTGCGGATCAACCGGCTCATCCCCAGCCTGATGTGCTTGCTGCGGCGTTTTATCAGCATCAAATGAGTCGAAGTTGGTAACGCTGTCATTCTCCTCATTTGGTAGCGAAGCTTCTTCGTCGACCAACAACGTGCCTGGGTTGCCTGGGTTACCTGGAGCTTCTTTGGTGGACACTGGAGCTGGCTCTTCATTTTTTGGCCCTACAGTTTCTGGCTCTTCAGTTGCTGGTGCAGAGGCTTCCTCCGCATCTGCAGATTTTGAGTCCCATTCACCGTCGGTGGCATAGCTGTCAGTGGCATCATCGTTAGAATCCCATTCAGCGTCATACTCTCCATCATACTCCCCATCATACTTCCCATCATATTCCCCATCATACTCCCCATCGTACTCCCCATCATTCTCCCATTGTTCTTCGGTGGCCCATGACTCTTGCCCAGCTCTGAGACTGATACGTCCAGGTGCCATGGTGTATAAATACCAAAAGCGCCAACAGAAATTGTATGAAGTGAGAATATCAGATTTGAGTGAGAATTAATACTAGTCGAATATTGACATGTAAATTCGCACATTCTAATGTGTATGAGAAAAAGGGAAGATAAATCAGAAGGAGAGAAATTTCGAGGCCGTGCCGTAATAAATTAAAGACATCAGGCGTTTGATGCGTTCCTGATTTGTGGTTCCTGGCTAATGTTTGGCGTGGTGGACCCCCACGTGCTAATGCTCGCTTTGACGCCGGTGAAGTTGAACGCGCTAATGCCCGCCTTCACCACGAGAATCTGACATCAATGAAGCTTTACTCTCTGATATTATGGACTCTTAAATACAGCTCGGGAGGAATTAAATAAACTGTGATCGTGCAAGGAAACCCAACTTACATTCAACTCGCATTAAGAACACATCAACAACACTCCGCTAAGTTCAAGACGTGATGAATCTCAATATAGACTTACTACTTTAGGCACTAATATAGTGTTCTCAAATGCACTTGCATTTGAGGACGCTAGTAAGCCGTGAGTATCAAACGGAAATCGTGGCATGAGTTATGGCACTGGAACCTCGCCGTCGTCAGATCAAATTGAAGCTTCTTGGATCTTATTGGTGGGTATCATCGTCATCGCCTACTCTATGGCCTCAGCGCAAAAGGTCTCTGCCCCGCAGTCTGGCACATTCTCTATTACTCATACCAGCCTCTGCCGCAGAAACTCCGCAAATATGCCAATATCTTCGCACGTCTCCAATATCCTTCCTAGATCATCCACGACCAGAGACTTCATCTTGGTGGTTTCCGTCATGCCATCTCCATCGGGAAGAATGTTCTGTGAGACAACACTAAGTGAACCGTTTGATTCGATCCCCACCAAAATGTCCGCTATCCGTGGACCAAGGGGGAAGATTATCCTCAGGCTTGGTCCTGGCTGAGTGTATAAGCTGACATCGACAGGTATTTTCGTAAACTGTAGATCTTTATCCTTGTGGCTTGCCTCCGCCATGAAGGCGTCAAACTCGTCCTTCACGGTACTCTCCTCTCCCGGTACATCCTCGCTCTCTGTCTTGTGGTCCGATGTATATTTTGACCCAAAGCTTCTTTCAAGTAGCGTAGATAGTCTGGTGTATTGTCTCAAGATGGGTAGCATTTGCACTAGCTCCCGCGGATGACTGAACGGCACCTCCGTTAACGTTAGGGCGTATTCCATTTTTGGAATAGTGAGCGTGTTTGTGTGGCACTTCTTCTCATGCTCGCCTGCGCGGTTATACACGCTGACCAGTTGCTCCTTCCGTATTCGTCGGTGGGCACCATCTGGCTCGCTCGTTTCCGCGGTTTGGGGTGGGAAGGCAAGAGCGTCCAATGCCGCTAAAGCATCTGGTTCAAGGTGTGCGCTAGTCGAGTCGTAAATTTGCATTGCTGCGCTGTATGGCAAGGTTAAGGGCGGGCTGAACTTTGCCACAAAGCGCACATCTGGGAATTTCTGATTGGGTAGCTGGCCGGGCTGTTCGATGCCTTCCATGCCGCTGTCATCCTTCTGGTCGGGGTTGGAGGTGAGAAGGATGTTTGGAGGATCTTGCCAGTCAAGAACGACATCAGAAGCTGAGAGGAGGACGTCATCAGCTGTTGGGTTGGACTTGGCGACGGAAGGTGAGATCCATGCCGAGGAAACGCGAACGGGAGGGTACACCATGGATGACGACTGGTCACATTCAAGAAGGAGCGACCATGTTTTGCAACCTTCTCCCTGTGAAGTAGCGTGCCTCTCTTGCCAGTATTCCAAGCAGAGCCCGACATTACCATGGGCATTCATGGCAGGTCGGCCGCTCTTCTGCAACAGCGCAGCCCTCACGATTTGCTCTTGTGTCTTGCCTGACATTGCCTCCTCCTCCGTCAGCCTGGCCACTTCCCATTTGTGTAGCCTCTCTAAGCTGTCATATATTCCGGCAACTGCTTCGTGACAATTCAGCTGGGGCATCACACTGAGCTTGTCCAATCTCGCCATCCTATCCAGATTCCCCGCAAATCGGTCAACCCGTTTCGTCAACACGGTTTCGTCCTTGCTGAGCTTCAGATCGTCGAGTAGAATCCTCCCCGCTTGGTCTGCGTGCCGCGTCACGCTCTCTGGGCTCTCCGGGAATCCGAGCGTCACCGTCTCAACGACGTTATCCGTGAACTCGATATCAATCGAGAGTCCAGTCCCAGCGATAATGAGAGTCTTTGACTTCCCTCCCCTTCCCATCCCGGTCTCCCATAAACACTCCAAACCCACCGACCGCGCCAGCCGCTCGATACCATCCTCGCTGACCCTGCCTTTCACTGCCTTTAGGGTATCAACAATCTGCATCAACTTCCTCCTCTTCCGCTCATCCTCATCAAGCCTTCCGATCCCTTGTAGCCCGCCCAGTCCAGTCCCCAGCCCCAACCCCCCGCCCAGGTGTCCCAGCCCACCCCCCAATCCACCAGCCGATGCATCGAGCCCAAGGTCTCCCAGCGGCAGTGTCGCCAAAGCCGCTGCTGTAGTCGGGCTGTCAAAATTTATCCCGCCGAACGAGGAGGCTGTCGGGTGCGCGTATTGGTTCGAGTTTGCGGGGCTCTTCTTGTACTGCTGAGGCGAGAGATTGACCGATTTGCTCGCCGAGAAAGGCGTGGAGACAGGTGGCGTTAAGCCTGCCCTGAGGCTGGCGGGATGCTTTCCGACAGGCGTCGGGGTAGCCATTGGATACGCTCAATGCTTCGACGGGTCGTCGAGTTGTAAATCGCTTCGGGGCGGTTGTTGACGCTTTGTCGTTAACATTCGACCCTGGGTCGCGTCAATCGCTGGTGAGGAGACGACGCGGTGGATAGTGGCCTGAGAGACGATCTTGAGGAATGAAGCTATTTATTCGAGGGTTTTGCTCAATTCGCAATTATAGTTGGAGCGGTATTGCAAAGTTTAATATGAGGTAGAGTGTGGACAAATTGTTCAGCCTTGCAAACAGGCTGGCCAAGCCGCTTTTGGTTCAATTCAACGTCACCTCGCCTATCTTATAATTTACTACCATAGACAGTATGTTCAACACTGCCCACAACATCGGTGAGATGCCATTTTTGCATATGGATACAATGTCTTACCTCAATTTTTTTTTACAGCTCTGCTGTGCCAAAATGGCAGTCTTGGGATTATGTTGTTGATGAGACGAGCTGGTGAAGGCACAGACCAAATGACTAAAACATATATTTACTACCCAGCTCAAGGACAAACCACCACCAAAGTCCTAATAAACCGCTAAACAATAACAAATAATACCTCTGATGCGCTGCTTGAGGGCCTACCATCTGATAATAATACCTCTAGCCTGCCCTCCGCTATCGACGTTTTTGGGACCGAACATAAACCATGAGACTCGCGCTCTTCTCACCGAATTCCCCTGGCCTTCGCCTCCTTCTTCTGCATCAATAATACTTCTAACTTTTGCTGGATGTCTGCTGCATCAGACACCATCTTTGCCACTTTCAGAGTATTGCTATTTGATCTTGATATTGGCAGGTCCTCGAGGCGTTTCTTGGGAACGACAGCAGCCTTCTGGCCAGTTAATGGATATTTCTTAGTAAACCGCTCAAGAAGCTCTCCCGCCCAGCGCTGAGACTGCATGACAGCTTCTCTCCCTCCGGGATCTTCCGGATTGTCCCAGATCACCCGTTTCTTGGTAGGTTGCGAATCACCTCGTGAATTGGGCCGTGTATGGGCTCTTAGTGGACGCTGATACGGCAAGGTATTCCCAAACTTGCCAGTGATAGGCCATGGTGGACGGCCTTGGAGTGCGGCGTGGAATGGGATATTGATAGTTGCAGGAGCTGTTGGTCTAGCTGATGCTGACAATGTTGGGCAAGTATGGGAGCTGACTTTTTGTAGCCAGATCTCGTTTTCTCTGAAAATTATAGGTTTAAAATCAGGCACTCTTGGATCAAAGCCAGTAGTTGTGTCCTGACCTTGGGCACTGTTTTGAATATCCTCGTCAACTTTCTCTCCATTTTCAGAATCAGTGTCGGTATCTGTCTCGATATCTCTCAATGCCTTCAACAGAGAGTCCAACTTGTTCCTGTCTCCCTTCTTCCATCGTTTGAACGTCGAGACAAAGGCATCGACATCTTTATCACCACCCGTTTCTTGCCGTTCCGCAGCCCCTTTCCCTCCATCTTCCACAAAGAGTCTCTCAAACATTGCTTCTGTAGTTGGCCTTTCGTTTACAGGGTTAATGACCGGGCCAATAAGGGTAATAGCAGGATCCCATGAGACGCTTTTATTCAGCGTACGGCGCGGCGAAGTATTCGATGGACTATGGTCGACTGCTGGAAGTATGGCAGGTGGTACCGAATGATGACCATTTTCTGTGGGATCCAGTGCCGACTTGCTAGGTGAGTTTGGCTGTGGAGGACCTGACTTGTTATCTTGATTTTGTTGTATTTCTTGGTCCACAAACCATCCGTCAGGCGTGTAAGAATTCTCTGCGCGACCTGGAAAGTTGTGTTTATTTGGAGATATGGGCTCACGAATCGGCTTATATATCGGAGAGGGTTCCCCTTGACGTCTGGATTTACGAGTGATATCGTCCTTATTTGGCTCTGCTTTTTGAGGCTTGCCAGAAACTCCGTTGACGATTGAGCCAATTGCCCGAATAATATTCCGACTCGAGGGTTGAAGATAGCGGCCGACAGTGGTAGGAGTGGGTTCCAAGACAATCTTTGGATCCCCCTCGAGTGCATCCTTCTGTATCACTATGCGCGAGAAGGGCGCATCTTTCTCTCCCCTCTCGCTCTTACGATGCCCCCCCCCACGTAGACGCCTGGGTTGATGGGTCTGATCAGGTTTGTAGTGAGCCTTTCTTAGCATCGCTTGATACGCGGACTCTCGATCCGTAGGTTGGCATACGCCCTTCGAATTTTGAGGCTCCAGATAGTCATAATGCTGCGAGCCTGATTTTGGCATCATTTGGAATGCATGATCGTCGTTTTGTATTATTTGAGCTCTGAAATTTCCAATGAAATATTGCCTCGCTTGGCTATTGAGGCTTTCCCCGTGCGTTGCCGCTGTAGGATGTACTGGGTCGCTCACAGTTGCCGACCTCCTCAATCTAGGTGTGTGGAGCGTTATGTTTGGATCTATCGCCAAGATATGTGCTTCAGGGTTTAGGTATGCAGCTTCTATTCGCTGATCTGGAGGCGCTGCACCTCCTGGTACAAACATGGCTCTCATAGGCACATCGCGAAGCTCGTCGACACTGTCACTGGTGAAATTGAGAAGCCTTTGCCTCAATTGCCTTGATAGTATTGCTGGATCCCGGATTGGCTCCGGGGTAGTCCTGAGACTCTGTGGTGGCCTCCATGCCTGCCAGTCACCGCCAGTATTATCTGCTGGCAGCCATGATTCCTGACTTTCATCCACTGGCGTCCCCACAGGGCTTCTGAGTTTCCCGGTGCGTCTACTGGGTTGCATGCGTTCACAAATAATAGTTTCGTTGGCAAATCTTGAAGGTATATCCTGTTCCTCATCTCTTTCCGCGATGAAACCTGGCGGAAAGAGACATCTGGCTTTGGTGCCAGAGGGGCGCACCCCAGATACAGGGGATTTGTTGTCACATATCTGGTCAAAACGAGGGCCCTTGTCATTTTGCGACGGTATTTCAAAAGCATTTGGGGCTTTCGATGGAGCGTCTATACTTAGTCTGCTTCTCTTCAGCAGAGACGAGAAGTACTCGTCATCTTTAGCAGGAGAGTGGTTACTACCGGGCAACGAGCCAACCTTGCTATCTTTCGGAACAGGCGAAGGTAGTTTCTTTGAAGGGGAGCCCAAAATTGACGCAGTTTCGTAGCCACGTTTATGGAATGGGCTCCATTTGTGGACATCCCTCACCGAAGAAACATGTGGGCTTTCACCTGTGTTTCGGGATGTGCTACTGCGCCATGAATTGGTTTTTGTTGGTTGTTTTGGTGGCTGTTTTGACATCTGCTTTGGCAGTTCTTTTGGCGTCTGCTTTGTCTGCTTTTGCGTTGGAGTCTGCCTTTGAGCCTGCCTTGGAGTCTGCTTTGGTGGCTGCTTTGGTAGCTGCTGTTGTGGCTGCCTCAGTGTTTGCTTCGATAACTCCTCCGATGGCTCCTTCGATGGCTGCTTCGATGGGGATACCGCTGATTTTCCTTTTTCTGCTGGCGAAATCCCCGAATTCCAGAGCCGGGGTTGTTTTGCAGTCTTCTGCCGTGGGGTTTGTTCGGGTGTTGGCGACAATTCGGGCTTCTTCCCACGACCGCTATGTGGCGGAGGTTTCGACATCTTGGACCTTACTACTTGAACGCAGCTATTTTCTCGCAGACTTGTCGACAAGCCGGTTTAGGTGGCGATCGATTGAATGGGAGAGGGATATATGCCTGGATTGCTCAGTTCGTATGGCACCCAGTGTATCTTGAAGTATGGAACCCACCCTGCCTCTTCAGTGATGCCGCGTATACGAGGTCTCTCGTTCCAACTTCAGCCAGCTCAATCTAAGCATACCAGTTTGGAAGTTCGAGAGGTTCAGATAATTTGCACAGTTCCATGCGGGAGTTGAGTGAATTTAAGCACCCAACGAAGAGTAAATGATCGTATCGGAATGAAGCTGTGGCTATAAAATACGCTTCGAGATGCTGTAACGCTGCGAAGGCCAGTGAGGTCGCTTCATGGTTTGAGAGAGAGAAGGCAAGGAAAAAAATATGGCAAGCTCTGAAGTGAGCTTGGCAGGTCTGAACGCCATCGTGTGGAAGGAGCGACCTGCGTTCTTGCCATATTTAAAATTTATCCGCGTCGACTGCGAATGGACTCATGCACAGGCGGCAAGGAATGGAGAACGTTTTATACTTCAGAAACAAGCCAAAGAGAAGAAATAGAAATGCTAAACAATCAAGAAGACATAATTGAGTGTATCAGAGACTCTCTTACCTGGGACGTGAAGCCGATGGGGTTGGAAAGTGCTCTGGAGCAATCTTTTCGGAAGGAACGACCATGAAAACGATAGCGAAGAATTTACACACCCTCCCTCTTGTCATAGTTGATAAAATATCAGCGATGCTAAAATCAGGTACATTGATTGCTTGCAATAAATGGCGACCCAAACGCTTCAACTATCCAAAAACCAGTATGAGCATAAATGATGACCGCCTGCTCTTGCCCCAAAACCAACGAAAACGAAGTTACAAGCGCAGTCTTACATACCGGCGGCAGACTGAGCAGCCATCCATTGGGCGAATCCGGCTGGGTTCCTTGTCTGCAGGAAGATGGTCCCGGGACCGGTAAATTTGCACACCAGCCCTTCTCCGGATGCAATACCAGAAATAATACCCCCAGAGGCGATGCGCTCAAGGACGTACTTCGTATTCCACGCAATGAGATGGCCGTTATCTACAACATATCGCTCGCCTTCTTGGAGCTATTTCTGTGTCAGCAAGCCTCTCATGATTCGGAGCCAAGATAGGGAACTCACATCTTTCCGAATAATCGCGCCAAAGCTGGTAATCCACATGATTCCGGTTCCAGAAATCTTAAATACGAAAAGACCTTCGCCCGAGAACATGGCCTTCCCCAAGCCCTGACGCTTGAAGTCTTTCACCACGCCTTGTGTCGATGCAAGGAGGGCATCCTTACCCACGCTCCACTGCTCGTTTCCGGTGAGACGAATCGACGTTATGTCACCAAGAGCCTGTGGGGCAAGAAGCAGTTCTCCTGGGCCCGTGAACGTCGAGTGCGAAATATGGCCAGCCATGATTTTCGTCATGCTAAATTTCATGTTTCCCTTGAGTGTTACAGTTGGAGACATGGCGATCATACATCCTATTCGATATCAGTTCCCGCTCTCTTGGGTGTAAAATGGAACCAATCGGCCGCAACTTACCAGGCTTAACGGACAAAGGGCAGCCGAATGCCAGCTGCAGGGTAATGATACTATTCGTATCCCTATGGCTGATCCTATAACTCCCTCCATTAAACGTCCCGACGTCGTCTTGCGTGGCCACCGCTCCCATAAAGTGCCCCGCTGCAGGCGCACCGGCATGCATGTTCACGCCTTGCTGTTGCTGCTGCTGCTCCTCTTCATACTCTTGTTTCTCATCGGGATACTGGTCAGCGGCTACCCCCGGCGGGGGCGCATATTGCGGAAGAGGCGCCGGAGCAGGCGGACTGGCGGGCTTCTGGTACGATGTGCGGTGAGAGAAGTTCGGGGGCGGTGCATATTGTTTTTGTGCCTGCTGGCCTGGAGCAGGGGGCGGAGGGTATGATTGCGGGTTTGAAGGCGCGGCAGCCGGTCGGGGCGGTGGGTAGTATTGCCCTTGAGCCGGGGCCGGAGGAGTAGGAGTTGCCGGGGGCGGGGCAAAATGCTGCTGGGCTGGTTGACTGCCCGGGGGAGCTGTAATTAAATGTTGTTAGCTTCAGAGTGAAATGAAGGTGGAGCTTGAAGGATCACGAAGGAGTGGGGTAGAGGAATGGGATCCTTACGGGGATAGTAGCCAGACATGGCGACAGTTTCGGAACACAATGCCAACGGCGACAAAAAGGACAGAGTATAGATTTGAAGCTATACGTAGAATATGGAGAGTGGGAATTGAGGCTTCGTGAACAATGCTACCTGGTTGGTGTCAGCTCTCCATCCCCCCAGCTTTACCCCGCACCCATCACGAACAACAAAGGGACACAAACACAAACCTTGATTCAACAGCAACAAATCAGCTCCAAATAGCAAGACAAGAAATGCCTAAATGAAGCAGCGACGTGTATCGGGGAAGCAGGCACATCTATATACCTGCTCACCTACCTGCAGCTGCGCTGACGCTGGATGGCCCATGCCCAGTAAGCCCAGTAATTGGAGACTGCATATATTTCTAGGGCCAGCGATCAACTCCCTCGAAACATCCTTACATAGTAGCACTGTGGCAGACGGTCGCCAGCAGGCGACCAATAGCGCCATTCCTGCAACCCATGTTGTCGGTATCGGCGTATCGACGAGGGTTGTGTGGTTGCGGGATCGATGGCTTTCAGCGCCGTCAATTGGGTCCGCTTCCATTTGGGTGTGCCGTGGGCGCTTACAGGTGGAGAGATTGATGAGCCCTGGATGCTCGGCAGCGCGAAAAGAGACACATTGGAGACACAGCATACTCTGTATAGTACTCTCTGGACACAGGTAACAGGAAAATCACACATCACGCACAATAATATTGTCAACTTTGGATATGTTTTCATGATCTTTGCAAGTTTGCACGAGCTGTCCGTCTCTAAAAGGCTCAAGCAAGTCTGCGAAAAAAAAAGTCACTTTCTCGTCATCGCATCGCATCGCATCGCATCGCATCGCATCATTTTCTCTGCCAGAACATATATAACCTATCCATGCATCATGAGCATCATATTTTAGTTTCCCTTCCCTTGTAATCCGTACCCTACATGAAAGCATCCTTGATCTTGATTCCTCTCCGCCCGTAAAAAGCCAAGAACACCAAACAAGAAGCCGCGGAAATACCCCAAGGCACACTCTAACCCTGTTGTCTCTTGCGCTTTCCGACCTGTGCGGAGAAACCAGTCTTGATGGCCGTAACCGAACGGCGCGATCCGCACGAGTTGCAGGTGATGAAGTACAGTCTGTTCTCTCCCTTGTTGAGCTCCGTATCCGGGGATCTGCAAGTTTTGCAAGTGACGTATTCCACTGTTATTGATTAGTTTCTGATTTTCTATGCAAATGCAGCTCGCTCCTGGGAAAACTCACTGATATATCTCCTCAAGACGTTTTCGATCTGCTTCTGCTGGAAGCGACCCTTGATAACCAATCTCCTGCTTCCGTCCACGGAGCCGCTCGTACCCAACTCAGCGAACAGGTATGATGTGACGTGCTCGTCGGTCCTCTTCATCCTCTTGCAGATCTCGTTCAGGTTGGCGAAAATGGTCTTCTTGTTTCCTTCACGGAGACACTGTGGTGGGGGGATCTTGTACGATCTCGAGCCGCTGCTTGCGTGATCTGGGTTCTTTTGGGCCAGTAGGCTGAAGAAACGGGTAAGGAGGAGCTCGTATCCGATCGGCTTGATGTCGTTGTGCGCCCAGATACCGGTTCCCTTCTCCATATCGCCGGAATCCTCGACCTTTTCGGGCTTGGCAACGGCTTCCTCATCTCCCTCCTCCTTATCCATGTCCAGAGCAGCGAGCTTGGCGGCAAAGTCATCCTCTCCCTCTTTCGGCACCTTCTTCTTCTTCTTCTTCTTCATTGTGAGGTCGAGACCACCGTCAGCAGCTGCGTCAGCCTCGCCAGCTTCGTCATCAGCCTTGGGCTTCTTGGCCTTCTTCTTCTTCATGCCCTTAAGCATGTTGGCGACATCATCGTCATCCTCTTTTGCCTCTTCTGCGTCGGGGCCTGGAATATTGTTAGTCGCCACAGGTGAATTTGTAGGTGAAATGTGGGGTGACAAACTCGAGTGCGACATTGCTGTGTCCTTCGATCCGTTGGCTCCCTCGGTGGAGATCTCTCCATTCTCATCCACGATAGTTGCTCCCTCGCTGAACGCGACAGACTTGCGCGGTTTGCGCTCTGCGATAGTATCCTGTCGCAAACGTGTTAGTCTGACCTGATGTGGCATTTCGCCCCTCATCCAGCGTGGGTTTGTATTTACCTCGCCCGCCATGATTGCAACCCTATAAAAATTCCTCTATTGATAATATCGACGCGATCAAGTGTGTGGTCTCGTCGTATCCGTTATGGAACCTTGTTGTTGTCTTGGGTAGGTAAGGTCGATTCGATATTCGCCATTCAAATTCCAAGGTGGGCTTCGTGAGTCAAAATGCAGCTTATGTAAGCAACCTTTATTCGTTGCTGAGAGCATGGGGAAGGCCGCTCCCCCACGTGAACTGGGAGCTCCTGTGAGCTACGGGTAAAGCACAACTGACGACGCGCGCGACTCACGATTACCACACATTGGCATGCCAGATATTTGATTCCTCCAGTGCATAACCTGCTACTGTATGCTGGGTTCACAAAGACGTTATCTGTGCCTTGGAAGCACATTAGGCTTCACACTTCCGGAGCCGCCCAACTCGCAATGTCGACCTCAACATCTTCCTCATACGTCTTCCCATCTGGACAATGGTCGACGCCAGCCACTGCCCCGGATGCTCATGATGAGCTCGCATCAGACAATGATGATCTCGACTCCCTACCATCATCGATAGACAGCTCGGAGGAAAGCTCGGAGTACAGCTCCGATGCACAGAAGGAGTGGGAGGCCAGCCTGCAGCAGATCGAGCTCCTGCTCACAATGGTTGTTGTGCCGTACGTGGGAAAATATTTCGGGAGGAAGTGTGCTTATTGGAGTGAGTCCACTTTTCTGCGTTGCATTTATTTGAGGGTTGCGATACAGATGGGGCTTGGGAACAGATACTGACTACGATACAGGCTGGGCGAAATACATGGAATGGATGTACGCAGTCGAAGTGAGATATACGAATAAGGCGGCGTTTAGAGCGGCTGGGGCTGTTGAAGCAGCAGCAACATTATAGAACAGTCCGATAAGGTGGAAATAATATATCAACGAGATGAAATCGGAGGCCACTGAGGCATTCGTTTGTTCAGTTCCACATGTAATTAACTCCAACAGCGGCCCTTGATATTACAGTCGTAGCCCGCAGTGATTATGAAGATTTGACCAACAACAGCCCCCTGAACAAGTCACTGAAATGCTGCCAATGTCTCTGCTAACAGGATGGAATAGTGGTTTATTAATCGAATGATAGGGCGTTTGGGCGGCGAGCTGGATGGCCACCTTAAGAATAGCATCAGCGAGGTTGGGTTCTCGATCAACCTGACGTTCCGCCTCGAAAAAGATCATGACGCCCTTCGACGCGGGAAACCCCCTTGCGGTGGACATGGCGGAGTGGTGGGATAGGGAGGTGACGGTAAACTCAGCGGCGGCAGAATGAGTAGTGACAGCAGATATCGGCGCAGTGAGAAAAGGCACTCTACGAAGGCTTTATTCTCACCGTCGCTCATACTGCTGTCACCTACGCACCCCGCCGCCGCTAAGTTTACCTTTTGGTCCGCAGCCCACGGACACCACCAGTGACCTTTCCGGTCTACAACCAACTGACGCGACTGATGGCGTACGTAGGCCGCCGCACACTTAGACACGCATCTTCCAACGTCGCTCTGCCTACTCCTATTATTCCTACTGGCGGCAGCGCGTTTGAACTCGTTAGCGACGGCCTTGCTCACCTCCCCTCATTTAGAATCGCCAATCACTATTAAAATCGGTTTCTCCATCCTGCTCTGTGCCGTCAACCGACTGGCGTGTGCTTGACCTTCTTCTGTGGATGCTTGAAGGATCTGAAGGCTATTAACCCGTGTAATATATGACGAGGCGAATCTAGTGACTATACGGAACGAGTCAAGAGCATATTCACAAGATCCCTGCGAATGCAGAGGTATCGAAACAGTTATCCTGTCACCGTGCCCAACAAGCCAACCGCCACAAAGAGGTGGAAAGACACGTTGAAGCTGCCCGAAAGTCGATACCATACGTTGCATTTGAGAAGGCTAGGAATGAACTAGGCACGAAGGTAACAGAGACTGAACGTAACAATACCGATGCTCTCGAGGTCTTCAAATCACCATCGCCATGATCGGACAACGAGCGCCTCGACTAGTTTTTCACAGCCTTAACTAGGTTATGAGATTGGGTGGCGGTGGGATGGGGAGGTGACGGTAAACTCAGCGACAGCGGGGATTAGTAGTGACAGCAGACTGTCAGTGGCGGCGGTGAGACAGACTCCACGATGGCCATCTTCTCATCGTCGCTCATATTCTACTATCACCTGCGAGAGCAGCAGCGTAGTCTTTCTTAGCTTTCTCGAGGGTAGTAGTGTGCTTGCGTTTAGCCTCCTTCGCCTCTACCACTTTAATATCATCGGCATGCTTCACCTTGGCCATACTCTACTTCTCATCGTTCTGTTCTCAGCAGACTATCAGCAACGGTGAGAAGAAGGCCTTCCTGAAGTTACCGAGGGAATCTCATGCAGCTTGATCAAACGTAACACAGCACTCAAAAGGTTTTCAAACTCCCATCAATTTGGGGGAACGATCTGTTATATTCTCGCGCACGTCATGCTTAAAATCGTATTATAAAACAAAGATAGACTATCAACCAAGTAGGTCACCCTGCCGAAAGATCATTTAAGATTTCTAAAGAATTCCACCCTTTTTCACATCCTGCACAACCACCCCCCTAAAACCAAATATTAATCAAAAGATCCATGCACCACGGTGTGTGTCTTGTCCGTGGGCTGTAAATGATAAACGCCAGGGTATCGTATGCTTCCCGAATATGTGTTCTTTGAAGTGGAACAAGAGACATTTGATAAGTTGAGTCAAAGGCCCGCCTTCAAGGGTGCAGGCCGTATCTAGTCGTCTTGAAGAGACATCATAATCCTACACCAAATTAGCACCTTGCACCAAAGATCAAAGAAGGAATCTCACGGTAAGCTATCAAACACCACCTCATTATGCTCGTAATGCACAACAAAGCCACCTCCCAACACCCGCCTCAGCTCATGCAGCCGCATTAACTTCCACCAGCGGTCAATCGTCATCGAACCCCCGCCATGGACCTTAACCTTCATCCGGCTCCCGTATCGCTTCCCCGTCTCCTGGTCAATCGCCTTCTGGTACCGTGGCCCGCGCTGTGGATGCTCTACGGTGCACAGGATATCGCTGAAGCTGGAGTGTAAGTGCTTGCGATCCTTGCGGCTGATGGACTTGGAGGAAACGGCTGCGAGCTGGCGCAGGGTGTGCTGGAGCTGGTTGGTCTGGCGGTAGACATTGTAGCGCTTGACGAGGGAGTTATCCAAGGGAAATCCTTCCTCATCCTCTACTTCCTCAGGCGGTCCATCGTCTTCTTCGCGATCGGTGTACGATTTCTCGAACAGCAAGGCGATGTTCTCCCCCGCGGCGATCTGGACGGCGGCGTCAGTGCTCTCGAGCTGTTCGACAAAGGCTTCTATGGCGTCTTCAGTACGGTCTTCCATATCGTCGAGAGAGGTAGCTAGGAAGCCCCAGGACTCGAGTGCAGCAACAACGACGGATGCTTCGTCGGCTGCGTCGATGGAGGTGCCGTCGGATTCGATAATCTCGAGGAGCTCGTCAAGAAGTTCCTCGGTGGCCTCGTCCGCTGCGCCACCGTACATGAGGATCGAACCGAGGGAAGAAATTGCCGTGGTTTTAGCGGCAATCGACTCGGAGCTCGTATAGATGCGCTGAATAGCTGGGAAGACGGTGGCGTAGGCAGAGTTAGACGGCGAAGTGATGAGGGTCACGGCGATGGCGCGGATGGCGAGCTGTGTCTCCTTCTCGCTGCTCTCAGCCTTGGTGCTCTTGAGGAAGGCGGCGAGAAGGTCTGATTTCCGGGACGAAATGGTATCGAAGGCGTAGTGCGTGGTGAGGAGGTGCACATAGACTGCGTAGGCAAGCTCGCGGCCTTGGATGCTGCTACGCTTGCGGTCGATAATCTCTTCGATGCGGGCACTGAGGGTCTGTTGCCAGGCGTCGGTGCCGTCGCCCTCGACGGCTTCGGCGGAGAGTAGTTCGTCGATCGAGTTTGTACTGTGTGGGAGGTTAGTTTTATCTCTTGAGCGGGGTTGGCGGGGTAGGCGCGGGGTACAAACCTCCAGTTCGTGCTGTCACTTAGGTTATTCTCCTCTTCGTCTGAGCCGTGCCTGCTTGCATTTCTCGAACCTGCGTGGGATGATGTGCGGGATCCAGCGGCGGAGGAGGCACGCGAGGAGACCTTGGACTGGGCCTTTCGCGACACGGTCTTGTGGCTCTCGAGAGCTTGACGTCTGAGGTCGCGCATGTTGCAAGCTTATCGAGGCTGAAGAAAGAAGTTTGTGCCCGGGGAAGGAAGGGCGATGGGCACTATATGAGCTGTACACGTGTGTGTTGATCTAGTGGTGTGGTCCACCTTTTTCGCTGGCTGAGGGTGTGCTGGATGTTATCGCAGAGCTTTGTGGTACATGTAGCGGAAAAAGGTCGTCGAAGAAGCGAACTCCATGTGTCTGAGGGCGCTGGCTCTGGGGTCGAGGTGCGTATATGTACGTATGTACTCGGTATGGGATGGAAGGATGATGTTATGTGTGGTGTTGTCGAGCCGGAGAGAGTTGTGTGAAGCTTGGTGGAGATAATAGACCAGCGTCAAGAATTCGCCGTCGCTGTCTTTGTGGGCCGACGTGGGCGAATGAGGGCCCACGGTTAGTTACCCCTCACCTTACCTCACCGCTTCACGATAATAATTGAAGTGACGATGACCTTGTCTTCTTAGTAGTAGTGTCGAGAGAGGCGTATTTTGAGGATAGTATTTCACTTGCAGTCGAAGAGCTCAAAGTGAAGCATCTGCTAGGTATTGCCATACAAAATTCGCGTGATTGTGGGAAGCATCATCCCCTAACACACCCAGCCGGCCCGTCCGACCGCTGACCCCGGCCTGCCAAACGATCCTAAGATTTGATACGTGAGATAGGGGTCTAGAACGAAGAATAAGACGCATGTCTGGCGTGATGTTGGAGCGGAGAGATATGTGGGCTATGGTTGTGAGAACTCAACCCCACGATCCCATTTCACGTGCCCGCGATAAGAAATATCGTCATCGCCAATCGAAAATAATCACGCCGATTCACGCCGCATCAACAACCTCAAAATCACAACTTTACCATGCAAACGCCTGCCTGAGCCCACGGCCACCCAACTGAAACAATCCAACACCAGCCACCCAATCCTCTCGAGCCAATTCCCCCGAGACACCCTCAACGGCCTCGCAACCACCCAATCCGCCTCCGCGCGCCCTCCAACCACCCCATCACCAACCATGACCACCACCACCCCCCAAACCCTCACCTTCCCCCGCCCAACCTTCGCCAAACTCGCCCCTCACTCCTACCTCCTCGCGCACCTCAACACCCCCTCCCCCACCCGCGCCAACGCCCGCCTCCCCACCTCCCCCCGCCCCCCACACACCCACAAAGGCTCCCTCACCCACGCCAACGGGAGCGCCGTGATCCGCATCGGCGACACGACCGCCGTGTGCGGCGTCCGCGGAGAGGTGCTGTTGGCTGATGCAGTGGGGTACTCTGAGACGCGCCTCTCTGGCGGTGCTGCTCCTGCTACTGCTGCTACTTCCGGGACGCGCCATAAGGGAGGCATGAAGAGCACAGCGCAGGAACTGGATTTGCTCGTCCCGAATATCGAACTCGCGACTGGGTGCGCGCCGGAGTTTTTGCCGGGGATGCCGCCTAGTAAGATGACGCAGGAGCTGGTAGCGCGCGTCTACGCTCTTCTGCATGCTAGTGCGCTGGTGGGGGATGAGTGTCTGAAGATTTGGGGACCCGTTGTGGACGGGGAGGATGAGGAGGATGAGGAGGGAGAGAAGGAGGAGGGGAGTGAGGTTAAGGCGTTTTGGGTGTTGTATATTGATATCCTCTTCATCTCGCTGGATGGAAATGCGTTTGAGGCTGCGTGGGCGGCGCTGCTAGGGGCGTTGCAGGATGTGTATTTACCCGCTGTGAGATGGGCGGAGGATCGGCAGGCGGTGGTGTGTGAGGATGATGTGAGTAGTGCGACGAGGTTGGAGTTGAGGGGGTTGCCTGTTGCAGTTGGGTTTGCGGTTTTCAGGGCGAAGGAGGGGGCAGGGAAGAAGGGGGAGTATTGGGTGTTGATTGATCCGGATATGTTTGAGGAGGGATTGTGTGAGGAGACTGTTACGGTGTTGTTGGATTGTGCTACCGGGGAGACGAGGTTGATTGGGGTTGAAAAGGTTGGGGGGGCGATGTTGGGGAGGGAGCAGATGGTGAGGTTGATAAAGCAGGCGGAGAAGAGATGGGTGGAGTGGAGGAATGTGTTGAAGGGTTGAATGAGTATGCAGAGTCGGTTCTCAGTTGTGGGATAGGAGGCACGAGAATCTGCACGGGGAATCTCGGAGCCAATGCCAGGCCGATAAAGTTGTCTGTCGGGGCTAACAGCCACAATGCCTGGTCGGATTTCCGGTGCAAGTGTAGGATAGGACTGCCCGGAGTTATGTACTTGAATTCCCTACGACCCAGGATGCCACGGGGCATGTATACAAGCATAGTTGGCGCATTTAGTAGCCTCAAGTATCACCAGGACTATCTCGGTCCGTACAAAAGGAAAATCTCACTGAAAGTATATTGTCAATGAACGGGTTGGATAATACATATATCATTGCAAGCATCCACCTGCACTACGTGAAGATAGTTGCCTATATTACATTGAGAACTTGAGAACTAGACTGGACTCAACAGCTTGTCGACTGCCCATTTGACGTTCAAGCTCCTAATGTCAGAGTAGTGCTGCCCGACACCTATAAGTAAATTAGTATGTTGTCATCATCGGCGGAATGGAATCTATCACATACCCACGAATAGAACGGGTGTTCCCGATGCATGCACCATGGACACAAGAGTTCCAATCTAGGAGATGTTAGTCGGAAGGGACATATGGTTTCGGGGAGAGAACTTACCATATCCCCAACGGTGTCGCACTTCGATATAATAAATCCATCCAGCCTGCGAGTAGCACCAAATGCAGCATTGAAGTTCCTTGCTTGCGCAACAGAATCAGTGCCCACCAATGCCTCACCAACCATCAGGAGTTTATCAGGGTTCGCAAACTTTGCAAACTTCTCCAACGAGGACATCAAACGCTACGCATATTAGCTTCATCCACACAAACTCCCTTGCGAACTCACCTGGTCATTATGGCGCCGTCCAGCAGTATCAATCAGAACCACATCGAACTTCTCCTGCGCCGCAAACGTAATCGCATCCTTCGCAACACTCGCCGCATCCTTGCCATACCCCTTCTGGTAGAGCTCCACCTGTCCCCCCTCTCTCGCGCTCAACTCCTTCAAGTTGCGCACATGGACAGCAAGCTGCTCCACGGCACCGGAGCGAAAGGTGTCGCAGGCGACGACGAGGACTTTGTACTTGTTTTGTAGAAGGAAGAAGCAGATCTTGGATAGGTTGGTAGATTTCCCGACGCCGTTGACGCCGACGATGGAGATGACATAGGGGCGAGCTTTCTTGAGCGAGACGGTAGAGGGTGATGTTACGTCGTCGATTTCGCGGAGGAGGTCGAGGGATGTTGAGGGGGTTAGGATCTTTTGGAGGGATACTTCCATCGCGGCGCGAATCCTCGCCTCTGTGCTCTCAAAGTTCCCAGTCTTGGTCCCGATCAGTTCCCTCTCCACACCCTCACATAAACGCATCGCGGCTTCACGAGCAACATTCTTCTTCAGGAGATGGTCTTCCATTCCCTTCATGGCCTTGTCAAGGTCTGCTTTCGACAACACCTTGCCTCCAACAACATTTCTGAACAGCCCCCCGATAGCTGACAAACTGGACCCAACGATGCCAGATGGCGCAGTGGTTGTGGCAGCCTTTTTTGAGTCGGCAGAGGACAATATAGCGTGAACTTGATCGTCGAGATCTTTCAAGACAAACTGGCCCTTCCCTGTCCTGGAGCCCCACGATTCCTGATCAACAGCCTCCATAGCCCCGGGCAAACCGCTGCCTTCCGCCTCCCCATCATTTGTGACATCAATTGACGGAATAGAATAATCCAACTGGGTGTCATCATCCTCATCAGCATTACCGTCTGCGTCCCAGCGGCGGCCCTTTTTGGCAGTGGGGGCCTTCCCTCCCTTGCCTTTTCGCGAAGCCTCGTCCCCCGATGAAACAAGATTTGTTTTCCGTGCCCGCCTAGATATTTTCCCTCCTGGTCCACCTTTCGTTGTTAGTATATGGCTGGATGGAGTTGAAGGCCTCGAGGTGTCTGGAGTGGCAATGGGTGTGGATTCGCTGGATGTCAAGTTGGCTTGTCTCGATTGGCCTATTAAAAAATTAGCTTTTTCTAGAGTTATAGTCGAGTTGTAACAGGTGGCATACCTCGTGATAGAACGCCGGGAATGGGGGGTGGCTCATCGTCTCCCGGAGCCAGTTTTTGGTCGAAATGAGGCGGGGTTGACGGTACTGATAAGTCGTGAGTTGCCGCAGTAGCCTCTAGTTCCCTAATTTGCTGGTCGAAATATTTGTCAAAATGGCACTCAACACCAGTGGTATGCGGCCTTCTAAGCTGGTCGCCATAGAGGTCCACAAATAGAGTCTTTATATTGTCCACGAGTTTGTCGATCCAGGAAAGGTGGAGGAGTGATCTGTACACAGCCTATATGCGCAATTAGAACATGTATATATGGCTGCTTCCAATTTACTCACAACAAAGATCAAATTTAGCTCCTTCACTGTCGTCCATTTTAGAGTATGCTGGTCGTGCTTGTAAGGGGGGTTATTGGCGGCAGAAATGTCGTCTGAAGCACCAGCGCCACCGGCACGTGTGCGCTCCTCGATGAAGACATTCTTGATGAGGCCGTTGATAATAGCTGGGCTAGTCGGAGTGTATGTCCTTGACCACAACACAACACCGGAAGTTGTGATGATCTCAAAGGTATCCAACATCGTGAATTCGGCGCTCTATTCAAGATGTTCTTATCCCTTCCATCAGTGACACTTATCATCTATTACTGAAGATGTATGAGGGAAGGCGGTGGCAGAAAATTCGCCTAACCAGGTAAAGCTCCCCCTTAACTATCCACGAACACATTTCAAGACGTGTAAACAAACTACTGGCAACCTTCAAGCAGCTCTAGGCGGCGATTCTTGTCTTTTGACATATCTACTTGAAACAACCATTCCGATATACTCTATAAAGCTTCATCATGCAACGACCTACATATGGGCAACCCCCCCCTCCAAATTCGCCACCTTTACATCATCCAGTCCCCCAGCATGTTTCGACCGTACCTCAGCTCCGCTCCCCTCCCCCGCCAGTCCCCCAGCAACAGTCAGGATATGGCAATCCCTATCAACAGCAAGCTGGCCCTGGAGCAGCAGCTCCTAGCCACGCATTTGGCGCGTATGGGGGGTTTATGAACGACCAGACAGCTCAGATGGGATTCCAAGTCGGCCAAACAGCTTTGAAACATGGACAGGAATACGTCGAGCAAAATGTAAGAGGGTAGACAAAGTTATTCTTACAGAAGCTAACGTGCAGCAGTTCAATCGCTACATTAATGTCCCAGCTCTCAAGCATTACTTCGATGTCTCGAACTCTTACGTTGTCAATAAATTGTTCCTGGTGCTCTTCCCTTGGAGACACAAGCCATGGTCCCGAAAGCAAACAATTGGACCGAATGGACAAGAGGGCTGGTTTCTGCCCCCAAGAGAAGATCTAAACAGCCCGGATATGTATATTCCAGGTAAGAGGAAGCTATTGCGCCCCCAACCAGTGCTCTCATTGACATTGTGACAGTTATGGCTTTTGTCACATACATTCTGTTGTCTACTCTCCTCGCCGGCCTGCGTGGTGCGTTCCAGCCTGAATTACTTGGCTACACAGCGTCGGCCGCCTTCGCCATTGTATTCCTGGAGATCCTGGGTCTCAAGCTAGGAAGCTATCTGCTTTCGATATCAAACGACTCGCAGTTGCTTGATTTAGTGGCCTATTCAGGATATAAATTTGTTGGCATCATTGTCACGCTTGTCCTCAGCGAAATAATAAACAGAGGCCAAGGCACCGGAGGATGGGCGGGGTGGACGATATTCGGTTACACATTCTTAGCAAACGCGTTCTTCTTGGTAAGTCAAGACCCGACCTAGGAATTGCACTCTCTCTAACCAGAAATTAGCTACGCTCCCTCAAATACGTTCTCCTTCCAGAGAACTCGACGGACAATTCCAGAGGGGCTATGCATACGGTTGCACGGTCACAGAAAAACCGTCGAACCCAGTTCCTCTTTCTGTACAGCTACATTGTCCAGTTCGTTTTTATGTGGGCACTGAGCCGACCATAAACCCCCACCGGGGAATTAGATCTGAGGCGGTGAGATATGGATTAGCTTTGCGGAGAAAGGGGGGATGGCCTGGCGTTGGGATGGAATTGTATTCTAGCTAGCGCTCCTGACATGGGGGGGTTGACGAAAGTAACGATATAGCGAATAACTAATAAATACCGAGCACCGAGCACCGAGCACCGCCGAGCACCGAGCCTATAAATGTAAGATTCATAAATTATTGGAGTGCATAACATACGTATAGCTGCACCCCAAAGACCAAAAACATCGTCAAGGTATGCGTTATGCGGGGTTTAGCTGCGTCTTAGCCGTGGTTATTGTAGCCTCAGTGATGGACCTCGGCGCACTAGTCTCTGTAGGTTAGTGCACACCTTGATCGCTTTGAGATCAATAAAGAGAGATGGATGGCCATTTCAAACTTCATACTGCTTGTTTTATTTCGAAATTGGTCCTTCCCAGTTCTGTATATTCTACATCGTTATATACTCTCTCGTCGTATTCGCCTCGGAATAAGACATCTCCTTTGCTGAACATGGCTTTCGGTACGCTTCCCCACACTTCCCCACGTTTGCCCCAACTGGCGCACCCCACCACAGCCATTCTTGTCCAGGTCACCAACATAACATTGTCAGCGGAGTTCCAGGGGGTCGGGAGCCGTTGATGATTAATATGTGGGATATGATATGATAGTATCTGGACAGAATGAATCAAGCCCTTTTATAATACTATTGTGTATCAAATTTCCGCGATGCTAACTTCAATATGGAACAGCCGCAGCAGCCGCAGTGGTTGCTGGCACCACTGCTGCCGCCATGTACATCGATGCCAAAACTGGAATTGGGGCTGATATAACAGCGTTGAAGGGCTTTAAACGTGGCGGGCAGATTTGGGATGAAGCTGGTATTTACTCTTTGCTATCAAAGACTTCACATCTGACCATACGTAGTGGCGAAGAAGCAGGCCAGTCTCTACTACCTCTGGGAGGAAAGCGCGCTGCGAAAAGGCAATGAGGAGTGTATATGGTCCCGCGAAGGATGTTACACCTGGACGCAGGCCTACGATCGCGTCCACCAATACGCCCAGTGGTTTCTGGCCGAGGGCGTTAAGCCCAAAGACCTCGTTGGAGTCTACCTTCAGAATTCTCCCGAGTTCATGCTAATCTGGCTTGCCCTGTGGTCTGTTGGGGCTGCGCCTGCCCTGATCAACTACAACCTTGCAGGCGAGGCACTTGTGCATTGCCTCAAGATCAGCGGAGCAACTATACTTCTGGTTGATGCCGACGAGGCCCTTCAAGCGAGAATCAACGAATCCAAGTCGGTGATCGAGGGACAGCTGAACATGAGATGTGTGAATCTAGAGGATGTAAAGAGCGTCATTGTTACGCTACCAGCGCAAAGACCAGGAAACGAACTACGTGACAATGTGGAAGGTAGTGATCCAATGTGCTTACTATACACAAGGTGAGTCCACCCTCGCAAGACTATTGGCCCAGCTAACACTCGGAAAGCGGTACCACCGGATTGCCCAAAGGTTGCCAGTTCAACATAGACAGAATGTACATGGTTTGCTTACAAGTAAGTCACCTTAACCCTCGTTGTATACTCATGCTAACTTCTTTTTCAGCGCAAAGCCGGGATAGCATGGACTGTGGATTCAGACCGTTGGTACGACTGCATGCCATTTTACCACGGTACTGGCGGCTGCGCAGCTCTTAACGTACTTTGTAATGGGATAACTCTCTGCGTTGGCAAGAAATTTAGCACAAGCCAATTCTGGGTTGACGTGCGCGACTCTCGTTCAACATGGATCACCTACGTCGGAGAAACTGCACGATACTTGTTGGCTGCACCCCCATCGCCACTTGACCTCCAGAACGAAGTCCGAGGAATGAACGGAAACGGCCTCCGACCTGATGTCTGGATCAAGTTCCGTGACCGCTTTGGCATCACGGAGATCATCGAGTTTTTCAACTCTACGGAGGGAGTCTTTGGTCTGGTCAACCACTGCAGAGGTGATTATCTCGCAACATCCGTTGGACACCACGGCATTCTTCGCCGCCATCTGCTTCGAGACACATTCGTCCCAGTTCGTGGTGATACAGGCACTGGAGACCTCCTACGCGATCCTAAGACTGGATTCGCCATCAGGGAACCATACGATGTGGGCGGAGAGGTGCTCGTCGCCGTGCCCAGCGAGGAGGCATTCCAGGGCTACCACAACAACCCCGCTGCCACGGAGAAGAAGTTCATTCGTGACGTCTTCCAGAAGGGTGACTTGTGGTACCGCTCTGGAGACGCGTTGAGACGGACTGATGACGGCCGGTGGTTCTTCCTGGACCGTCTTGGTGATACTTTCAGATGGAAGGGAGAGAATGTCAGCACCGCGGAGGTATCTGAGGTTATTGGCAGGTTCCCGGGTGTTGTAGAGGCGAACGTCTATGGTGTTCAACTGCCAAACCATGATGGTCGTGGTAAGTCATATTGAGGGATGCCATTCTAAGATCAAAGCTAACATCGTTCTAGCCGGGTGTGCAGCCATCTACATTGATCCTGCTGCGCGGGGTAGTTTTGACTACGCAGCATTACTCCAGTAAGACCCCCTCAGATACGAATTTTAACCGTTCCCGTTGCTGACCTTCTACAGACACACTCGAACCCACCTCCCAAAATACGCTGTGCCAATTTTCCTCCGAATCGTCCAGAACATGACGCCAATCCACAACAACAAGCAGAACAAGGTTCCTCTGCGGGATGAGGGAGTCGACCCAGCAAAGGTCTACAAGGGAGATGAGATCGTTTGGACCGAGGCAGGCGGGAAAACATACCAGCCATTCACGCCAAGCCATTGGGATAGTTTGAATTCCGGGAAAGCGAGATTGTAAAGAACGAGCGACATATAGGATAAAGGATAGAAGGTAGCTGTTTATAGTAAGTAACATAGGTTGACTCAACGAACGGACAAAGTGTACCACTTTTTACTCCAACATAATTAGAATTATGTAATTGGATAGGAGAATAAGTTTACATCTATCTAAGCATTATGAATTGCGGATCAACCTCCCCAAAGCCTTAACCTTGGCCCACACCCCAGGTTGATATCCCAGGTCCACAATGGCCGTTACTAGCTTGCGTCCCGTCCTCGTGCTGGGAATAGGGTATCTCAGGGGAGCTGGAATAGCTGTCTTGGCTCCCATCCAGCTCCAACGATCCCGACAAATTCCCTTGATGTTGCACATTCCCCTCAGGCCCTCCTCGCCTGCAAAGCGGCCGTAGCCACTGCCTCCCACTCCACCAAATGGCAACTGAACAGCATAGTATGCGCCAAAGTCGTTGACAGCCACCATTCCGCTCTTCACTGCGCGCGCAACTTCGTTAATCTCGTATCCGTTGGCGCCGAAGACGGAGGCACCAAGGCCGAAGTTGGGGGAGTTGGCGATTTCGACGGCTTCTGCTGCGGATGCGGCGCGCATCACGACGCAGATCGGGCCGAAACATTCCTCTTTCGCGATCTCCATAGAGGCGGTCACGTCGACGAGAAGAGTTGGCTGGAAGTAGCTGCCTTGTTTGTACACGGGGTGGTCGTAACGACGACCACCGACAATGAGACGTGCACCATCCGCAACAGCCGACTTAACCAGAGCCTCAAGGCGTGAGAATGACGCAGGAGAAATCATAGCTCCCATGTCGACATTCTCAGTAGGTGCAGAGTCAAGGTCAGAGCCTAAGCGGATCTTGCGTATGCGTGTTTCCAGGAGAGTAATCAGTTTGTCGTAGACAGCGTTACCGGCAATAATACGCTCAATACCAACACAGTTCTGTCCAGACGATTGGAAAACACCACGCATGAGGATTTCAATGATTCGTGGGATATCAGGCGCAGCGGAATCAAGAACGATAGCAGCATCCTTGCCACCAAGCTCGACGACCACGGGAATCAGTGCCTTTGCGGCGCTAGCAGCAACGTGGTGCGCGACTGGGCGACTTCCAATGAAGGTAATATGCGCGATGTCTGGGTGGCAGGTGAGATGGTTGGCAACTTGTGGCCAGCAAACGACGGTCTGGACCAAATTCGGGTCGTGTCCACAGACAGACAATGCGCCTCGTGCAATGACAGTAAAGTAATTGGCGCTCCATGCGGTGTTCTCCGATGACTTGACGACAATTCCATTACCCGCGAAAATGGCAGAGATGATTGGCCCCATCAGGTTGTGGAAGGGATAGTTCCATGACACCAAAGCGGCAACGACTCCGAGGGGCTCGTAGTATACTTTGTTTTCCTTGTACATCATGAGGAGGTTCGTAGGACGTCTCTCCGGTGTCAAGGCCTTCTCGCCGTGTAAAATGGTCCAACGGAGCTTCTCGACCGTAGTCAGCGTCTCTCCAAGGGTTGCATCGATCATAGTCTTTCCAGAGTCGAGGCACGCAATTCGCAATATCTCCTCTTGGTTCTTCAGGATAAATGCCAGCAGTGTGCGGAGCACCTGTCGGCGCTGAGAGAATGTCGTCCGCGCCCATTTCTCCTGCGCAACCTGGGCTTGCTGGATGGATCTGTCGATACCAGCGGCCGTCGAAGGGTTGACGAGGCCTAGAAACTCGCCTGTCGCTGGAGCATAACAGTGTATGGCTGAAGAGCCTGAAAGCTTGATCGAGGGCTCGTCCCAGTTCGGGGGTGGGTTGGTCGATTTTTGCGGAGGCGACACTGTGTATGGAATAACAGGTTCGGAGGTATACCACTTCGTGAATTTGATGGCACCGAAAAGGCATAGCATCGTGAAGCATAGTCCAGTTGCCGCGGCTTGAAGCAACTTTGTTTCTCTAAAAATAGCAAATGTATTAGCATCCGCAGAGTATAGAGATAGTTTGATCCCCGAAACTAAAATACTCACAATTCATTCTCCCACAGCGACCCATCAATCATACGTTCAATAACGTCTCGAACCCCCGCATTGCTCACGAGTGAAGCCATATTTGCGTTGCGCGCCTCTCCTGGTATGTCGATTAAGAGATCGCTATGGCCTTGACATATTGGGGTTGAGGAGGGACGAGAGTAAAAGGCAATTGGAACTTGATAGTTGTTCCAGACCAATCTGAGAATCCCTCATGCAACTGGCAGGGTCGGTTGGGCCTTTCTGGGTAAATAAAAAGGGATGGGCGGGTAAATATTTTCTCCGCTCCGGGTAGCCTTCAGGCTGGGGATATCAAGTAAGTCGCGATGGGCGATACGAATCTAGAATTTGGCGCATGAGATAGCGTCATATTCGAAGGAAAATCCTTGGGTAGACTCTCCTCTAACTGGAAGTCAATGATAATTGCATATTTTTGCCTCGGTTGTTTTGGTTGTCCTATTACTATTTTGCTACCAACATCAATAAAACACAGACAGCTCACAAATACATATCACCTCTGTGTTTGGCATAAAAAGCTGTATTAACTTATGCCAACTCTATAGAGACAACCGTACCCTCGATGGATTGAGGAGGCGATAATGCAGCGCAGTTATAATAATGTATGAAGAACCGAGCCAACTCCAAACCCCACCAGCACCTGATAACAAAGAGCTATTTATATATGCCCAGGCCAGTATCCGCCGACTTCGTTATCTGTAAAGCAATACTTCGTATATATATGCCCAGGACGAGCCAAAGTAGCCATAACGTATAGTAGGATGTGAACCATCACTTTTCTCCTTCCACCTCGGGAGTTGTCTCGGCCTCATTCCATGGATAACCACCAAATATCGCCTCGTCAAGCTCGCTCAACTCAGAATCAATATCCTCCTCACTTCCGTTCTCCTTTTTCTTCATCTTACCCACCGGTTTGAGAATCTTCCGCAAGCCAGTCCTCTCAACAAGGTGGTCAATTGGGCAGACCGTTTCCTTCCAAGCTTCGCTCGTCTCCGAAGTCGAGGCTCTGCAGCGGCCGCAAGTTCTACCGTGTCGAATAAAGAGCTGGTGAAGGCTGTATTTGTACTCATTGGGAACGCGAACCTCACAGTGACTAAAAGCCGAGTCTCTAGTGGCCTTTTCGGGGATCCATTTCAGCCATCTGCAGAGCCGGAAGATATGAGTATCGACTGCAAAGCTTGGACGTCGGAGACAGAAAAGTATGACACAGGAGGCTGTCTTAACTCCTATTCCAGGGTACTTAGTGAACTCCTCCATTGCCTCGTCTGGAGTTAGGCCGTGCATGTACTGTAGCGAAAGAATTTCTTTGTCTGCGACCGCGATCTCCATGTCTTTCTGCCCCTGCTTAAAGCTTTCACCACCAACAACATTAGCCTTTTCGCCGCTCTCCTTTTCCTTGAGGAATGCTTCACGACGGGCTATATTTTCGTCATGGACCATGTCGAGAATCTTTTTAATGTCTATGCTCTTCGACTTTCCTAGACCGCCCCGCTTGATTGCAGCCTCGATATCCTTGACGTCGGCTTCGCGGACCTTGTTCCAGTTTACACTGCCTTTTCCGATTCCCACCTTGAGGATTCCAAACTTGGAAACTAGACCTGCAAAAGCATATCCTGAGTTTGTGCTAGTCGTTGCTGCACTAAGGCGAGTCCGGATGAGTGCATCGAGGACAGACGGAACTTCTCCACAACCGGTCACCTCTAGAGAGGGAGGCGGGATTGCCTTTGGCTGTTCAACAACACCGTGTACCTCAGAAAGAAGATTTTTCACCTCCAGGCATGCTTCGAGCGTGGGCATTAGGAAATCTGGATACGGAGTTACTCCAGGGGTAAGTCCATATTTATTCTTCTTGGGCTTCCTGGGCTTCGTGGCCTTTTTAAGAATTTCATTTCCATCAATGAGTTTTTCCACCTGGTCTTGTACAGCTTGGGATATGTCAACTTTCTTAGCTACTCTGCAGGCCCGAGCCTTTTTGGGTTTCTGGTCTTCGACATCGGCGTCGTTGGCATCGTCAGATTCCAGTAGTTTGGCTCTCTTGGCTGAAGTTCCCGTCTTTGTGGCCGCAGCCTTTCTTTTGCGTTTTGGAGCGGCTTTCTTGTCCTCAATCTCTTCCGATTTGAACCCGTTGGTCAACTCATTTTGCTCAATGACAGCAGTGTTGGTCTCGGCCAAGACCTTAGTGCCTTTGGCCTTTTTCTTCGGAGCTCGTCGCCTGCTGACTTTCGGTTTGGTCTGAGTATCCTCTTGACTTGTGTTTTCCAGGGATTCTTCCTGTTTTACTTCAAGGTCTGGAGTTGCAATTTTCTCATCTTTGACAGCAACTGCACCATCGACCTTCTTCTTTGCCCGAGAAGTGTGTGCCTTCTTGCGAGTCACAGAATCAGGCGGGGTAATTGGCAGCGAGGGACTTTCTGTTGCGTTGTCGGCAGCAGCGGCAGTGCCCAGGTTGTGGGGAAGCTCATCCCATCCTCCCTTGACAATTTCGCCATTGACAGTTGCGCCATTGACATCATCGACCTTTCGCTTCCTGGGGTTTCTCTTGGCCGGAGTTTTCAAAATGATGCCATTAACCCCATCGGCTTTGTCTTGTGTCCCTTTGTGCGCTTGGACGTTGGTTGACAATACATTGTTCTCGCTTCCGGGCAACAATGGCTCCACCACCAGTTCGTTGTCCAACTTCGAGTTGAATATCACTTTGAATTTTGTGGCAACCTGAGTTGACACTGAACTGGTCTTCTTGGTAGCACGTTTTGGCTTCTTCGCCACTGCGGAGACAATTGACTGCTCGACCAAGACAGGCTTTTCGTCAATGGCCTGACCAAGGAACTCAGCCTCGTGCTTGGCAGCAGCACGGGTTACCATGGTGCCGTTCACTGGTAAAAAAGAGTAGGACCAGTCAAGCTCATGATGTTATAATGAATAGACGGTATTAGATGATCAGGCACGAGCCTTCCTGCAGACACAAATTCAGAGAATGAGGCCTGGTAACGATATGAAACAGGGCCTTTCCGACCGGTGAGTATGAAATACAATGAATCTGAAGATGGGATGTAGTGAACCAACAAGGGAAAACAGAATGACTCCCACAAACTGTGAACGGTATATATATATAGTTGTTCAGAGTGGTGAAAAAACTCCTGATCTCACGAGTGAATACTCCGTATGGTGCAGAAGTGACAGATACTCTTGGAGAATGACGCAGTATGAGGTTATACCCCAATCAATTGGGACTTGGGGGGGCTGCGAAACTTTCCATTCATTGGGAGGCTTCGTTGCATTGAGTGTGTATGTGGTTGAGAGGGACAACTCGCAGTTGTGAGTAGATGTAGGATGGTGAATTGGTGGTGGTTAGCCAGATAAAGTTTAGCGCCAAAAGTTACCAACATCATGGCAACCCTTGGGTTAAGTGAATATTCAAGTCAATAGCTCAGGCAACTGGACTCATTGTTACAATGTGTAATTCATATCGAATTGTATAGAGGCGTCTACAAGATATGGCTATAGCGGCATCTTCACTCGAATAGAGAGACCGAGTCTATGAGTCCAACCATAAACGCCTTCTCTCCACCATCTATCATCAAAACAGAACCAGTCCAAATGCTCCATACCCAAAATTGCGTCGTTTATTCGTAACCAGATCTAGGCTCATTGGCGAAATTATGTAGACTGAAAAATGGTTAGTATTAGGTTTTACAAAAGTAGGTGGGAGATTCATACCTGATATCAACACGATCCCTCACAAGTGTGGCAGTACCACCAGTAGCATCTTCTCTCTCCTTCTTACGGCGAGCATGGCCAGCCTCCTCATAATCATGTACGGCACCATTGCTGTTATCAGGCGCATCCGGGATAACTTCACTCTTTGATGTGACAGCGATTCCTTGGGTGATCACATTGATGTCCTCCTCATCAGCGACACCGTTCAAGACATTGTCCTTTGCAGTCTCAAGCACCTTCATCTTGCGGCTCTCACCGCGAAGCTTCTCAAGGTGCTCAAAGTAGCCATCCGTAACCGGGGTTGCGTATTTACCGCAGAAGACACCGACCTCGAACTCTTGAGTGGCAGGATCACGCGGGGATAACTCTGCACACGAAGCCGTGAGATCGTCAAGTGTCTGGAAGATGACCTCCTCAGCACCGATGTGCTTGGCAATGGCGTGCCTGTCGCGGTTGTGGGCGATAAGCTCCAATGGAGAAGCCAGGTCGATACCGTAGATATGAGCATGGGTGATGGGAGGCGAACAACTTGCGAAGATGACTTTGTGCGCACCGGCTTCCCTTGCCATGCTGACAATCTCCCGAGACGTGGTGCCGCGGACTATACTGTCATCGACGAGCAGGACGGTGCGTCCACGGAACTCGGACTCCATAGCGCTGAGTTTCCTCCGAACGCTCTTCTGGCGGTTGCCCTGGCCAGGCATGATGAAGGTGCGGAACACGTATCTGTTCTTGACAAAGCCTTGGGAATACGGCAACTTGAGCTTCTCAGCAAGTGCAGCCGCAGCAGTATTCGAAGTTTCCGGAATTGGAATAACAACATCGATATCTTTGATAGCTTCCGCACCGAGTGTCTTGACGATGGTATCAGCAAGCTTGTAACCCATATTGACCCGACTCCTTTGAACGCTAATACCATCGATAATAGTATCTGGGCGAGCAAAGTAGACAAACTCAAAGATGTCAGGGGAATAAGCCAGTTGTGGTACTACCTGGCGGAACACTGGCTCGGCACCCTTCCTCAGGATAACGGCCTGGCCGGGAAGAATGTCAACGATGTTGGTGAACCCCAACTGGCGAAGAGCGACAGACTCGGATGCCATCATGTAATCGGTTGCTCCCTTGAGAGTACCAGAAGACCTGGATCCAAGGACAAGCGGGCGAATGCCGTAAGGATCACGGAACCCGAGGATTCCAAAGCCAGCCAACATGGCAGTACAGGCCCATCCTCCGACGCACCTCTTGTACATCCTCGTCAACGCCGAGAAAATATCTTCCTCGTTGACACGAGCCTTTCCAGTCTCGTTGAGCTCGTTGGCAAAGATGTTAAGCATCAACTCGCTGTCACTCTCGGTGTTGATGTGACGGTGAGCATCAATATCCAAGAACTTTCGGAGCTCCTCGGCATTGATGAGGTTTCCGTTGTGCGCGAGCGTAATCCCGTAGGGGCTGTTGACATAGAATGGCTGTGCTTCCGCGCTGGCGCTGCTACCCGCCGTCGGGTATCGTAGATGCCCGAGTCCCATGAAACCGGGGAGGTCTTGGACACGGGAGCCGTCATGGAAGACCTTGGCGGCCATTCCATTTCCCTTGCACTGGTAGATGCGTCCACCAGATGCACAGGTTGCTATACCGCAAGCATCTTGTCCTCTGTGTTGAAGATAGTACAGGGCATCGTGAAGGTCGGCCGCCGCTGTTGTGGAAGACGGATCTTCAATGTCGCCAAGGATCAACCCCAAAATTCCACACATATCGACGGATCAATTGTGCGACTAGGAATCTATCACTCCCGTTAGCAAAACTGCTCAAGCATTGCAAAGTAAAATAGAACAGAGGAGGTGGTATGGAGGTTCAGGAATATTTGGTTTATCAGCAGAATAGCTAAGAAGTCTAACATCTTTTTTTCAAATAAAATCATCATGACGGAAATCGCTCAAACCTGTGCAGAATGCACAACTGACGGCTACGTACCCTCAAAAATAGTACGACCTGAGGTGTCGTACGCAAGATATCCGAGGTCGTGTGCTCCCAGAAGTTGCGAAAGAGCGCAACGAAATTGAGTGTAGTGGGTTGAGTGATGTCGGCACTTCAAAGTGTCGAGCACTAACTTCAATCGAAATTGTAGGTTGAAAAAGGGTATCACGGATTATCCAGAGGGATAACTGCTTCACCCAACTGCAACCTGGTGTTGGTGTAGGGTAAGCACAAGCTCAGTGGAAGCTTGCAGAGGAGCGTTTGAATACATTTTTGGGGGGAGCAAAAGGGAGGGTTTTCCGAGCATTGCCCGAATTTATATGGAGACGAACTTTTTCATAAGCTACGCGCTAAACTCGTTTGCCGCGAAATGTCTGGGGCGGCTATTGGCGGGGTGCTGCCCCGTGCATGCATGTGGTAACTTACATGAAATCCGAGCGCAAAATTTACGCTCGCATGATCCGATTTAACGTTTATATTCATTTATGATCACTCTCATCTATCTACTGCACATGTAGTTGCTATTGCAATTTGTTGTCGATTTGGTTGCCGAGGTTTTGCCTATGTCACGGGGGCGCCGGATATGTCGTGGCTTCCTTTTCGGCTTTGCCTTTTTCTTGGGGTGCGTCACCGCCATGCTCCCAAGCAATTTACGACTTATTGGCACAAACTCTCACCGACTGTTGATATAAACTCTCAAATACTCTGGGCAGAAGATCAAGTCATGCCATCCCAGTGTTCAATTCATGCCAATCAACGCCTTGCTAATTCAGAACGGCTTCCCAACTCCTTATGCTCCAAGGGTATCTCTGCCATCCTCGACGCCTTGACGCCGCTTCCGTTATCATGTACCAGGTTTAAGTATCGTGTATCGGTGTTGATATCGGACTTTTAATTCTCTCTCCATCTGTTATTGCAGGTCATGCACTGTTCCCAGTCCGTTAGCATTTGCACGCCAATATACCCATGTCCCTCAACATACCTTGTAAAAGCTCGTCATAGGCTCATCCGCACTTCTGATCTGGACCTGGAAGAAAGCGGCTTCGTTGGAATCGCAGCCTTCCCTAGGACACTGTACTTCGGCCTTCTGTGCATCGTCCCACGCGCCTGGTCCACCGAACACATCCTCGCGCTCGGTGCGGGTGAAGGTCTTGCGCTCAAAGTACCGCTTCGTGAGGAGGTACTGGTATGGGCATGTCCTGCACTCGAGTCGGTTTTGGCCTACGGCGGCAGCAGCTGGGTCGTCGTCCGAGTTACCAGCTAAGGGCGGAACTGGCGAGACCGTGAGAACATTGCAGCAGTTGGGGCAAACTGTTGTCGTTAGCAGCCGTTACAAATAGTAGACTTCATGTTACATACATAGCAGCATTGCTCAAGCTGTACGGTATCCAACAGAAGACAGTACACCGAAATAACTGAATGGGTTTGATCTGCTATTTCAATGCGATCGAAGTCGGCGTGGATGGGTGACCCAAAGTCTCTAGAAATTATTCCCCGCTTCCGAAAGGTTAATCCGAGCCGACTGGGCTCGCGGATGTGTTGGGCGAAGCATATTAAGGCTACCCCTGCGATAAACACTTCTATCTCCCCTCTATTTGCCCTGAGAAATAATTAGGCATACAGCAATACTCGACGCCTATACACACCAACACCAGTTACATCTCGACTGCGATAGCCTCTCTTACTTTCTGACGAGACGGATCTGCGGGGTCCTGGTGGTATCCGAAAGTAGCTGACGCCATAACTGGAGGCCGATTAAACGCCCAGATGGCCGATCTCAGAAATGGTCCGGAGCAGGATCAGGAGCATGAGGTAAGAAGATGATGGTTTTATGCTTTCGTGGCCACTCGCAGGCCATGTTTGCACTCGCCAAGTTGTTCCTACTCTGAACGTTGAAGCTGACCAATTTATAGGGTGCGAAGCCGTCGGAGCTTATCATCGAGGCGTGTAGGAGGAACAACACCGAGCTTCTAAGCTCAGTTATCGAGGAGTGCTCATCGCCCGAAGCCGCCGCCAAACTGCTGAACGAATCGAGGAGCGTCTTGGGCAACTATGCATACCACGAGGCTGCTGCGAATGGGCATTGTAAGCACGACCCTATGATACCTTCAAGAGGCTACTATTGGAGATTACATAAAGCTATAGATTTACTAATTCTACTTCAGACGAGATAATCGATATGCTCCTCGACCAAGAAGGATTCGAATGCGACCCCATCAACAAGAGGGAGGGCGACACCCCACTTCACTATGCCGTGCGCTGGGTGAATGAGCAATCCGCGGAGAACCACGAGTATGGAATAAGTCTGATTGATATGATGCTGGAAGCTGGAAGTGATCCCAAGTCAGTTATACCCATGGAGGTAGCAGTACAATATTGTGACCCAAGCTGACCAAAGCTCGAACTGCAGGATCCGCAACAAAGCAAAGCTAAAGGCAGCCGATCTCGTCAATCCCGCAAACACCGAACTGCGAGACTTATTACAGAAGGCCGAATATGTGCTCCAGAACCAGGGCGACTTCATCGATGCTGAGGAGGAGGAAGACGAGGGACCAACAGGGAGCAACTCTGACAGCGATTTCGACGAAGAACCAACCAGTGGCAAGAAGAGGTAACAAGGCGCATTCGCTTGAAGGGCTGTGTCTACCGCACGACCGGGTAATTAAAAGCCGTGGGAATTTACTAGACCTGTCTGTGGCTGCTCACTGCGGAGTAAGCCCTTGGGGCGCACAGATGGAGTAACGGAGGGGAACAGACTTAGATGGTGGAGGGGTAAGCTTTGGTTCGACTGTGGCACTTGAACACGCACTTTGTACACATGGTACAGTAACGAACGGCCAGTACTCGGTGGTATTTGCACAAAAACATACAAAAAACATTACAAGAACAAGAACCATACTCGATGCATTTGACAGCAGGCATTTGGTGCGTCATACTGAAGTCAAGGCTTATCACTGGCTTATCACTGACTTATCACTGGCGTTTCTTATCAGGTGTCAGGTGTCAAGGGAGGGGCAAGGCTGACGAGGCTACCAGTTTTACTTACTCACTTATAGAAAGATCTCGTTATCAGACTTTGATGCGACGCTGAATGTAAATGTTTCTTGAGTTTATGGAGTTTTTGCTGAATAAATCAATATTTGATAGTTTCCCCCCCCTCGCATCCACCAAGTGGTACCCTTCTCAGACATCCGACACTCCTAGTTTCAAGTGATTAAACCTCCCATCCATCGTTGGCCTCATCCCTTACCTCCGCTCATATCCGCACATGACATATCCCCAATAAGCTTCGACTATGTCTACTATCATCTGAAGAGATCTTCCATCCCAAGTCCACAGAATCACAGCCAATGTCTCATATCCATCTCTCCCGCCACATCTCGCCACATCTCACCACATCTCATTGCCGTCCTTGCCTTCCCGCCACCCCGCCACCCCCCCTAACACCACCCAAACCAAGTTTATCCCTGAAACATCTACACCCTATTGTTTCCCAGCCTCGTCCCGTTGACCCCACGACCCTGCATATACGTCACCATCGCATCGACCACCTTGTGCCATGCCAATGGAAGGCGATGATGTCGGGCGGTCGTGGAGCAGGATTGTGGCCTCCACTCATGACGGCGTCGATCTTATATAGATAGATTTGTCTGTCTACTCCCTTACATACTTCATGTTTGCTGTTATTGTCCTCGCTGGTTTTGACAGATACTGTGGCTTCCATGGATTTGTTATAAGGGTGTAGCTAACGCCTACGTTATATTATCACTGTCACCCGCGCGTTCGCTGTTCCGCTACAGCTCTATAATATTTGTCCTGGGACGGACGTCACCAATTGAACGGCCACAGCTTTCTAGGACCCCCTAGAAGCATACTGGCCTAATGAGCGCCCACGGGCAGCCATCTTCGTCCCAGAAGAATCACTCGATTCCAGCTTCCCGTCGCGCTCTCTCCTCCTTCCTATTACTCGCCGCCGCCACAGGCCTCGAAGCTGGAGGGCATAACGCTACCGCAGATGCTGGTATCCCCATCAAAATCACCAATTCATGTCCCGCCACTATCTGGCCTGCCCTTGCGACTCAAGAAGGCCGTGGCCCGTTGACCCACGGCTTCGAGCTCGCGCCTAAGGCGTCAAAAGAGCTATCGGTGTCTCAAGACTGGCAGGGCCGCGTGTGGGCGCGAACGAATTGCAGTTTCAATGCTGATGGGGGCAGAAATGCATGCGACACGGGCGACTGCGCCGGCGTGTTAGACTGTGTTGTTACCGTATATCCCCCTCCCTCCCTCTCAAAATAAAATCCGAATCTAACACCACACCAGGGCAACCCCCCCGCAACCCTCTTCGAAATCGCCCTCCAATCCGGCGCAAACAAAACCAACTCCTTCTACGACATCTCCCTGGTAGACGGCTACAACCTCCCCCTCTCCCTCCCCCTCCCCATCCCACCAAACCTCACAAACCCCTCCTGCATCGCCACACCACCCTACTCCGCCTCCCCTTCCACGAACGCAAACGCAACATACCCGACACCACGCATCCCCGCCCAGGATCTCACACGCTGGTGTCCATTCCCTCTCCTCCTCCAACCTCCAGCCAAGCCAGGGGACGGCGCATTCCCCCTCCCAGACGACCACATTTCCCGCCCCCCCTTCTCCCCCTGTCTCTCCCCCTGCGCCGCCACCGGCTCCGAAAGCGACTGCTGCACCGCCTCCCACTCCACAGCCTCCACCTGTTCGCCCGGACTGGACTCCCACAACGCCAAGAGAGTCTGTCCAGATGCGTATAGCTTCGCTTACGATGACGGGGAATCGACGTTTAGTATACCTAGCGGTGGGGGGTGGGAAGTCACGTTTTGTCCGGGGGGGGGAGCTCGAATATCTTGGATGTGTTTGGGGAGGAGCTGGGGGTGGTGGCGGGAGGGGAGGTCACAGATGAGGTGTGGAGGGTGGCGAGGGAGGGGAAGGTGGGGGGGGTTGAGGGGGTTGCGGCTGCGGTTGGGGGGAGGGGAGGGAGGGAGGGGAGTTTGGGGGCGTTGGTTGTGGTTGTTTGTGTTTGGGTGTTGTTTTGGTGAGGGGGTGGTTGTTGGGCTGTGTCTGTTGTGGTGGCTGTGGGACGCGCCCAGAACGAAGCAGACACAGCCGCGCAGTCTGTTGTGATGGCTGTGGCAATGGATGAGTGGCTGGGTTGGGTTGGATTGTATTTTTGGCGCTCTACTGGGGAAAGGGGGGACGGCGCCGTATATACCCATTTTTTAGAATCTGCCCACCGAGGCCCGTCAATACAAAATTTATGACTATTCACATGTGCTCGTGCGCCACGAAGGCAGGAGTTCGAACAAGCTACACACCCATCACAAACAGCTCATGGGGGCGCACAAGACTCAGCCCGAGAGGGTAGGCGCGATGTCACCGCCGACTATTCTCCCCTCGCCCACCTCTCACCACCGCCTCCTTCCTACTTCTCTTCCCGCCGCCTCCGTCCCTGCCATTACCCCCTCCGCCAACATCCCACCGACATGTCGCCCCCCGGGTAGCACTACCCCCACGACCAGGTAACCGCCGCCCCGACCACCACGGCCCTACACCAGCAGCTATAGAATGAGAATACACGTTGAGACCCAACTAATCACAGAGCTGTAAACGGCGTGACGTTTAAATATGACATATCCCGTAGTTTCGCCGTCTGTGGGGATCATGATCACCTCGCGCTCCTCGTTCTTATGCGTACTACACACCACTCAAAACTCCATTATACACATTCACCACATACTTTGACACACTCGTTCATATATACGTTATGTTTAAAGACAACCTTTCCATTTAACTGTCATATTTTTTAAGAGAAATCGTAAAAACGCCCAGCCGATGTATCTCCAATCTCCAAACCCCCTTCTCCTTCGCTCAAACCAAACCAAGCCAAACCGCCCCCTTATCCCCAAGCCCATCAAAAATAAAAGCAAAAAAGCCAGATAGAAAAAATCCCCGCTTCTCGCTCGCTCGTTGGGCAAATGTAAAATTTCTCTAACTACCTCTTTCATCCACATCTCCGTCTCCATCTGTCCAGCTCATTGCTTCGATCCCAACTGGAACGTATGGTCGTGAATCCGCAATCCTCTTTTCCATTTATACCCCCCTCAGAATCAAAATCAATAGATTGACTCCCTATTTTTCTCAACTACCTCCCCGAGCTGGTATTTCTTCCCATCTTCCCCTTTTCCACCCCCGCTTCACCACGACACAACCACAACCAAACCACAACCACAACCACAACCACCACAGCACTGAAGCACTCAACCACTTAACGGAACCTCGACGTACACCTCCCCATCACCTCACCCTGACAAACCAGCTCAGCATTGAATTCCGAGCCATCGAGCGTGAGGTAGATGTCAAAGTACACGCGGTAGAAGGTTCCCTGGGGGGTATCCATGCGCTCAAAGTCCTTCTCCAGGTTCTTGCGCGAGAGGTCGGATGTGAGTGTTACGACTTCCTTGACTCCTATTCGCTTGTTAGTCATGTCCTTGCATATTTGCTTCTCGGGGTGAGGTGGGGTGGTGGGGAAAGAATAACATACTGGGATCCTTCGTATACTCCGGACAAATCTCATCATCACAGGCATACAAAATATCCTCATACATCAGCGTCGCCCCCGGCGCCACCTGCCTAAAGAACGACACCTTCACCGGCTCCCCAATCTTTACCCTCTGCCCCTTCTGCACAAAGATCTGCCTTGTGAACTTACACCTATCCTTCCCATCCAAACTGGGCACCCTATACGCCTCCGGATGGTGCCCCTCCTTAAACGGCTGCAGCGTAGCCATGAGGTAGTGACGGCGCGCTACACGGGATGTGACGACGCGCTCCGAGATACCGGCTGTGACGGCACCCTTGACGATGGCGGCGACGGAGTCCATGGGTCTGACGACCTTAGCCTGGAACTGCGGGGGGACGTGGAGTTTGATCTGCTGGAACAGGTATTCGCTGGCTCCAAACCCTCCCACCACAAGGACATTCTGCAGAGTGCGATTCTGCGCCTGGATCGCAATAATCTGGTTCCTCACCAACTCCAAGATGCGGTTAACAACCGGCTCGAAACACTGCAAGATCTCCTCGTTGGTAAAAGTCATGTACCCCTCCTCAATCCCCGCATCGGGGAACTCAGCCTCGATCCCAACATCAACAGCCCACTTCTGGTTATTATTCCTGAAATCCGCCTTGATGCGATTCTCAAAGTCCATGATGCACTTTGCGTACACGCGCCCGGCGGTGCGGGATCCCTCGGGGAGTTTCATCTTGCGGATCTTGGTGCGAAGGATGTTGCTGAAGTTACGGTTGAGGGCCGTGGAGCCGCAGCTGTCGCCGGAGCCGGCGGTGCACTCGGCGACTGTGAAGGGGGACTCCTCTTCGACTTCGTAGGCGATCAGATCGACGGTTCCACCACCACAGTCGACGATCAGGATCGCGTCGTGCACCTTGAGGTTTAGTAGTCCGGCTTTGGCGCAGAACATCGCGGCGGCTTCGGGCTCGGTGATCAGGGTGAGGCGGTTATCGTTCTCATCGCGCAGGAACCCGGCCTGGATGGCGGCGGCGCGCGTGGCGGCCTTTCCGGCGTCGTTCCAGATGGCGGGGACGGTGAGGAAGTACTTGATGTTTCGCTCCTCGCGGTTGAAGACCTCGCCGAGGGACTTCTGCAGCTGGTTGCGCATGGCCTGGCGCAGCTTGAAGAGGTAGTCGGCGGCGACGTCGATCTCGGACTTCCCGGGGGGAAGCGGGGGGAGGTTGATCGGGTCGATGTAGGTGTTTCCGGAGAGCATCAGTTGCAGCTTGAACCACTCGACCTTTTGGACGCCGGGCTTGGGGTAGCCGGTTGGCGCCAACGCGTCGGCGATGTCGGGGCCCCAGCCGACGACCTTTTGGTACTGGTCATAGTAGAGGACGGTGGGGATCTGTAGATGTTAGTTGATATTCCCGCGACCTGTTGGATCATCCCGCTCTGGTCACCTTCTGCTTCGTGTATATACCCGCACCAGGCCACTCCGTAATAATATCCTCCTTCGGCTCGGCATTATCATTCGAGATGAAGGCAAAAGCCACGCCGGAGAAAGTAGTACCCTTGAAGTCTTATTAGCTTCTGCCGTGCTCGTCTCGGGAAGGCCCGTCCCGGGGTGTCAAAGATGGAGAACTCACAAAATCAATACCAACAATCAGCTGCGATTTGCTTCTCCCCGCACCTTCCACCTCCACTGCGTTATTCCTCGTATACGGCGCAGGCACCATACCACCCTGCGGGGCATAAGGCTGCTGTCCACCATACCCCGGCGGACCGCCAGGGAGCTGCGACGGAGCCCCCATATGCTGCTGTTGCTGCTGGGGATAACCCCCTGGAGCGGTATTGATAGGTGGCAGACCACCAAGGACCTGCGACGGCGGCGTGCACGGGTTCCCTGGGACCATGTTCGGGCTTCCTGCTCTGCCCTGCGCGACGCCAGGCGGATAACCCGTGTAGCTCGGTGGGCGAGGACCGGCGCCTGGGTGCTGGTTCATGACGAGGCTGCTCGAGGAGCTTGATTGGGAGAGGGGGCCGGGGCGGACGGGCTGGCCGGCGAGTTGGGGGTTATGTGGCAGTTGCTGTTGGGGTGGGAGGGGCTGCTGCTGCTGTTGCGGCGGTTGTCGTTGCTGCTGGAGCGGCGACGGCTGGGTTGGTGGTGGGATGCCTGGACCTGCGGGCGATTTGCGCTTTGATCCGAAGCCGAATCCTTTGAAGCGCGAGCTGGTAGAACTCATTAAGAAGGAAAGGGCGCGAGGAGGGAGGAGAAGGAGGTTGGGGGGGGGGGGAGAGGAGAGGATGTAGAGGAACAAAAGAAGAGCGAGTGTGGGTAGTGGTAGGAGTGTTCAAAGGCGGGAGTCGGGCGGGAGGGGGAGAAGAGGTCAGCTTTGTGTCAGATGTTGACAGCCGCAGGACCAATTCAGGGTGGTGGGTTTAGGGTGGGATAGGTGTGGGTATGAGTGGAGGAGGGGGATGGGGTTGTTGTTGTTGAATTGAAAGGTTGAAGAGGGGGATGGGGGTTGTCGTTGAAAAGTTGAAGAGGGATGGGGGTTGTCGTTGGAGGGGGGGGGGATGGATAATGGGAATTACTGTTATTGAAGGAGAAGGAGTGCGGCTGTGGGCTGAGCTGGACTTGGGCTGGGATGAGATGATGGGATTCGAGGATTCGAGGATGAGGATGAGGATGAAGATGAGGATGAGGATGGGCTGTGGTAGTGGGTGGTTGTTGTTGGTGGAGGGAGAAGGATTTGGGGAGTGGGATGTGATGGGTAGAGGTACAGTTCGACTAAGAATACATTATAGATACATATTGGGGGTTCTGTATTTGTGTGTGTATGCAAGTACCTCTAACAGAAATGTACATACGTAGGCGGGATATCTGGGATACCATAGAAAGGGGATGGCAGGGGATGGCAGGGTGCGAACAGGGGGAAGAGGGCGTGGTTAGTGGATGGGTAGTGGATGGGTAGTGGATGGGTAGTGGATGGTAGTGGATGGTAGGGGATGGTAGGGGATGGTAGGGGATGGTAGGGGATGGTAGGGGATGGTAGGGGATGGTAGGGGATGGTAGGGGATGGTAGTGGATGGTAGTGGATGGTAGGGGATGGTAGTGGATGGTTAGTGGATGGTTAGTGGGTAGTGGATGGTTAGTGGATGGTGGATGGTTAGTGGATGGTTAGTGGATGGTTAGTGGTTAGTGGATGGTTAGTGAATGGTTAGTGGATGGCTAGTGGATGGTTAGTGGATGGTGGATGGTTAGTGGATGGTTAGTGGATGGTTAGTGGTTAGTGGATGGTTAGTGAATGGTTAGTGGATGGTGGATGGTTAGTGGATGGTTAGTGGAATGGTTAGTGGATGGTTAGTGAATGGGTAGTGGATGGCTGGTGGATGGTTAGTGTATGGTTAGTGGATGGTTAGTGGGTGGTTAGTGGATGGTTAGTGGGTGGTTAGTGGATGGTTAGTGGATGGTTAGTGGGAGTGGCAGATGGTTAGTGGGAGTGGCAGTGAGTGGATGGCTAGTGGGAGTGGCAGACCAGATTAGTGCGTGGTACGAGCGCTGAGTAGTGGTGGTACTGGCAGATTGGTGGTAGTGGGGGTGGTGGGTGAAGTCACTTGATTAGAAATGGGAGTCACTTCTATTAGGAGGCACTGCACCGTCCTGCATCCGGTGAGGATATGAGGTTAGCCACAGCCACCGCCACAGCCACCGCCACAGCCACGAAATATACATAACGGCCTCGCATCTAAAGCAAATAGACATATATATATATTGTCATCGTCTCCAATTCCAATCAATTCCAATGCCTCCACTTGTCTCCTATTGGAGCGAGTCCTCTTGGCGCTTATAGCCCTCCTCACCGGTCGGACTGTGGCGTCTTGGTGGTTGGGTCGTTGACCTGTCTATCTTCCCTTCTTCCTACCCGAACTGTACAGATCTCCATACTATCAAATGCTTCATGTCAATCTGGCCAGTACTACTCTGTCTCTACCCCCAACTTTCCTCCCATTACACGCCTGTAGCGCCTGTAGCGCCTGTAGCGCCTGTAGCGCCTGCAATCTTACCTCCGGCTCGAATCATTCCCCCCCCCCTCTCCTCTCTCTCCATCTCTATAATTTACACAGCTTCACATACAATTACATCAATCTTGACTCTGCTCTACTATCCTCTTACTCTCCAATCAATCCCTCGTCGTCGCTGTCGTGTGTCTCTTGCTGAAACCCCGTACTACTCGAGTACCCTACTTGCTACTTACTTTATGTCCCAATCCGCCATTCTCGGTCCTACTTTCCTGCCCAACCCGCCAAAAACCAGGCCAAAACCACCCCAAACCAACCAAAACCACCCAAAACCACCCAAAAACCCCCCACAACCCACTAAACATGAGGTCCCCGCCGCGTCCGACCAAGCTACGACCTACGACCTACAAACTACAGTTTCTTTTTCCTCTGTACCCTACGCCGACTTCCGCTGGCTGTACCGCCGAACCGTACAGTCACATACCAGCTCCGTACTGGAAGTACTCTCTCCCCTCACCTCGTCATCGACCCCGCCAAGTGTGGCTTCAACCCCTCCACAATCAATCACTTCTCACAAAAATATAGGTCTCTTCTCGGCCCTATATTGCTCCCCTTCAAATCCAATCGGCCTTGTTCGTCTCATCTCCGTCGCCGGCATCGTCCTAGCCCTAGTAAGATACTAAATGCACATAATCGCTCATGTCATCACCCCAGAACGCTGACTGAGCCATCACCTATAGTTCATCCAGTTCTTCTTCACCGGCCCCTCGAGCTTCCTCCAAACCCCAATAAGCTCGCCGTCTTCTACATTCCGCCCTCCCTCCACGAATCCTGCACCCGCGCAAGCTGTCTGCGAGTGCCCGCACCCCTTCCTCCTCCCAACAACACACATCTCGCAAGTGGGCAGCATGTCTTCTCCTCTTCAGGAAGCCGCGCAGCGCGTGGCCAAGGAGTTCGACTACACCGATGATGAGGTGCTCAAGGCGGGGAAACATTTCATTACCCAGATGCGTATGTAACCCACGTCACACGATGCCAGGGAGCCGGGAATAACGAATTTACAGAGGAGGGCCTGCTGAAGGATGGAACCTCGATGAGCCAGATCCCCACATACGTTACCGGCGTTCCCAACGGCACAGAGAAGGTGAGAACTACTTAAACCCCAACTGGCGCGAACACAGCTAACACACACCCAGGGCGTCTACCTCGCCGTCGACCTCGGCGGAACCAACTTCCGCGTCTGCTCCATCCACCTGCACGGCGACACGACCTTCACCCTCACGCAATCCAAAGTCGCGATCCCGAAAGAACTAATGATCGCCAAGACCGCAAAGGAGCTGTTTGATTTCCTCGCCAAGCAAATCGGGCTCTTCCTCAAAGAGCACCACGAGGAGCACTTCGAATCGCACCTCCGCCGCCGCAATACCGCCGCCTCCTCCCCCGCCGGCTACAGAGACGAAAACATCTTCAAGCTCGGCTTCACCTTCTCCTTCCCCGTCCACCAGATCGGCATTAACCGCGGCACCCTGATTCGCTGGACTAAGGGCTTTGATATCGCCGATGCGGTGGGGAAGGATGTCTGCCAACTCCTCCAGGACGCGATTGACGCCCTCCACCTCCCCGTCCGCGTCTCCGCCCTCGTCAACGACACGGTCGGAACGCTGATGTCGCGCTCGTACACATCCCCCGGCAAAACCCCCACCGTCCTCGGCGCCATCTTCGGAACGGGCACGAACGGCGCGTATGTCGAGAAACTGGCGAATATCAAGAAGGGCCTTGAGGGCGCGTACGACAAGTCCACGGGGCAAATGGTGGTTAACACCGAATGGGGCTCCTTCGATAACGAACTCACCGTCCTCCCCACCACCGTTTACGACAGGGATCTCGACACCGCCTCAGTCAACCCGGGGATCCAAATGTTCGAGAAGCGCGTCTCGGGAATGTTCCTTGGTGAACTCCTCCGTCTCGCTATCCTGGCTCTGCACAAGGATAACCTGATCTTCACCGATGCCGCGGCAATCGAGAGTACGTCGCCGTTGAAGACGCACAGTGGGGTGGATAGCAGCATTCTCTCTGTTGCGGCAGCGGATGAGAGTGACGACCTTGCGGCGCTGAGGAAGGAGATTGCAGTGCAACTCGCTGTTAAGCAGGCGAATGTTGAGGATGCGAAGGCGATTAAGACCATCGCTTACGCCATCGGACGCCGTGCTGCACGTCTCTCTGCCGTGGCTGTGGGTGCTATCGTCGTGCAGAGTGGGCGTCTCGACACTTCCTCTGGTGCGGCTGGCGCAGAGGTCTGGGAAGATGACATTGTAGATGTAGGCGTCGACGGCTCGCTCGTCGAGTTCTACCCCGCTTTCGAAGAGCATATGCGCGCTGCCCTGCGGAAGGTGGACGGCATGGGGAAGAGCGGGGAGAGGAGGGTGAGGATTGGGATTGCGAAGGATGGGAGTGGGGTTGGGGCGGCGTTGATTGCGCTTGTGGCTGAGGGGGTGAAGGAGACGGTTTAAGCGGTGGTTTAGTTGGTGGCTGGCGAGGGAGATGGGGAGTGGGGAGGGGGGAAAGAGGAGGGTGGGTTGATGGTTGATCTACTAACTGTGATGATGGTTAATCTACTAACTGTGATGATGGTTGATCTACTAACTGTGATGATAGTCGATGACAGAGGGGGTGAGGATCGAAGTCCTATGAGGCGTTCTTTCTCTGCACCCCGTTGGGGTGTTTTAGGATTGCTAGGTTGGGTATGGTGGGGTGGGGGAAATATATATATGCATTTTATCTAGCATTATCGGAATTTAAAAGGGTTATTTTATGTATGTGTTTTATCTGTCTATTCTTAGCCGATGTATGGGGTAGAGGGGAGGTTGGCGGCGAAGAACTCACGACTACGCAGACAAGAAGAACAACAAATATTTTATTCTCTTTTACGGCAATATTCTTCCCCACACCTCGCAGTTGGGGGTACCCCTCTCCATATGCACACTCAAACTACATCTCCCATCTACTCTCTATCAAATACATTCACCCCCCCATCATGCAGTAGTACATACAGCACATCCCATATATATCTCCCGTCCCCACTCCCCTCTTCCCTTCCCTTCTCCCCTTCCTTCTCTTCCTCCCCCTTCCCCCATCCTACGACCCAAAAGCAGCAGCAGGATAAACCCTCTTCTTCTTCCCCCCCACCACCGAACTACTCCTCGACGACACAGCCGACGAAGGGGGTCCACTGCCATCTACCCCGCTCCCGTTCCCTCCACCCTGCCTGGGAGGGACGGGTAGAAGGATGTCAGTGGGGAGGTCGTTCCATTCCATCCCCGGCCCCATCGTTTGGTATGAGTTCCCCGTCTTTGGCGGGGGCCGTCTATTTTCCTTGTTCCCATTCCCCTGCGGCGGCGGCGGCGGTGCTCTATTTCCCAAAACCACTCCCCCATTTGTCGCAGCCGAAGCCCCAGCGCCGCTAGATCCATACTCCAAATAATCCCTAGCCCCCAACCTCCTCCGCAGAACCCACGCCGTATCCGGACTTAACCTCCTATAATACCCCCCCACGGCCCCTCCCTCAACCTCAAACCCCCGCGCCTTATACCACTCCAACCCCTCTGTATTCTCCGTCCACACATGCGCATACAAACTCGTTATAGGCGGTGAGAGGGGAGCCGACACGATGGAGGTTATGATGGAGGAGAGGGCTGCGGACGCGAGCCCAAGGTGTCGGTAAGGCGAGAGGAGGGCGAGGGATTGTATATAAATCTGCTGCTCCGACCCCTCCTCCCTCCCCCCTGTCGCTGGTGATGGTTCGAGACGACACACCACACCCCCCACCAATGTCGGGGGAGTTGCTGATGGTGTGGTTTGGGAGGGTGAGGTGGACCAGAGGATAGCGCGGGAGAAAGAGGGGGTGGGGGAGGGGGCGAGGATCCGGGTGTAGAAGGAGTCGGGGTAGGTGATGCAGAGGAGGAGGGCGTTGATGCGTTTCAGGGCTGGGATGTGGGAGGGGAGGATGGGGGAGATGGTGGCTTGGGGGTGGATTGGCTTTGTGGTTGCGGTTGTGGCGGTGGTTGGCGCGGGGGGTTGTTGTGCTGTTGTTGAGGCGGGTGGTGGTGGTGGTGGGGTCGACGTGGCGGATTGGGGGAGGGGGGATGGTGGCGGCGCTGTGACGGATGTGGTGGGGAGGCCCTTGGGGGGGTTGATGGAGGGGGGAAGGGCGTAGGAGGGTGATTTTGGTTTGAAGAATGAGCGGATTGAGGATTGTGTGGGGGGAGGGAGGGTTTTGTTGTCCATGGTGGGCGGTGGGATGTGTCCGCGCTCACCCGCCGCTTGAGGATTTGTTGGCGTGAGGTTCGTGAAAACAGGGGGAGAAGGGGTTGATGGTTGAAAATGGCGAGTCGAGGTAGATATCGTAAAGGACAGGTCTGAGTTGGAAGGAATTTGTCTTTGAGAGAGACGTTGTTTATTCGGAAATGTTCCTTCGGGCCAAACCCAACTACATGTGATAAGCAAGGCGGTGAGCCGTTTCCGGCGCTGATCTCAACTTACTGCCGACCCAAGCTTGGGCCAGGGCTGCGGGTTTCACTTCGCTATCGCCGATGAATTCTTGGACCATTACGGTTTACCAGCTCTGACTTTTGGAGGCTGTGAAACTGGACAACCAACATAACGATTCCTTGCTTTTGTGAGTTTAACTATTTGCATAATTTGTTTGAGGAGGTGGAGGTGCTAATTCTGGGCGGGTTTGCAGATTCAATTTATATAAATTTCTGCAAGGGCTGCCGGAGGGTCACGGCAGAGCACCGAGAACACACCATGGCTTCATATACCAGCGATACCGAAGAACAAGCTCGATTAATTGTCTCTCCAGAGGGCGAGGCGGTAGACAGTCTAGATGCATACGTAAGTCCTCTCGCCCCCCTCAATTCAGAAGTTTAGGCTCACAGGCATCCACACAGACATACCCAATCCTCGACGACGAACTATACAACATAATCCACGACATAGTCCTCAAAGTGCACCGCGACGAACGAATAGCCAAAGCAAACACAGCCGCTATACTAATAGAGCAAGAAGCCGCCCAAGCCTTTCCCGATCAGCCAACCACGCCCTCGAAATCCTCAAAACAAAAGCACTCCCCCCCCAAACGACTTGAGAACGATGCTGCTATATACGAAGACGGGTTGGTCACAATCAAGGGCAATCCGCTAGCCACCGTCCACGAGATCCGCTGCCCCAAATGCGGACTTCCTAAACTACTACACCCGACTGATGGGAATGGTGGCCGCAAGCCGGAGCCGGGCGTGGAATACTGTAAGAGGCATCCGTATATTGATAAGCAGGGCCATGATATCTATGGGCTCCCATTTCCCAAGGACGACAGTACGGCGAATCGCAAGTCGAAGTCGAAGAATCTCTTGGCTAGTAGCGGGAGTCAGCTTGACGGACCGGACTCGTCATTCGACTCCGCGGACCCGTCGCCACCCCCGGCGGTGGCCGAACCTGTTACGTTCCCTACTACGCTGTGTCCGAGGTGTCCGAGGTATATTAATATCAAGGTGTTTGCGAGACATCTGAACCTACATAACAAAGGTGGCGGGCGAGCAAGCGGGCGCGCAGCAATCATGAAGATCAATGGCCAATCCGGTGTGACGCCTCCCACGAGCAGGAGGTCGACTCCAAACATCAAACTGAGTCCGCAGAAGCGCTCACTCGAGGACCTGGAGGGTGTGAACTACAACGACGACGGCGATGAGGATGAAGGCGAGAGTCCGAGGAAGAAGGCGAGGATACCGACGCTGAAGGTTAATCCGAAGAAGAAATTGGGGATTGGGGGGGGGTGGTGAAGAAGTGGAAGTCGGGGAAGATTACGGTGGATGGGAAGACGGTGGATCAGATGCCGGGGTTGGGGACTGGGGGGGGGGAAGAAGGGGAAGGCGGTGCGGAGGGTGGGGTCGGATAGTTCACATACTTTGGAAAGTCCGTGATGGGGAGATGGGGGAATGGGGGTTGGAGGGCTTCGATGTAGTGGCTAATAAAACGTAATTCCCACTGCTGTGTCTGTTCGCTTTGTATTAGTTCTGTGATATCCTTGTATGACACGAGTAATGGCTCTCACTGATATGGCTTGAACTTAACGTATAGTTGTGCCAGCCAAAGCCACCGCTATATGTATATCATCTTATTCTTGAAAGATCTATATCTAACTCCCAATGTCAAATCATTGTCCGAACGCCACCCATTTTTAAAAGCCACCACTACTTCTAAACCCCCCACCAACATCCCAACTCACTCCTCCTCCCCCCCACCCTCCTCAAGCACATACGCCCTCACCACCCTCACCTCCTCCACCGGCCTATCCTCCCCCCCGTCTTCACCAACCCCATCCTCTTGAGGACCCCCAACCCCCTCGTCACCCTCCCAAAAATCGTATGCTTCCCATCCAACCAGGGCGTCGGCGCCAGCGTAATAAAGAACTGGCTCCCGTTCGTATCCTTCCCCGAATTCGCCATGCTGAGGATGCCAGCGCCGGTGTGTTTGAGCTCGGGGGAGATCTCGTCCGCGAACTTCTCGCCGTAGATGGAGGAGCCGCCCCGGCCCGTGCCGGTGGGGTCGCCGGTTTGGATCATGAAGTTGGGGATGATGCGGTGGATGAGCAGGTTGTTGTAGTACCCGCGTTGGGCGAGGGTGGAGAAGTTTTGGCATGTCTGTTATGGGGGGGAGAGGTTGGCTACATGAAGTGGGGAACGGGGGAAGGCGGGGGGCAGGCGTACTTTGGGGGCGTGGTCGGCGTAGAGCTCGACTACGATTGTGCCCTGGAGAGTATGTTAGCTATTGTGACAGGATGGCTGCGAGGTGGGGGGTGGGGGGTGGAGAGTACCATGGTGGTTTCAAGAGCTACGTTGGTAGCCATGATGCCGTTATGTTCTATCGCGGTCTTGATGAAGAGGCAATGCGTCAATTATATATCCGCTCTAATTGCAATTCCGTAACCCGTAACACTGCTGAGATATTCCGTTTTATCGATGCAACTGTCGTTGTTCGCGATCAGGCTGCGCATGAATTTGGTTCCGCCACAAGGCTGACAGAACTTCTAAGCTGCGCCAGTCTCTATGATTCTATGATGCGTCGACAGCCTCGTCCCCTTTGACTCCATCTGTCCTCCAACACCACCACCACCACCTCTACCCCTCGCTGCATCATCACCCGGCCACCATGTCGGCCATCAAGATGACCCCCCAGGCCCTCATCACCGAATGGGCTCACTTCCTCTGGCAGGAGCGCGGCATGGCGCAGATGTACACCCACCTCGTCCTCGCAGCCTTGTTCCCCATATACGCCGGCGCGCACGCCTCACTCCGCCGTCCGCCATCGGCCGCAATATCGGTGAAAAAGAAGAGGAAGACAAAAGAGGAGGATGATGAGGATAGTGAAGACGAGGACCTGGAGGTAGAACAGCATCTTGGTCTGACGCCGTCAGATGCGATCATGTTCCCCATCCTCGCCGGCTTCACGCTGTCGGGACTCTACTTCCTGATTAAGTGGCTCAAGGACCCCGCGCTCCTGAATCAGATTCTGGGGTACTACTTCTCTACCCTCGGGGTATTTGGAGTCGGCAAGCTGGCGACCGATGCGCTGAATGTTAGCACCTCGGTGGTGTTCCCGAATATGTGGTCCGCGAAGGGACAGATATACCACATCAACCAGACCCTCTCCGCGCAACTCATCGAGTCGCCCTCACCGAGCCCAGAGACGAAAATCCACCGCCGCTTTGTTGAAGCAAAGACGAACCCCTTCCCAAGCGTGTTCTCGAGCATACGCTTCCCCGCCAGGACGACCAAGCGAATCTGGGCCACCCGCGCCTTGCTGAACCAGCACTGGGTATTCCGCGGTTACATCCACGGCATCCTCAGCGCCAAGTCGCGCGTCCGTCTCAACGACGCCCTTGGTTTCCTCATTGGGGTCACATGTATAGCGCTCTACAACATGAACGGCAAGCCCTGGTACCTCACCAACCTCATGGGCTTCGGCTTCTGCTACGGATCGCTACAACTCATGTCACCCACCACCTTCTGGACGGGATCCCTCGTCATGGGCGGGCTGTTTATTTACGATATCGTGATGGTGTTCTATACCCCCCTCATGATCACCGTGGCTACCACCCTTGATGCACCGATGATGCTTGTTGTTCCCGGCCCGAGTAGGGGGAGTATGTTGGGGTTGGGCGATATTGTGTTGCCGGGGATTATGATCGGGCTTGCGCTGAGATTCGATTTGTATCTTCATTACCTCCGTAAGGGCCAGGCGTCATCGGATATTGCCTTGCCGTCTTACAAAAAACCAACCGCGTCGCAAACAGGCGACCTCTTCTGGACAGCCCGCCACGCCTCCCTCCGCCCCGCTGCCCTCGCTGACGCGGCGTTCAGGAAGACGTATTTCCACGCTGCGTTGGTAGGTTATGTAGCTGGTATGGCCGTCACCCTCTCGGTGCTTAATATATGGAACCACGCGCAGCCGGCGCTACTGTACCTCGTCCCGGGGGTGCTGATAGCGTTGTGGGGGACGGCGCTGGTGAGGGGGGAGATTGGGGTGATGTGGCGGTTTACGGAGAGTGGGGATGATATTGCGGATGTGAGGGGGGTTAGGGTTGAGGTGAAGAAGGAGGAGGAGGTGAAGGTTGGGGAGGTGAAGGTTGAGAAGGGGGGGAGGAATCATGGAGTTAAGGGGTATGGAGCGAAGGAGGATTTTGTCATGTATTTCACGCTGTCGACGCCGAAGGGTGAGGATGTTCGCGAGCGGGTTGTTGGGAAGAATGATTGAGTATAGGGGGTAATGTAGTTGTGGCGAAATGGGGTGGGGGGTAGATAAATGGGTTGCCTGGGAAGCAAGGGGGTTCAGCGATTGTTCTAGGCATAGATGGCTTGGCTACTTGCATTGTTAGAGGTTAGACTAGCCGTGGGTGTATTTTTATCACGGGATTTGGGCTGGTATCGGTTTTGGGTTGATAGACCATGTATTCTATCCACTTTATGCTGTAATATGTTTGTCTCTTCTGCATTGGTGATAGAGAACCCTCCATAAAACGCCTACCCGCTATATGCTTGTTGATACATGGTCCATCTCCATGGAGCCCTCTACCATCCCCACTTTCCTGTCCGACCTGACGCTCTATGCCTCTTCCCTGGATGCCATATCCCATCCCAATGTTTTGGCGGTATGGAGGTTTCCTCAACCACATCCCCGATCATACGGCCAATTGGTTCATATACCTTGCGAACTTTGCCCAGCCCTCCCAGTCCATAATCTCCATCATGACAACTCATCTCCCTTCGTCCCCCCTCGACTCCCAGCAACAGCGCCCACCCCCTCCACAACCAACTGCCCCACCACATCCGGGCTCAACACATCCCTCCTAAACCGCTCATTCTGCAACAACTCGAGGTTCTTAAGCGTCGGCCCCGGATACGTCAAGTACTTGAGATATGGCGCGGTCGAGAAGTATTGGAGGTAGGCGAGGTAGGCGATGAAGGGGAGGTGGGCGAGGAGGGGGATGCTGGGGGTGTTGGGGGTTTCGGAGGTGGTGAGGGTTGCGAGGTGGAGGAGGTAGTGGGGGTTTGCGCTGGATGAGGGGGTTAGTTGGGGGAGGGAGGGGAGAGGGAGGGGAGAGGGAGGGGGAGGGAGGGGGGAGGGAGGGGGTGGGTGGTGGTTGAGAGGGTATGGAGATGTGTTGTTTAGACGTACAGGCATTGGACGAACTAATGGAGTGTTAGTGGATGGGAACTGGATGGGGGGATGGGGACTGTATACCTCAAGTTCGATCTCGAAGCGTGTGAAGCCGCCATACTTGGACTCGTTGTTGGAGGGCGGTGGTGGAGGGTATGAGGAGTCGGCCATGGTGGTGGTGGGAGGTGATGCTGTGACGTGAAGCCATCCCCATACTAGCCGCCTGCTCCATTCTAACCTTTAACCTCTCGCTAGCGTCTGGCTCTCCGGTCGGCTAAGGTCGTCCCCTTTCAACCTCGCAAACACAAACACAAAACCACCACCTCCACAACCACCACCACCCTCCACCCACTACACAACTCTCCATACTCTACTTCCAACAACTTTCCCCCTCTAGGAATACTCTTCTGGATACCCTCATACATCATCGCAACCCATCACCCCCTATCTCGCATCCGCGAATAGAGACTTGGCTTGCGGGTCAAACCGACATCCCCTCTACTCTTGCGCCTTGCGATTCCAGCTCTATACCATACCAGGACAACCTGCGTTGCATGCCCAAGTCTCCATACAGACTCCAACATGGCTTTCGCGCAATCCGGTGGCGAAGGTATGCTATTCTTAGATTTATTGCCCATGCTTTCTACATATTGCGACCCCGCTGTTTTCTGTTTGGGATAGGACGACCGTCCTATCGGGCGACTTCTCCACCGACCCCCCCTCCCCAGCAGACACTATGGACAAAGAGGCACTCACTAACCATGAGCGCGCTCTTATAGATTCGAAGGCGGCAGGCCTCTCTCTCAACCTTCCCTCCAACAACCCCTTCCGCAACCGCACAACTTCACCAGTCTCATCTGGCCAGCTCCCCCCAATGGAGCCCCCACCAAGACCGCTATCACGGAACCCTTTCCTCGACGATGCAGGAACCGTTAAGGAAAGCCTGTGGAGGCTCCCGTCTCCTTCAGCAAAGCCGGCACCTTCGACAGGAAGTGCCACCGCTGAACTATTCGTACGAATCCCGTTGTTACTACCCCGCTCTTGATTTGAAGCGACACAATCCAGCGTTACATCCGTCCAGGTTGCACATTATTCCCGGCTAACACATCTATCTAGGACGAGTTGACGCTTGATGACAAACCAAGAAGCTCGCGCCCTCAACAGCCCGCCAGATCGTTAACCGATACTTCACGCGCCGAAAACATCCCTCCAAATGGCTCGGTGTCTCACCGTCCGACGCGATCCCAGGACAGGCGTCCTCCAGGCCCTCCAAGGACCGATAAACCACAACCACGCCTACCAACAAACAAGCTGGACATCTTTGCCGACCCAACTGATACGAAACCTAATGAGCGTCGTCCGAGGCGCAATTCGGACTCTTCGTTGATGGGTGGCCCCAGTGGTGGCGGGAAGGCACTTGACCCTGTGGAGGAGAATAAACGCCAAGATCGCCGTAGGCGAGAGCGAAGGCAGCGCGAGCGCGAAGCGTTGAAAGACCCAAAGAAACCCAGCCGCAAACTTGATATTATTGATCAGTTGGATGCAACTAGCATTTATGGGATGGGAGGTAAGCAATCTGCACTTGTCTTTAACTTATACGATTCTAATTTGCACAGTATTCCATCACGATGGCCCATTTGACGCCTGTAATCCCCACCGCAACAGGCAAGGTAGCAGACGTGCACCAATGCAGGCTTTCCCAAAGGACTCCTTGAACAATGCCCTAGTTGGAGGACCACCGATGAATAGGCGGCCAAACCACGCAGCTTTCCTCGGGAACAATGACGAGGAGGCATTCAAGGACTTTTCTACCGGTGGTGGAGCAAGTACCAACTACGAGTCATACGGAGGCCGCGCCAACGGACTTGGAGCACAGCCTAGCGTTCAAAGCTCAACCATGAAGGTTGAACCCGTGCACGGCGACGAATCCCTCGGCTTAGGTACATCAACATTCTTAGAAGGCGCACCAGCTTCCAAGGCAGCTATCCAGAGGACGGCCGCGGAAACCGCCGGTGCCGAATCTGCAGCTGCAAAGGCAGGAGGTGGTCTTGCTAGGAAGAAGTCGCTGGCACAGAAAATCCGTGGCATCAACAACCCGAGGCGAGAGTTCGCACCCGGTCCCGCGAGACGCGGCTCTAGCAACGACTCTCGCCCTAGCCCATCCTCGCCTGGCCAATATGGCAATGCTGGCAGGAAGGAAAGCATCACCTTCAGGGAACCGGAAAACAAGCCGACGAGATCGCCGCCAGGCTGTAGTCCGGGGAGGGAAGGGCCTGGCGCGCGTTTGGAGCGGAGGGTTACTACTGATAGCACGGGTGGCGAGGAGGCTGCGAAGCCGGGGTTGGGGTTCTTGTCGAGGGTTAAGAGTCTGAAGGGGGGGCCGAAGAGGCCGAAGGCTGATAAACCTGTCTTTGATTAGATGGGTGGGCTGTGCTTGATAGGCGGCTCCTTCTTGCTGCGAAGCTGGGGTCCTGAAGAGGCTCATTTGCAGCTCATATCGAGGATGTCAAGGAATAGTGCCTTCTTGTTCAAGTTCGTGGACTGGCTCATACCCGCTTCAAATATAGTAGCATGCTCTGCTCGCCAGTGCTTTGTCGCATTTGAAGACTACTGGGCGTCTGGGAAGCGACGGTTTTCGCCTGGTTTTTTAACTTGGTTTTGTTTTCATTTTTCAATTTCAGATGTCAGAAAGATCCGACCGCCATGAAACTTCGAACACGATGATAGCAGCTTCGAGAACACCGGTCGCCTTACTAGTTTCACTCAAGGATGATACTGGCATGGGAACCACGATTAATCGTGCCAGTGACGACGCCAAGATCGTGCATAAGCGGATGGAGGATGTTTGGGCGGTGTGTGTACATAGCGGTATGATGTATGTCGGGGCGTAAGTGGCATTGAGAGTTATGATGGAAAGTTATCACGGAAGGGAAGGCCCAGGTTTATTATGGTAGTGGAGGAGGAGAATGGAGTAAATGGGAGCAGTTGTAAAACCTCATTGTTAGTTGGGTCGATAGGAAAGACGGCTAGATCAAGATCAACTCGAGAGTCGCTTTTTTAACTATAGACTTAGTTAGGTTAGCTTGTGTCTATTCTTTTTTAAATTGATGGGCTTTTATGGCTTCTATGCTCTTTTGTTCGGAGTGAAGGGGATTGAGGCATGAGAACTAAACCAAGATGTGTCACTTGAACTTGGGTTTAACATGTTACAATCCGTATATCCATCCGGGCATGGGTGAATATTGCGTGTTGATTGACGACGCAGTTGATGGGTTGAGCCGTTGGATCTTGACCCCCAACTATTACTCGAGCAGCTCGGAGCCGAACCATCTACACCATCCGAACGGTGCCTACCAAACCAAGCACCCAAGCCAACTGAGAGAAGCTATTCACATCCAGCTACCTTAGCTGGGATATGGGCGATTCAACCCCCCGCCACTTCCACCCCCCCACCCCAGCATCTACACTCCTCGCCCGTCTCCGCAAAACACAGATAGACCCCTCCACCGGTCTGAAACTTGGAAGATTAAAAACTGGTGTTGAGGATGTCGATGAGTACCTCTTTGGGGGAGGGGTGCAGAGGGGCTGCGTTGTTGGTGTGAGCAGTGGTATCACCAGTCCCAACCGCCGCGAGGCTCCAGGGGGAAGAGGGTACCCAAGTGCTGGAGATGCGGAGGGTGACACAGGCCGTCTCCTCACCATCCATATCCTCGCGAGGTCGTTACTAGAACGCCCACATTCCCACGCATCAGTTATAGATTCCACGGGCTCTTTCCCTCTAGCGCTCTTTGCGGGGGTGGTGAGGTGGTGTGTTGAGAGGGGTGTGGGCGCGGGCTCGGGCTCGGGCGTGGGTGTGAGTTCTGATATTGGAGGGAAAGGGTGGGGGAATGGAGGGGGAGGGAGAGGAGGGTTGGAGGAGAAGGTTAATGCAGTGCTGGAGCGCGTAGGTGTTACGAGGGTTTTTGATATCGAGGGGCTTTGGGAGGTTTTGGGGGAGGTGGGGGGTGCGACTAGAAGGACTGAGGGGGGTGATGCACATGCAGCCTCGATAAAGGAAGATGGGGGACTGCTGCCGAGGGTAGGGGGCTGCATGACGAAAAAGAGGGGGGAGGGGGTGATGCGAGGAGCGCTGGAACGAGGGAGATCATGGATAGCGACGCCGACGACGACGACGACGATGATGACCTGGCCACCCACCACCCTCCAACCCCAGTCCCTCAAAATCCTCAAAAGAAACCCAGCTTAAACACCCCCACCAACCACCACACGACCCCCACCCCCTTCGCTCCCGTCACCCCCCAACAACAGAAATAATCCTCCTCGACAACCTCACAACCCTAATTACCACCCTCTTCTCCCGCACCTCCACGCCCCTCGCGCACCGTCTGCTCTCACAACTCTCCCTCACCCTCAGTACCCTAGCCCGCTCCTCTTCTGTTACCATTTTCCTCCTCAACACTTTGGTTAGGAAATCTGCAAAGACCGCGGGCAATCCGGAACAACAGCGGAAGAAAGAGCAGCAGAAACAGCACTCGGTATTTGCGGGTATGACTGCCACGCCTAGTTTGGGAGTGGTGTTTGATGGGTTCGTGGAGTTGCATCTGGTGTGTTTTGCGTTGCCGAGGGGGAGGGAGGATGCGGAGGGTGTTTATGGCGTGGAGCTCCCCGACGATGAGGATGGGACTGGCGCTGAGGAGAGGGGGGATAACCGGCAAAGGGGGTCTGCGGAGGGGGGCATTAGGTTTGCGAATGTAATCGAGGTGCTCAAAGATGATTGTCCACAGCTTGAGAGGTGGGAGGGGGTGAGTGGTGGGAAGAGGCCGCGGAAGAAGGGGGATAGGGAGAACAGGTGGGCGTCGTTTGGGGTTGTTGGGGGGTGGGGTTGGTGGAAGAGGTGTTTGAGGTGTTGGGGGGGAGGGGAGATAGGTAGGTCTTGGCGAATGGTCGAGTATTTGGGGTATATCGGGGAGTCTTGTTGCAACTAGATGCGCTGGTGTAGGCTACAGCTCGCAAACAAACACTGTAAAGGAATAATGGTAGTTAATATAAGCGTGGATTCTCTATGAATTAAATAGCAACTATAATCCCCCATACGCCAGTCAAAACCCCCGCCCATCCCATCGCCCCTGACTCCATCTATCCTAAAATACACCCCCCCACCACAACCCAGAACCCCCCCCCTCCAAGCCACCCCCCTCAACTCTCAGCCTCATCCTCAACCGACACACATGGCACCGTCCACGCCCTCAAATCATCCCTCGCATCCCACTCCGCCACCTCATCCGCCCTCCTCGTCCCACTCCTTCCCCTCCTCTCCCCACCCTCCTCCGACGAAGATGAAGACTGCACCTGCTCCCCCTTATCCGTCGTCAACGCGCGCTGAGAAGCCTTCCGGATCCCTCCAAGCGGATTCCCCTTCCTATCCACCGTCGTCGTCAACCCGGGCATCTCACTCTCCATCCTCGCCTTCTTCCCGGCATGGGTATGTTTCTTACTCGCGCCCGACCCATTCCTGCTGGGCTCGCCACCACTACCCCTCTCATTCTGCTGCTGATGATTATGATGATGGTGGCGGCGCTGGTTCTGATTCCGCGGCGTCGCAGTCCCCATCCCCTCATCCTCGCTGTCATCCGCTCCCGGCGCGGTTTGCAGAGCGGGGTTCTGGGTGGCGGGGACGGGCTTGTTGCCCCAGCCGTCGCCGCCGTTGAAGATGTCTTCGATGCATTGGTCGGCGGCGAGGGTGCCTTTGCTGCAGTGCCAGGAGGCGGCGAGGGTTTGGCGGTACATGTCTTGCATTTCGGCGAGTTCTTTGTTGTTGCCTACTGCGCCGTTGTCTGGGGGGGTGTTAATAGGGGAGTAAAAAAAAAATGTGGGATTCAAAGGGTACGTACAGCCTGCTTTATCTTTCTCCTGCTCTACGGCCATGGCGCCTGTGAATCCCTCGAAGACTGCTGCGGTTCGGAGCGGCGGGGCAATGAAGTTTCGATCCCCGTCGACTTGTGACATGCCCAGACCGATCTTGACAGTGCTATTGATCTTACTATCCTGCATCAGATACCTCCTCACCATAACCTGTCCCACCTCATAATGTATATCCGCATACTCTGCGAGGTTCAAGCGCACCCTCCCTATCGTGATCTTCTCCCCGCGCGCCCCGCCATTGTAGTCCTGCATGACCTCGAACTCGACGAAGCACTCCTGCAGCATGTTCGTCTTGTCCATCGACAACCGCACCACGAGCGAGCGCTCATAGTCCCAGGTCACTTTGTGTTCTTTGATTGGCGCCTTGGTCGTCGCGCCCCGGTGCTCCGCGGCGGTGGACATGGGGAGGTGCCATTTTACGTAGGATTGCCCGGCGACGAGAGGGACGTTGTTCAGGTTGATTATCTGGCGGCAGAGTGTCAGTAAATGGTATTCCGAGAGCAGGTGACGTAGGCGCAGCAATCTTACCTGTAGTATGAGCGCAAACTTCGGCTGTGTATTGTGTGGTCAGCAGGGAATAGCTGCTTGCACTGGGGAATGCGCGGGAATTCTCGAACCTTGCGAGATTTGTTGACTATTGGCTCGAAATACATAGTCAGTAAAGCGACACTTCAAATCACTGGACTCGAAGCCGAATGGGCAGCACGGCGCAAGGAGGGGGAAGGGGACACATACTCAGGCCGTTCATGCTTATATATCATCCTTATAACCCGGGAGGCTCGCGGACCATATTCGGCGAAGGATGCTGGAATAGAACCGGGACCAATGCTATTGTAGTGGGAGGGGCCCGTACACGTGTTAATGGCGGAAATCCCGAACGGGCATATGGATGTTATTGTGTGTGTGCGTGTGTGGCTGACTATTTGCTGATAATTCGTAGATTTGATTCCTGGCCATTCCGGAACTTGCGACGAGGCTACGTAAGTGGTTAAGGTAGCCGTGTTGGTGCTTGTTCGGTTCGGCTGTGCTGGGAGTTTGGCAACGGCGGTGGTCGAAAGCTTATGGAAGAGTCCCGTCTTGGCTGTATATTGTCTAATATCGAATGGAACTCACTGGGGACTCTATTGCCGCAACTGTATTGAAGAAGTTTAATGCTCTGTCTAAGAAGCGCAAGCCCATACAGCGAGCTGATCATCGGAGAGAATGGGTTCCTCTGGCTGGAATTGTTGCTCAAGGTTTTATACCCCGTGACCCCGCGCATCCCACGATAAATACTGACACACGACCAGGAGAAGATGGACTGACGTGTCTGGCTCTTGGGTGAGAATATGCCCCTGTCTGCCTCTTGACATATTGCGCGTCGACTGACCTGCCCAGAACAGGAATGAAATGCCTTCCTTCCAACAAGATCCCTGAAGCCAACGGCACGGTTCTCCACGACTGGCACGCCGAGGTTGTTGCTCTCCGCTCCATCAACCGTTTCTTACTCGAAGAGTGCCGGAAAATAGCTTTGTCCAGGGAGCAGTCCTCGAAGTATGTGAGAAGGAGAAGGGCGGACGAGATCGCCCCGAGCAACTTCCAGCCTTTCACAATCAAGGAAGATGTAAAACTACATATGTATTGCTCTGAGGCACCATGTACGTTACTCAAATCATCATGCCATGCCGCAAGTTAGCTAACTCATGCCAGGCGGTGATGCCAGCATGGAGCTCACCATGGCCGCCCAAGACGATGCAACCCCCTGGGCCATCCCTGCCCCCGCATCCCCTACAGCAACAGATTCCAGTATGCCCGGGCGTGGCTACTTTTCGAATCTAGGCATCGTCCGGCGCAAACCCTCTCGCCCCGATGCTCCCTCCACGCTCTCAAAATCGTGCTCCGACAAGATAACACTGAAGCAGATAACCTCTGTCCTCAGCTCCATCACCTCCTTACTCATCTCACCAGAAAATGCATACCTGAAAACCCTCACGTTGCCGGAGTCTCAATATGTAGCTGTTGGCTGTGAGCGCTGCTTTAGTCCGCGGGGACGGTTAAAGGACTTACAGGTGCCTCCGAGTGGAGGATATAGCTTCCAAAACTTCAAGATGGTGACAACGAAGAGCGAATTTGCATATTCTCGCCGCGACGCAGACGGCTCGCCTCTTCTGAGTGATGCAATTTCGCCAAGTAATATTGCCGCCTCTTGGTCACCATACTTTGAGGAAACGCTGATAGGAGGCGTTCTTCAGGGGCGGAAACAGAATGATCCGAGAGGCGCAAGTGTTGTGTGCAAAAAGAGGATGTGGGAGCTAGCTCGCGACATAACGAGATTATTAGATTTGGAAGATACTAGCTCAGTGGAGAACTCTCCGTCAGATGAAGTGGAATCCGGGGCTGTGAAAGGTCACAAAACATATGAAGATATGAAGCAGTGCCAGCTTCTGCAAGACAGGATGATTGCCAAAAATGATGCCAGGGAAGCATTGAAAGGATGGGTAAGGAATGATGGAGACGAAGGGTTCACTTTAGACGAATAAATTCTTAGTAGGGAAATATCCCATAATTCTAAACTATGCTGGCTTGAACTTGACCTCCCATGGGAGGTTCTATCTATTCTCAGGTCAAAATAGCAGTCGTACATAGCTACAAAGATTCTCGTCAAACAAAACAAAGGTATGGGTATCACCAAAGCGCCCATAAACGCCATCCAAACCCCTTACAAAACCCACCTCTAAACACACAGGCAAACAGATACCCTTCAGCAGCCACCACTCAGCTCGAATGAAACCTCGCATTATGGCTCCCCGCATTCGCTTTCGCGCACTCCGGACTACAAAACCACGAATAGTTCTGCAACCCCCCCTCCTCCTTCAACCCAAAGCACCTCTCGCACCCCAGATCCGCATTCGGCCCACTGAGCTCACAAACATTCCCACACCCCTCCGAACAGCAGCGCCTGATCGCATCCCTCGCCTGCTTGCGCTTACTCTCCTCCTTCGCCGCTTTGGCTTTATTGTTCGCCGCTTGCGCGTTCCGTAGATCCGCGAGCCGGTTCTCGAGAATCTGTGCGTTCGACTTTGCGTCGGCGATGTCTTTCTCCATCACGGGCAGGATCTCGATGTAGGGGGTCTTGTTGTCGAATAGCTTTGTCCACTTTTGTCGCAGCTCGGCGTCGCGGGGTGTGTCGGTTGGCTGGGCGGTGCAGGCGCTTGTGCGGAGGTAGGAGTATTTCTCGGCCTCAGATTTGGATTTGTCGTATTCGGCCTGGGCCTCTTGCTGTTCGGGAGTGAGCGTACTCAGTAGCTTTCCCTCTTCTTGGATAATGTAGCTATCAATGTCCGCTAGAGACGTCCCTGTCCCACGCAATTCAGCAGCTCGTATCTTAACCTTCTTAACCGTCGGATGGTTGCTGGGTCCAAAAGTGCATTGCGAGTCCTTGATATGCTGCATATTCTCCCTCCGGACGCGGCCGTTGATCTTCTCTATGGTAGCCTGCGCATCGAACATTCGCTTTAGATCTTTGGTATATTCCGCTGGTCGGTATGAGGTCCAGCGTCCAGCCGATTCTGCTGTGTATGCATTTTGGTACAGTTTGCGCATCTCATTCTGATGGGTTGTGCATTTGGAAAATCCCGAGGCGCAGTTACTTTGGCATGTCTCCGAGAGCTTCTTCAATTGCCCCTCGAGCTCCGACGTGTCTGCCTCATGAAGAGAGGCAATTTCGTCGACTTGAGCCTTCGAGAGTGGGTATGTCGGTTGAATATCGGCCATCATTGTGTTATGAGTCATCTTTGCTGGGATATCCTCTGATAAAATAGCACCCTCGCATTATATGGCGAGGAACAGATGGTAATTTGTTTTTTTCGTGCGCAAGTGATGCGATCTAGACGTCGGGGTCCAAAAGGCGAGGCTGAAGGAAAGGTTAGTGGAATAAAGACGCTAAAACACTGCTTATCCTTATCGGCGACATGTTTAGAGTATTGCCATGCGCCGCTGAATAGCAGACCCATCTTGTTCCATCAGCACTGACTTGGGTCTTTCTAGAACCCTTTCTACCTCAACGATGGTAAGTTGTCATTGATGTTCTTTTATGTATATATCTAACCAGCATACAGGCAGACAAGCTCCGCGCGCAGCAGCAGTTGGAGCAGCTCCAAGCCCGATACGTTGGGACTGGACATGCCGACACGACCAAGTTCGAGTGGACCAGCAATATCCAGCGCGATAGTTATGCGTCATATATCGGGCATCCGCCTCTCTTAAGCTATATGACTATTGGGATGGGAGAGCCAAAGGAGAGAGTTCGCGCTGCGCTTATTGAGGTTCGTCGGTCAACTTCAAGATTTTTGGGTGCATGAGGCTAATGAATGGCAGAAAATGATACAACCGGTTGGCAAACCCCCAGAGGTCCATGATTGAAATGTCCCAAGGGAGGTGTAAGGGGAGTGTATGGTTTTACAGCACCAAGGAAAGGCAAGGCGTTAGGGAGGGGAAATCATGGGGATTAGGTGCGCATAGGGGAGAACAGGATGGCAACGATGCGAACAGTACGTTGATAGCTGTCAGACGGTTATATGGAGGATGAAGGACAGCACCCGATCCCGGATATATTTAGCTGCTACCGCATCTGTCAATTGGCCTATAATTTCCATGATCCTATGCAACAGCCTGTGATATCCCTCGATTTACCAAATGTTTATTTCCATTCCTTCCAGCTCCAGCAACTCCAGTAGTATCCCAGGGGTATATATGTCTATCAATCCTTAACCCATCATATCATCATTCCTCCTCAGCCTCGGCCGCCCTTGTTCTCCGTCCTGCCCTGCCCTGCTCCTCTCCCTCCGGTTCAACAACCTGCCTCTCCCTCCTCTCAGGACCATCCTTAATCCCCAGACTAGCCTTCAGCCTCACATCCAAATCATCCGGTGCCGTATCCCCATACACTGTTTTCACAAGCCCCTTCACGCCCTCAGCCCCAACCTCCACCTTCCCCCTCGGACCAACCATCCACTCCGTAATATCGGTGCCGCTAGCGTTATCCTTGATCTTCACGACATACCCCTGTTTCTGCATCTTCGCAAACAAGAACTCCGTCTTGTCTACCGGCGTGTTCACGTTTGCGTTCATGCGTTGGAGATACCGCATCAGCTTCTCGTCTGAGACCCGCCCGCCGTTGAGCATGATTATAGACACTATGAGGGTATAGAGACCCATGTATGCGCTTTCTGCGGAGGCGGAGGGGATATGAGATGGTGTTATGATAGCGGGGATGTTGTATTTCTGCGGGAGAATAGACTTGAGGATGTATGAGCGGTTGGTTGATGTAGCGGCGGCCTTTTGTACGGCAGCTAAAACTTCTTGTAAGCAGGCGGAACGTATCAGAGTGGGAGTAACTGGAGGAGAGCATACCTCGCCTGTCTTTCAGAGTAACCTTCTCTTTTGAAGGCAGCTCGACCATTTGCATCCCGAACTTCTCTTCCAGGAGAACTTGCGCCTCATCGAATAGTTGCTGAAACCTGCGGCCGCCGTGCTTCCCAAAGACTACACAGCAATGTCAGCCAAACGTACCCATACCAATCCTGCCTGACATACCTTTCTCTCTAATCCCCTCTCTCCTGATCGGCACTCGTCCAAATTCACACGCCAATGCATAGCGCACCAGTTTCATCACCAGCCCATAAGTTCCCCTCGGATCTCTCCCGACCTCCTCCTCGTCTCCATCCGCCGCATCGATGACCGTGGGCTCTTCTGCGCCATTCTGGGTGTATTCCTCCTCTTCCTCTTCCACAGGTTGGTTTTGGCGTCTGCGCTGGGTACTCCGTGGCCCTTCGTCTTCGGACTGCTCGTTAGAGGATTCTGGTGCGACTTCCTGGATCTTTGTTAACACAAGACAAGGCTAAGGAATCACGAACGCTTACTGCGCGGCGTTTTCGTCCTGGAGCCATGGTTAAAGTTGGCTAGATAGGATCGTGTATTACACAGGGCGATTTTGTGTTTTATCGGCTTTGTGGAATGGGTTCTGTTTGGTTACGTTGCGCCAGAGATGGGGCGAGGTCACAGCGGGGTTCCGTCGTAATGTCGCGTTTGGGAGGACGCGACGGAATTAAATTCAGGGAGTGGCGTTTGGTGAGGCAGCCACTATAAAACCTCCGTTACTTCCCAGACGCCATAATTCTCCCCATCAACATCAGTTGCATGCAGTATGAAATGTCACGAAAGTACATGGTAAAAATATCATCTAAATATTGTTTTTAATCTAAATTGGTATATATGCTGTGCTTGTAGATGAGAAAAACCAAATAGACAACATGATCGCCTCCTATAATTCAAGTAAATATCGTTCAGGTCGCATAAACATATCGTGGGCTTCTATCACCCATATCTTCTATCTCCGCGTCGTTTCTCCCTTCTATTTTCCAATCCTCCTTCCCCATCGCCCTATCCTTGTTGACTTTGGCATAGTAAAACATCATTCCAAGGTATATCAACGCCGCCATTCCCACCATAGACAAACTCGTCGCATGCCCCAGGATGTAGTTCGGTCCGTCGCCAGTTGGATACATGAAAGGCGTCGCAATGCCTGCAATGTTTCCAAACATAAGTTGCAATCCACTGGCAAGTGTGCGCTTCCCGTATCGAGGGAGATTCCCTGGAAGCCACGCTAGCGGCAGTCCAACAGAGACGTACAGGCCCATGGCAACGAGGAAGCACCCAGCATAGCTCACGCCGGAGCTGGCGTGTGATAGAAGCATTCCATAGCCCACCATGGACACCACAGCAAAGACGCAGGTATACAGACCTCTCTGTTGCGTCCTGTCACTTATCCACGCAACGAGTAGATATGTGATGGCTCCGAGCGCATAAACCGGAACGGTCAGAGCTTGCGACTCTGCGACAGTCCAGTGGCCGATCCCTTTGATGATTGTAGGTACAAACGTGCTGAAGCCGTAAAGCATCACATCCTCACCAAACTGAGCGATAGAGAAAGCCCATAGCTGGAAGTCCTTTGCCCCTTCCTTAACATCCGCCCAGTGAAACTTCTGGCTCGATACCGTTTGTCCAACCTCGCGGAATCGGACGTTAACCATCAGCTTGCGCTCGTCTTCAGTCAGAAAATAGGCCGTCTCCACATCGTTGGGGAGGAAAAAGATGCAGACTATTCCAACCAGAACGGATGGGATGCCCTCCAGGATGAAAATCCACCGCCAGCCACTCAGCCCCGCAGCCCCATCCATGAAGCTGATCCCATAGGCAATGAGTCCACCACACGCACCAGCCACGGCAGCAGACGTGAAGAGGTAGCCAATGCGAACAGCAAGCTGCCTGCGGCTATAGAAGAGCGTGAGGTATGTGATTAGGCCGGGGAAAAGCCCCGCTTCGAAGACACCAAGGAGTACGCGGCAGGCGACCAAGGAGCCAAAGCTATGGACGAGACCTGATAATGTCGCAATAACGCCCCATGTTATAGTTATGACTGATATATATCGCCCCGGCTGGAACTTCTTGAGAAGTAGGTTGGAGAGTACTTCGAGTCCCTGTTGATGTTAGCCCGAGAACCAAGAGGTGAATAAGAGGCATTTACGCAGTAGGTGACGAAGAGGATTGAGACGGCTATCTGATACTGGTTACCTTTTAGGTTGAGTTCCTCTTCCATGCCATAGAGCCTAGCATTGCCGATATTAACTATCTTCAAGTCAGCGACGTCGGAGGAACCGGAGACACCAAGGTTGTATCCCTCGGGGTGTGAGGAACATACCACGATCCAGGAAGCTGAAGAGATATAGAAGTATAATCAGAGGAATAATGTGCATATCCACCTTCCTGACCAGTGCCTTCTCAATTGCACTCTCTGGCAAATCGGTGGCCGAGGTCGGATTGATCGGCGCATTTTTGGAGTCTTCGCCAGTGGCAACGGCTTTTTCATTGACCTCGCTCATCATGTCCAGCTGCGACGATTGCCATTAATTTTGCAAAAGCAGAGAGAATATGATGAAACATACCACAGTACGAGGCGATTGAATAGGTTTTACAGGTCTGGCCAAGGCCAGCGACTTTGTTGTACAGAACTCAAACGTGGACGTGCTACCCTCGTGAGAGACAGATTTATCAGCCTTGCACAAAAATTTCCTTGGCGAAGGGATAGCCTTGGTGGTGGGGTCGCACTTGTCAAAACTACCCCACATCACTGAAGAACGGCGGCACTCTAGGAAGGGATATATCATTGATTCTCTGAGCTATTATATTGATAGCAAATATCTAACAAAACATAGATATAGGTAGGTATCTTGAGCAAATATTCGGTCAAATATGTGTGCAAGTCAGTCTCAATACCCCATCAGTAACGCTCCATGCTTATCATCTTCTCCTTTCTTCGTACAACGTTAATTTGTCATGTTTCCTGGTCCATATTTAAGCAACGTTATATAGCAAGTATAGCAAGTATAGCAAAATCCCTATCCATCTGTTATCATGTCAGCGGTTCACTGTTTCACACACATCATAACTACCCCGCCTTCTTCTTGGGTGACTTCCAACAAGTTCTTAGTTGCCAAGCTGAGGACATGATGAAAGGCCTGAGCAGCCACAATGCGGTGACTTTCCTGTGGGGGGAATAAAGTTTCAAAGCCGACCCATTTCTCTTTAGGTCCATCGTCAATTTTCTGGGAGTCCTGGTCTTCCAGATCCGCCTCCGCCTCCCGATATGAGCACCTCACAAACTCCAGGAAATTGAGCGACTCAGTCTCCAATGCATCCGCCACCCACTGGCTGTTCTGAGCGGTCTGGGTATCAACGGCGGCAGATGGTCCGAGGGCCTCAAACTCTTCATTTTCAAGACCAGACGTGCTTCCCGCAACTCCAGCAGGAAGCTCCATGTCATTGTCACTGAGAAGCCTGCCACGGCCAAGTAAGGGGCTAGCAGATGGGTGCCTGGATCCTGGTCTGCTTGGGATAACTGATGAATGGCGCCCTTGTCCAGGCACCACGGAAGACGACCTCTGGCGGAACGAGTTGACAGATGCCGATACATTCCATGGCATGGCTGACGAGTGATGGTCTCGAAGCGGCGTAAATGCCTCTCTTCCTTGCTCTACGCCACTTGAATCATCAGGGTATGGCATCATCTCGTCGTCAAAGTTTGGCATGAAAGCATCCTCCTCGACAGCACGTGGGAGCTGAGGCTCCAAGTCAGGTCGGGAACGAACGTTGCGGGCTTCTTCTCCGTCATTCCCATCGAAAGCCGAACGGGCTCTTTTCTTGCGGCGGTCTGGGGAACTCGCTACTCCAGTGAGAAGTTCCTTCAGCTTGTCTCCGCTGAAGATATCGAGGGGGTGTGGAACATTGCCAGAGGACCGGATTGTTCTGCCGATACCTCCAATCCCATTTCCCCAGATGAAAATGCTCGCATTAGCCACTGCAAACTTATTGATGGTTCTCATAAGTTTCACATGTTTATCCTTGGCCATGTTCTGAACATAGTTCGTCTGCCACTCGCTGAGCTCAGAGTTGCGAATACCAAGACGGATATCCACGTCTGAGATGACTTTAAGAGCCTTTCGTTGCCGCTTCCTCTTCATTGGTACTTCCGCCGAGACTGAAGATTCTTCGAGGCTAGATTCGTTATCTCCACGTTGCTTAGCTCCCTGGTGTTTTGGGAATGCCTCCGCATCGGGAAGAATATTCATGTCGTCGTCCATCTGCATTATGAAATCTCCATCATCATCAAGTCTGCCTGGGCGGCCAATGAGCGCCTCCTCATGATCACGCCTAACTCTCTCGCTGGCAGCAGAGCCGCTTTGAAGACGCCCAGTCCCAGCTAGGTAAACACCCGCCCTTCGGCGTTCGAGCTCTGCTGCATTCACTTCAACCATGGCACCATCAGCATCGAACTCGAAATCGAGGTCATCCAACAGGCCTGGTTCGTCGCCATCGAATGGATTCACGCCACTTGGTGTTTTCTGAGCAGAAGATCCCAATTGAAAGCGCCCAGGAAGTTGGAATTGTCCCGTGATATCACTATTCGAAGGTGGAATTTGCAAGCCAAAGATAGAAGCTTGAGAAGAATTAGAGATTACAGACGCATTAGATGACTTCAATGATGAAAGCATTGAATACTGCGAGTCCTTGAATCCTTGGTCGAGCGTGCTGAAATCCAATGGCGAGAGGGATGGCAGAGCCAGGCCTGGTTCGAATGCCGGATCGTCCATGAGCATGAGCTGGTCAGGGCTACGTATATCAGTACCATATGAATAAATTGAGTATAAACTCTTACCGTGCTGCGCCGGCATTGAGATCGATGGCATTGTTCTTCATGACCTTCAGGAGAGCCCTCATGTTATTCTGGGCAGTCTGTGCATCATGGAGGACGTAGCCACACTGTTGATTATAGACTCGAGAAACTCCGTATCTTTAGGATCGTCAGTTCGTTATTCATATTCGTAGGGGATGAACTAACAGCAAGCTGCTCTGAAGCCTTAGTGCCATTGGGGCCTCGGGTTGTATGATAGTCTCGCATGCCTTCCTGACATCAACGCCGAGGATCTGCTTTCGTTTGACTTTCAACGCCGTCGACGTTGGGCCAAGAGTTCCAACCAACCTAGAAGTAACCAATGTCATTATTTCACTATTTAAACTATGGTGATAGTATTGATAGTAGTTGAAAGGGAGAAACTAGACTTACCACACGGTGGCCACTCCATATTTCCGACTCGTCAAGACTGCACACCAAATCAGCCATCAAATATTATATAGATGGTCTATCGCAAGGCGGGAACAACTTACTCTCGTGACTGTAGAACATTTTGGATACTGGACAGTGAGATTCGAGTCTTGATGCGCCAGGTTTCGGTGCTTTTTCGCAGATCTCCTGAATGATCTTCGAGTTGACCTCGTGGAATATGAAATGACAAGAATCCAGATAGTTCAAACCATCTACCGCATATACTACAGTATATAAATTCGAATTGTGTTTTGGGTTATTCGGTGGCACGACAACCAATCCACCGTGGCCTAGGTAGTGATGGGATGAAATCGAGGTTTTGTTCTCTAAAATCAAACAGAAAGGGTTGAAAGGGGTTCGAGGAGATTGTAATGAACGTCTTCGAGAATTATAATGAGAGTACAGTAAATAATGGGGAATGGAATGAGAAATATGAGGTTGAAGGTGAAATGTGAAGGTTGAAAACGAAAAGAGAGGCGAGGTGGTTGGGAGAGGTGAATATACCCAGTTTGTGACTTGACGAGTTACGCCTATTCAATTTTGGCTTCTCCGTAACAATTGCCACTTCAGCCTGCTTGACACTCGCCTCTTATCATAAGCCTCGTCTGTTAGTTGCTACAACCCGCCATTGACAGCTACTGTTCAACTTTGTTCGAGGACCATCAGGGTATTTGAAGGTAATTTATATGACAAGGGCATGAATGGTATATACAGCTGAACAACCAAAATTCCAGGACCTAATTTTCCATTTCCTGTCTACCTTTATATCCTTTGTTTCCATATGCTGGATTCCATCTATCAACCAACCCTATTCCTTTATCGTAACTTCTTGAAGATTCTCAGCAGATGAACCCTGGCTGCTCTCTCCAACCGTCACAGGCCATTGACCACCCCCCACAACGTACTGTTTGCTGCTCGTGGTAATTGGATCTGAACTACCAAGTGATTGCGGAGATTGCATCAGAGGCGCCATAGTCCCGGACGAATGTCTGAGCTTGTTAACACTATGGTGCCGTGAATGCCCACCCTTGCCCAGTCCCCCCGCCATCATCTCCTGTTGCCACAGGGTAAAATCTTGCGAACTCCAGCTTGCTCGGTGCGCCCGAGCGCCAAAGGGGAGGCCATTGGGCACAGAAGATGTGCTCAACGCGCTATTTGCCCGGCCACGTCTTCCGGAGACAATGGGCTGGGATTTGGGATCAGTCAGGACTGCGAGGATATCTGCTTCCTCATCTTCAATCTTCGGCTCGCGATGCACACTATTGACCTTGAAGTACGGTTCGATTGGCTCTGCTGGCTTTTCGGGTTCTTTAGGTGGCGGTGGTGGTGGTGGGATATCCAAAGCCGCTCTTTCGAGATGCGTAAAATATTTGTAACGAATACCTTCTAATATCCGAGGCTTAAAGTCTTCGCGGTTCCTTGTGAGACTCATATAACTCGATATCGCGCCCAAGACTATCAGAATGAGGGTGGCAATTGCCACAACCCCTTGCGTGATTACAATAACAAATCCCACGATGGTGGTAGGGATACGGGCCATATTATACCGTGGTAGAAATGCGATGGACAGGCCTGCTGTCACGATTTTGCTCAGGCTGAGTAAATATACGGCTATGGCAGTATTGCGATTACCCTCGAAAGGATTCAAGGCGACGATAATTATCATCGCTATGATCTCCACAACGAATAAACCAATGACTTGAGCCTCGGGGTTTCTGGATGCTCCGCCAACAAAGCAGGCACGAACGAACTGGTAGAGAAACCACAAGACAAAAAACCACCATCGTGTCCGTCTGAACCGTCCAGAAAGCCAGCCGTAGCGCTTAATAAAGGTTGAGTCTTCATGAACACCGGGTCTTAGAAGATCATCATCAACGTATCTGATGACAAACATTGGAAAGGAGCCCAACACCGGAGGGGAGTCAATGTGTGTAGCAGCAGTTTCGTCCGCATCAGTTGTTTTACTGTGCCAAGAGAATCCTAGCCAAGGTATGAACTTCCATACTTTCTTACGGGAAATGATAACATGATCAAATTCGCTCTCATATCGCCCAAAGCGAAGCCGATGGAAACAGCAATGTGCGGCAATCCCAAGCAAGCCGACGAGGAAGGTGGTGAAAACGATTGCTGCAATAGCAGTGACTCTTGCAGGACCCGAAATCGAGAATTGATAAAGAGTCAATGTCATCATCATGAAAAATGCGACCATCATAGTTCGTAATATCGCAACTTGGACATAACCAACCCAGTGGCTTCTGAAGAAGTCCAACCGATCTTTCCGAATCCATTTGACAGCGCGGAATCCTTCTAGAGTCCATTTTAAGCCAATAATCAGTCCAATGACTATCACTAGGGCAATCAAGAACCATATGAATCCCGTCATAAAGGCATTTGGCGCTGGAATCCCGATTTCCGACAGTTCCCCGGTGAAGTTCGACCACATGCCGGGGAGTGGTAGACCACTTCCAGATATTCCTCCATACCAGCTATATCCAGGGTTTTGTGAGGCACTGGCGCCTGCAATATCTCTTGCACCAATGATGTGATGTAGCACCTGGCCCATGATAGTCCTGGCGGCAGCTTTGGGTGGTACGCCACCTGGAGACTTACCCGGTTTACCATATATCTGTGAAAGCACGCTGCTGCCGAGCGAAGCGATTGAAACGCCACCGACACGGCTTGAGTTCCCCTGATCTGTGCCGAGAAAATTGCTGATCGATCTTGTCATGCCCGAGTTATTGATCATACCCGCTGACCATGCGAAATTGCTCCACCAAGCGACGCAGACGCTCGGCCAATGCAACGATAGCGCACCAGAGAAAAAGAACGATTGGAACAACTCAAATATCACAAGAACGGAGAGTGAATGGGCGTAGTGTGTCCTCATAACCGGTACGTTGACACCATATATGGCAGTGGCTGCGGACGCCAGCAAGGCAACTGCAGTGAATATAGCGAGCACTGACCCAACAGCCTTTGGATGTGAGAATGTTGCGCCATTTGTCATGACAGCCTGGTAACAGCCTATTTCTGTCTTGGTGGTGTTTGAGTATAATCGTAGAGTTGCATAGCCTTCGAAGTCAGGAATGACGAGGGCAATGGGCGGGATTCCGGAGACGCTGTCCTTGGTTACGGGTATTATTGCCTCCGCGGCTATCGGTTGGCTTGCATTCATAGGACACAGACTGCAATAAGTTAGGGGCTGGTAACTTATCTAAACTAGGGACTTGCCTGTCGATATTTGCACTGCAAGGGTTGAATATCATGTCAAAGCGATCCTCGCCATCTAGAGCCAGAGTCAGTTACGGTGGCCCCTTATTCACATTTGGAGGCACCATACAAGCATCGACAGAAATATACGCTGATACAATTATTAGCCTTTAATAACCTTCATGCAAGGGTTTGAGCCATACCCATGATATTGTCGTGTTTTATCTTTGTTGAACCGGTCAAATGGAACATAACCGTCATGTTATCCGCATAGTAGGCTGCATCAAATCCAGTAACGTCGACTAGGGAATTACCTCCCAAGCAGTCACCAAACTTCCCAGTGTATAAGGCTGGATACCGGTCGTTTGCGAGAATTATAGTTGTCCCGCGCGACCCAGTGCCTTTTACAGAAACCAAATTCCCAGTATCCGAAACTGCGTGGACCAATGCTGGTAGCGTCGCGGCCAGAGCCACAGACAGAATTGTGGCGCCCCATGGCCAAAATGGAGCGAGGAACCCCTTCATGTTTATGCAATGCTCTTAGTCGAAGGCGAAGACTGATGTTGATTCCATTGTCGAGACCTGAAGCTTCATACCATTGCAGAGGGCATAACTTGCTGCGGTGAATGGTGCTCAAGAAGGCATAGGATCATATATGGCAGGAGTAGAATGAGAGATAGGGCCGGGAGTATGAGGAAATGAGGAAATATGACGGAATCTAGAAGATAGATAGAGGGAGACAACAACAATAACGAGGGCAATGACGTTGCTGTCACTTCAGTAAAAAGACCTTAACTTATTGGGCTGGGCATACCCAATATTATGCTCATAGTTGAAGTGTATGCATATGCACAGCACCGTACTAAGTGGAAAAAAGCAGGGTTTTGAGAATGACATTATTGTATTTGGTATTGACCGTCGCATATCAAACACGGAGTTAACGAAGGAATAGAGACGATACCGTGGAGATGCGGTGTGTTTTGGTTCCTTGTTGAGCTGGATATGAAGCGGAAGTGGCTAAGTGGGCTCGGCGTGCGGTTGGCAAGATGGAGACGTGGACAACGTTAATCCGCTTTGGGGGGAAGCGCTGCCGCCATTGGACCAGCCACGGTGAGGGTTTTGCTCCATGATGGATTTTGTTGTCTCTTGACATCGGGAATCCTGACATCTTGACTTGGCAGCTCCTCCAAAGGGTTCAATTGTACGAAATTGCCCAATAACAACATGCTCTACTACTGTAGTTGGGGCAAGGCCTTACCTCAATGGTAAACTCGCATGGTATTGGACTATTGGAGTAATTGTCACACCGGCTTCTTATCAATTCCCCATGCATGTACCATATCTGATTGATTATCCATTAGAGATGCCAAGAGTTGATTCGGCAAGTTCGGGCATATATTTTTGATGACGGACGAGTTCATATTGGGGTGTTGGTGGGGCACCGTCATACATTTTAACTTTATTTTATTATTAATGACTTAATTATGATTAAATATTCTACACCAACTAGAATTTATTATGGGAATCAAGATTGTGATTTTATTTCAGTGTTCCCCAAAATAGTATTAGTATTTGTGGTTTTCCAATAGTATTCGGCGATGAGCAGTATTCGGGCTAAAATTGGGGTATTCGGCGAGTATTTGCCAAAGACTCGAATACTATTCGAGTCCTTGGCAAGCACGGCCCAGGATGCCAAGCTACGAAGATTTTACCCCGCCCTCATAGATAGATCCGTAGAAATAGATCCATAGATAATATACCAATTGATATTTCTACCAGAATGAGCGACTCTGAGCTATCCGCAATTCCAAGTGACGAAGATGAGGAAATTCAGCGTCTACCACCCCCCTTTTCCATTCGAGTCTTCGCCGTCGATAGCTCTACCATTACTACAAATACGGCCACAACTCCCAAATACTCAGTCACCGTTGTTCTTAAAGAATATATTCAGTAGAACATTGTTAAGCACCAGCCCTGCAACGATGAAGATTGTCTGTATGCAAGATGGCTGTAATTATAAGCCAAAACCGAAGCTTTTATCATGGAATATCACGAGTAATTTGTGGAGGCATGTTGAAAGCATGCATCCTGCATTATACGAAGCTATAAAACCAGGAACTCCATTGCTACAGCATGCTCAGAGTTCGCAGAGTCAGAGTTCGCAGGATTCGCAGGGCGCTCCGAATATGAGAACAGCCCGAAACGCCCTACAATTCTTTACTCCTTGAGTAGGAGGATCCGTTCTTGCCTCTCGATATAGAGAGTTATTACTTGCATTTATTGTATCTAATAACTTACCAATGAGTCTGGTTGATCGGCCTTCGTTTCGTTAGCTTATTCACCAGCTTAGCCCTTCAACGTTAGCTATATCAACGAGCTCCTTAATGCGCGATTTACACAAGACATTCTGCAACCACCGTATGAAGCTACAGATAGAACTCCAGGCTCATATAATAAAGGGCGGACGGTTATCACTTACGACTGATTCATGGTCTGCAATGAATGGTGCAGAGCACGCTGCGATAACTTGTAATGGTGGGTGCACCAGATGTGAGAATCTAGCCACCCAAGGAAGGGATGAATTTACTAAGACAACACACTGTCTTAGGAAAAAGAGCCAAAGGGTCGTAGCTTAGACTATTCCACAACGCAGCAATCAGGTGTGTGATGTAGTGAAGTGGTTCAGACAAGTTGCAACAAATGTTGAGTCTGGGAACTCAGGGGTAAGTCAGAGGTTAACACCTCACTGACTTTTCAGAAACAAGGAGTAACAAGATGAATGCTTGGAAGCTTGGAAAAGATGTGGAAGTATGTGATAGTCGATTTACTGTATTGTCTGCTTGCCCTTTCTTAAGGAAAGGGCAATCCTATTTATGCTAAAGGAGTGTAGTTCTCTCATTTTCCAAGACTTTCCATGACTTACCAGGCTTGGTAACTGTAGTCGACGTAAGAGAATCCCATAGAACCATCTCTTAGGTTCGTAGCCTATAGGAAGTAAAAGGAGGTCCAAGGTCAGAGTACCCCTATAGACAAATTATGTCATAGACAAATTATGTCATAGACAAATTATGTCATAGACAAATTATGTCATAACTTAACCAATCTTGTGGGTAACTAAAGAGCGATGACATGTAATGAATCATAGAGGTTCGTAGGAGCTTTTAGAGCTATCGTTCATGCTCCTAGGCCTCTAGTTGGTAGAGATATGTCATGTGGTAGTATAAGTGATGTCATGTAATGAATCATAGAGGGTTGTAGAGATATGCTATGTGGTAATATCAGCCCAGTAACTAAGGAGCGATGACGTGTAATGAATCATAGATGGTTGTAGCAATCGTTGAGTAGTATTGCTCTTGTTGTTGGTGTGATAAGCCAAAATATGTATAGTGACTTGTAGGTTTGAGGAGGAGATTTCCAAGTTTGCTCTTGAGTTTGATAGCAAACTGAGTGCAACGAATGTCAGTATGACACTGTATTCCACACTATCTATGGCTTTTAAATAAGCTTAAGGCAATGGAAAACGCTTCATCGACAACAGCAGCAATCAGCGCAGCTTGTAAAGCATCGTATAATAAGCTTGATACTTATTATAACCTTGTGACAAATCAAGGTTCAAGCCACTCGTCAATTGCTACTATCTGCGACCCAAGATTCAACTTAAGTATATACGAATTTTATATGCCAAATAGTGTAGATGCTGTAAAACGAGATAGGGCAAGAGCACAGTTCGCAGCTTGCTATAACCGGTATAAAGACCGTGAGAACGATATACAGGTTGCTGCTATTGAAGCTACTATTGCTGCTGAAACTGAGCAGCCGACGACTATAATAGAACTTGATTCCGACGACGAGATGTATCAGCATCGTGGGCCTTCTATTGAGGAAGTTGAGTGGCGACGATGGTTCAAAGAGAATGGTGTCGACCGTAATACTAATATCCTCAAATATTGGCAGGCAAAGCAGTATCAGTATCCAGTTATATCACGGATCGCACGGGACTATTTGGCAATTCCAGCCTCATCGGCAGCGTCAGAGCGTATATTTAGTGTCGGCGGTGATATAGTCACAAAGAAAAGGAACAGGTTATTACCTTCAACTCTTCGATATCTACTCTGCTTACGGGATTGGGGGGTTATAGGCGACGAGGAGGAGGATAATAGCGAGTAGACAGTTATCATATTTCATTACTATATACTACAGTTGAGCCTCAAAATACCCAAATACTATTTGGCGAGGATTTGTATGAGTATTCACCGAATACTCCCAGATGGCGAGTATTCGGGAAAACCCCAAATACTATTCGAATACTATTTGGGGAACACTGTTTTATTTTGAAGAGCTAAAATAATTGGACAATGTTCCAACTTTAATTATAAATATTGACATTGGATTGGTCATTTTGAAAAGACACTCTAGGTTTCATCTGATATATAATTTACTCCCAACCCCCCATCTGGAGGCGGCGCCGTCTATGCGTCTAGCTTTAGCCTCTCTAGTAGTTTATCTATCTTCTCCAGCAAAATTTGATAGTTGATAGAATCCGAATCAAACCCATCCCCAACCACCCTGCCGTCTAATGTTCTGATATTAGCCCCATATGTACTTTCCATACTTTCCTGTGGTATCTTGTCATCATTATTAACAATATTTCCATCGGTTTCGGCATCATTTCCGGCATCTTCGGAAATTTGCCGATTCTCATCCATCATTTCCTCCATGCCAGTACCTTCGAAGCGGAGTCGGAAGCGTTCCGAGAGGTAGTAGCGGATACTATATCGTAGTTAGCCTGCGCCGTTGGTAATAGTATATCATTCGACATACTCATCAAGTAATTCAATACTATCAGTCTCCTGTCGCTTCTCAATCCTCGACGCACTCTCTTTGATCAGCTGCTCGAACTCTTCTTTATCAATGTAGTCTTCCAGCCTATAAGCTAGATACCGCGCCGCGAATTCTTCTAGGCGCTGCACTCGGGTTAACCACCCAGCTCGAATGACATCGTAGATATTTATTGCTTCCTTTCCTGCTTGGGTAATCCTAGCACTAGCCGTCTCATCCACCAAGACATCTCTACCCCCATTGTCAAGTGTGCTGATAGTAATAGCAGCCTTTGCCTTCAGCTTTTCAATGAAGAGCATATCTGCTGCTAAAAGCACATCTATGGCAATATCAAGTGAGAAATCCGCCTTCTCGGTGTATAAGAAGTTGAGAATAGCCTCTAGGACCTCTGGAGAGCAATCCACAGGTATAATTTGAAGATAGGGTGTCACCTGTGCTTCCTGGAATGCAGAGGAAAACATTGTCATGAAGTACTCGGAACGGATAAGTATGGCTCGATGCACCGGGAAGAGGACCGATTTCTCCGAGGGAGAAGTTGAAGCCAAAGGTTCGGACGCCAAAGGACCTATAGGAATGCCGTTGCTATGAGAAGCATCGCGCTGTTCATCCTCTGAGGGCGTCGGTGCCTCCATCTCTGTGTCCGCATCAGCCCTGAGAATGACATCTGCAAATATAGTGTTATTTCGATCCCATTTAACATCGTTTGCTTCCTTCGTATCCAAAATAATCTTGTCCTTCAACACATTATCGCGGTACCAACTCTCAAGCTGATCCCGGCCTCTGGCGACCTCATCTTGGTGCCGCTGTCTCGCTATTCGTCGATCTTCTCCTGCGAGTATGCCTTCCCAAAGCGACTCAATCTCCAAATGCTTGCCCACTTTGTCAATTCCTTTGAGCACATCTTCTTCCGACACCCTACTCTTCGGGCCAAGTCCGAGATCCACTGGAACTTCTCCCAGATACAGATATCGAAGTGCTATTTCAAACGCCTCGTCGGGAATTACGGGCGCCAGTTTCCACTGCGTTGTTTCGGGGGCCAGCGATAGCTTCTTCCTGAAGTATGGCGATCGAGCAGATAGAATAAATTTATGGACATGGAAGGCTTCGGTCCCTGAAGTGAGGGTGATATCAGAGGTTTTTGGTACCCGTTTCGTTAGGAGAGATGTGATATGGGAAGCGAGTGGTTGCAAAGGATCGGAGCTCTTGGAATAGTCGTATTGGAGCAGGAGGTTCCTTATGCGATTGGTGAGGGCATTGTATAGACATCGTTCGCCCTGAAACGTATCCCTCTCACAAAGCGCTCCGGATTCTAACAGTAGTTGGACAACTTCGTAGTGGCCACAGAGACTCGCCTGGTCCAACATTAGCATGTATCCCAGGAAGAATGCAGCGAGCATACTCAGGTGGCAAAACGAACCAAAATCAATGGCGTATAATCAAATACATCTCTCGCGTTTATGTTCACACCTCCCGCGATCATCTCATGGCAATCTTTAAGATCACCCCGCCTACACGCATCACATAGTCGGTTGAAGTCATCGCTCGTATCCAAAGGGCTGTCATCGCGAAGGACGCCCTCTTTTATTAATTGATATTCATCTTTAAGCTGGATTTCCAGTTCATCCTTTCGTAGTACCATGCTGGACGGTATATAATTTAAATATATAACGTCGTCCGCCGACCAGCAGCTTGGATATAAATTGAATCGTGAAGTGGCGGGGATGGACCCTCCAAGGATTCGTCTTATCGATTAGAGTGTATTACTAAGGGTGTTTGAGGGTGCGTTGCTGGGGCAGCGACGGGGTGTTTACTAGCCGATGTCTCCAACCAGACCAGACCTCCGAACGAACAAGACGTGAGAACTAACCAAGCAGCATTTACGTTTGCGCATGGCTATTCGACTGCCATATTACATATAAATTCGACAACAGCTTATCTGCCTCCGCCGTGTCATATAAAATGTCGGAGTCGGAGAAATACGAGGTGTTGGAAAAGATTGGTAGGTTGCGCCAATGACCATTCCGTGCGACCATGATTGACAATATATTTCTAGGCCATGGATCTTTCGGCATCATTCGCAAAGTAAAAAGGAAGAACGATGGCGAAATCCTCTGCAGGAAAGAGATCAATTATATCCGAATGTCGCAGAAGGAGCGAGAGCAACTTCATGCTGAATTCGCCATCTTGTCATCTCTCAGACACCCGAATATCGTTGGCTACTACCACCGAGAGCATCTGAAGACGACACAAGACTTGCATTTGTACATGGAATACTGTGGAAATGGCGACCTCGGTCGCGTCATCAAGGATTTACAAGCCAAGAAACAATACGCCGAGGAAGGGTTCGTGTGGAGCATGTTCTCACAATTGGTTACCGCCCTATACAGGTGCCATTATGGAGTTGATCCGCCAGACGTAGGAAGCAACGTGTTGGGCCTAGGAAACACTGCAAAGCCACGCCCACCGGTGGGAAATGTTATGATTTTGCACAGAGATCTAAAGCCAGAGAATGGTAAGATCTATATACCCTTGGAGTTGAGGGACCCAGGCTGATAATGTTTCTAGTATTTCTCGGCGATGATAATTCGGTCAAGCTCGGCGATTTTGGATTGTCCAAGATAATGCAGTCTCATGATTTTGCTTCGACTTACGTCGGTACCCCGTTCTACATGTCTCCGGAAATCTGCGCCGCTGAGAGATACACTCTCAAATCTGACATTTGGTCATTGGGCTGCATAATATACGAGCTCTGCTCGAGGGAGCCGCCATTCAATGCAAAGTCGCATTTCCAACTGGTCCAGAAGATCAAAGAGGGAAAGATCGCGCCAATCCCTAGCGTTTATTCGCCAGAGCTCATGGGCGTCATCAAGGACTGCTTGAGAGTGAATCCGGATAGGCGTCCCGATACAGCAGCTCTACTTAACCTCCCGGTTGTGAAGCTGATGAGGAAAGAGAAGGAGGTCGTGGAACTCGGAAAACTGCTGAAGACCAAGGAGGAACTTACTGCCCGGAAGCTCCACGAAGCTGATGAGAAGATAAGCCGGATTGAAAATGACAAAGCCAAAATGAGGGACGAAATCGATGCCTCTATGAGGCGCGAATGGGAAGTTAAGGCAAGATTGGAAATCGACAGGCTTGTGAAGCAAGAAGTTGAGAAACTGCAGAAGAAGTTTGAAGCAGAAGTGCAGGAGAGAGTGGAAGTTCTCGTGGCAGAGAAATTAAACACCCCTAGTACTTCGAGCGATACTGTGACCATTGAGGACTTCTCACAATCCAGTATGCCAAACGACATTCCAACTTCGTCTGTCAGCACCAGCGGAGAGTTTGATTTCCCTTCGACGACGGATCTTACAGATTTATCATTAGACTCGCCAGAGCCTATAAAACCGACGAAGAAAACCACGCGGACACCATTCGGCAGAGCCCAAACAATGTTTGCTGGAACTCCAATGGATGTTGAAATGGGAGATCCTTCGCCAATGTCGATCGCATCTCTGTCGCTATCTCCTCGTCGAAATGGAGGCGCAAAGGCGCCGGCTACGGGCCGAAACATCTTCGCGGAAGGTGGAAACCCCCGTGATAGATGGCAGGCAACCCTGATGACATCTGATTCTGAAGATGGGGATGACATGCCTCCGATCCCATCGCCGACCAGACAATCTTCGGCGAACCCATTCAAGCCATCGAGTGCACGCCCTGCCCTGCTAGCACAGAGAACAGCGCCTATGCCACGGGTCTCAAACATGTCGAATCTGCATGGAGCTGCGAGAGGAATTCCAGCGCCATCCCTGCCAACTCAAGGCAATAATCTTGGTCCCCGGCCTGTCTCAAGCAGTGGCGCCTTAAAGGAGCGAAGCACATCCCCAAACCGACGCCTGTCCAAAATTCCCTCCTCCTCAAACCTCCATGCTGCGGATCTTGGCTCATCACCTACCCGGAAGCCAAGCCTCACAAGGAAAACCGCAACAAGCACCGACCCATCAGAACTTAATAAATTCGCCATAAAGAACAACATGGCCATGAAAGTGAACCTCCCTCCAAAGGGGCGCACTCTGGTCGAACTCGCGCAGGCACGGGCTGGTGGTCGCCAGTTGGATATTAATGATAATGTTATCGTCGATGAGAACTCGCCAAAGTCGAAACGCGCCTTTGCCGATCGTATGGCGCAACGAGAAGCTGCCTCATGGGACCCGGAGCGCGACGAGATGCCAAGCCCATTCCTTGTGAGGACTAGGCAGCCGATTAGGAGGATGTGATGATGCGTATGACGAACCTTTGGAAACTGCAACGAATGAATGATAGGGTCGAAGTAGGGGGCGGGCTGGGGAAGGGGGGGCAAAGGGTGGGGGGTAGATGAAGGCGTTAGATTTGGTTTGAGCGTCATCACCTGGCAGCTTTTTTCATTACCTCTATATTGCATACTTGCTGAGCTTCATGGCTACCTGAGCCTGGATGTTGGTGTCGTGAGGGCTATTTAAGGCGGTGTTTGGCGGCGGGGCGGTCGGTAGGGCGTTTCGGTCCTTTTGGTGCTGTAGTTCTTACATAGAGGAGATTGCACGTGAAATTATTAACACATACCTGGTACTTTACAATCAACAAACTTGATGATAAAATCTTCAGACGTCGATTTTTAGAAAACATGGCCCACGGCGAAGCGCCAACTCTCATCTCGAAATATGATAATCACTGAGAGACGGATGGCTGGCTTTGTTTTGGTGTTGCAGATCAACGGGACCGGGGAATTATTTGTTCCAGGGCTGACAGCGGAACAGGCCGGAATGATAAGGTGGGGCCAGAGCTGAACGTAGGTGACGTGTAGCCCTCGGCTGACCCAGAAATTCCCCACTTATTAAATGGGGGGTGACAAGGCTGTATTACTCACATGACATGGTTAGGTCAGGTAAAGAACACTATATAGTAGAGCCTATTTCCAAAAAATAGTAAACCGTATGTAAAAGAATACTATATTAAGTTAAGCATGAAGCTCCTATCTAAGGGAATACTATCTACTTATATAGTGGCATTGTGCGTTAACGTAAGTCGTGGCGTAACGCGGGGGATGGCGTAACGCGGGGAATTCACCCCGCCGACTTCTGATAACTGTGAATAACTCAACAATGGTTCGCTGTAAAAGCCTGGGTGTTGCTGAGCGTGAAACTTTAATAGCCCAGGCAGTATTAGACGTCCAATCTAAGAAGTATAAAAGTGCATATCACGCTGAGAAAGTGCTGGGGCTGCCGAAGAGTTCAGTGACGCGACGCGTCAATGGAGGTTTGACACGCTCCCAAGCCCGCCAGAAACAGCAGAATTTATCAGGCGCGCAAGAACAGATACTTCTAAAGTGGATTAAAAACCTAACAATCAGCGGCTATTCTCCAGGGCATCGGTTGTTGAAGGAAATAGCTGAAGAACTCCGGTCGCACCGGTCACTCAATTTTGACGACGTGACGCCAAACTTACTTCTACCCCAACCACGATTTTCCCTCGGTCGTGACTGGGTGTCATACTGACATTCGTTGCACTCAGTTTGCTATCAAACTCAAGAGCAAACTTAGAAATCTCCTCCTCAAACCTACAAGTCACCATACATATCTTGGCTTATCACACCAACAACAGAAGCAATACTACTCAACGATTGCTGCAAACTCTTCTACTACATCTGTTTATGCTACATACATCACGGCATATCATTTGGACACTCATTGAACAAGTTATTAAGAAAATCTCCTCCTTAAGGGGGTGGGCCAATACTACCACATGGCATATCTCTACCAACTAGAGGCCTAGGAACATGAACGATAGCTCTAGAAGCTTCTACAACCCTCTATGATTCATTACACGTCATCGCTCCTTAGTTACCCACAAGATTGGTTAAGTTATGACATAATTTGTCTATAGGTACTCTGACCTTGGACCTCCTTTTCACTTCCTATAGGCTAGGAACCCAAGAGATGGTTCTATGGGATTCTCTTACGTTCACTACATGATTAGCAAGCTAGTTGTGGGTCGCACTTGATTTCTAATACATTTACCAAGCCTGGTTAGTCATGGAAAGTCATGGAAAATGAGAGAACTACACTCCTTTGGCATAAATAGGATTGCCCTTTCCTTAAGAAAGGGCAAGCAGACAATACAGTAAATCGACTAGCACATACTTCTACGTCTTTTCCAAGCTTCCAAGCATTGATCTTGTTATTCTCTGTTTTTGAAAAGTCAGTGAGGTGCTAACCTCTGACTTACCCCTGAGTTCTCAGACTCAACATTTGTTGCAACTTGTCTGAACCACTTCACCACATCATACACCTGATTGCTGCGTTGTGGAATAGTCTAAGCTACGACCCTTTGGCTCTGTTTCCTAAGACAGTGTGTTGTCTTAGTAAATTCATCCCTTCCTTGGGTGGCTAGATTCTCATATCTGGTGCACCCACCATTACACCTTGCCTGCTTCAAGCTTCAACTATTTCTATAGCAGCACTTCGATACTACAATGGAGGACGACCAAGCTCCTACAACTACTGCTGAACAGCAGATGCAACAACTGTTTGCCTTTATACAAACTATAGCAAACAAACTTGAGAATTTGGAAAACACCTTTCAAGCCAACACTTCAGCAACACAATCTTCAACTCAGACACATCATACAGAGCTTCCCACAGCTCCTCTGGCTATTTCGAGTACCCCAGGTGCACTTCCTAAAGTGCAAACACCAGATTTATACC